AAAAACTTGAAAACCGGTTTTAAAACGTTCCTAAAACAACCACTAGCCAGGCAATGGGTAAACTGCTAGTTAGTTTTTAATTGTTTTATTAGGAAAATCTTGAAACTGATTTTAAAAATTACAAAATGGCAACTATGTTATTGCAGCTGTGACTTCATGGCCGGATTTTGGCGAAATTTCTTTACAAAATTATGCATGCGATATTCGATTTGGCCGTATCTGAATACATAGTGAAAGCAAATTTTATTCAATATGTGCGATCCAAATTTCCATAAGAAGTAACATTTAAATAAAAATTGGCGGGTCCCGGCTCTTCTATCCGGCTACAAGAAATTTTATACTATCCAGCAGTTAAATTTATAACTTTAGGCGAATTTATTTGCGAAATCTCCATAAATAAAGCGTAAGCACCGCAAAAATAGGCTAAAATTTCCTTTCATATTCCTCGGGACATAAAAGAAGAGGGAAAATTGGGGCTCATAGTGCACTGACAAAAGTCGGCCGTTCGGTATTTAGATTTCGAATCCGCGCATTACGGGGGGCCGAGCCCTTTTAATACCCGCTAAAAGCGACTAGAGAGAAGGAAGCAATCAAAGCAACGGAAAGCAATTTAACAAAAAAGCCAACAGGAATCCTTCTATTTAATTGACCAAGACAGATGTTCATCGCGTTTTTGTCGCTTCGAAGATGGATACAAATTCGGGCTCGAACCCAAAGTTGAGCAAGTGAAAGACGATGGACTAATTTGAGCGAATTAATCGATCCACTTCGGCCGAATTGCGCGCACTGAAATAGCTGGATATTATTAGTAGGGACTGCTCATTACGCTGAAGCGACTGATATAATTTGGTACAGATTACTACAGGGCGTTTCAGCTAATAACAGAGGGTCAAGACAGGAATTGTCAATATGGTGAAGCAATTAGAAAACCAGAATAATTCAGAGAGAATGAGCGAGCAGTGATTCATTGAATGGCCATCACATTGTTACATTTTACCAGCGAAAATGGCTAAATACCTTCCGTATTTTCCCGCAGGATGCTATAAATATTTTGTACTGCAACTCTCTCATTAAGGAAGTTAAATATGAGAATTATTCACAACTTTTTTGCCGCACTCTATGCAAGTTTTTGAAGATTTTGATAGAGCAATCTATTTTGCATAAAAAAGGTGTACTCTGTAAAAGTCGTTCTGAGTAACCGTTTTCCGGATGTCATGTAATATTAATCACAAAAGCCATGCATATTTAATGAAACAAGTATGAAAACCTTTTCGAGGAAAGAAACTTTAAGAAATTTTTGGTGGCACATGGGTAAATATTATTTTTTCGAACTTCCTAGCCCCAATTATCCAAAATCGAAACTATAACATTTTTATATTGAATTTTTTATACAGAACCCACTTAATTTGGGATGTTCTTGGGTCAAAAGATATAGAAAAAGCTGTTCCAGAATATTATTTTGGTTTTGTACAGATAGTCAAAGTAAACACAATAGAATCTTGTTTTGAAAAAGCGTTTTATTTTATACTTCATTGCGGATTAATTTTAAATTAACGAACTGTCAGATAAAACATCTTGACAAATCTAACAAATATTTGTTAACAAAACATTTTCATTCAATGCCTTTTTTGTCATCTTTTTGTAGCTCAAATTAATAGGCTTATCTTCAAGGGAATACTCTCAGACAAATACCCCGGACATTAACTGACTTTTATCTAGCAGATCTAATGAATTCCGAGTTGAAACGTTTAACTACAGATGAGGGATGAAGTTCCTTTTATCGAGGTGAATAACGGAGACCCTAAGCTTTCGGGATTTTTATTTCATTTTCGTCACCTGGAAAACAGCTCGCAGTGTAAAAGAAAAAAATGTAAGTGAATCGAAGAGAATAAGAGATTTCGGTTTATATTGGGAGCGATGTAACCGATTCAGCGGCGCGAAATTTTAACGGTTCAAGTGTAGCAGTTGCCGATGACTGAAATCAGTTTTATAACGCGAATTCATCGCCTTCCCGACTTCCAAACTGATATTTTCTTACAGGGTTACTCCAACTTTTCCTTAAAAACTATAACATCCGAGAATAAAATGTGCCTCAGGTTATTTTAGTTGTACACAAGAAATATTTCTGTTGATATGTTACTACCTACAACTAAACAAATTCGTTCCTATGCTATGTTATTTATTTAGCCATGTTTGCACATCCAGGAGAGCTAATCTCTCCAAAAAGAATTCAGTCCTTTTCAATGAATGCCGGTTAATATCCTCGGGGTCCCCGACCAGGAGTCCATTATTTCGAGTAAGTTTTGCACAGCCTATCCCCCGGACATTTTCAGAGAACACTTGTATACATGTTTTATCAACCATGCCACATCCCTCAGAAACATTACTTTTTTCTTTTTCAACGAAATTTCATAGATAAAAATGTCGGAATAAATAACTTCAAGTCGATTCTAAAATAATTAGTATATCACATGCGTAGATGTAAATGAAGCAGATAAGTAAATTTTGGAAACGGTAGTGCGAAAAGTTTTGTTGAATAACCCTGTATATTACCTACCATCTGCTCTTTACTGAATAGGACATGACAGGGTTGTGGAAAGATATTTGGAATTGGAGCCAACGCACCAGTTTATCGGAAATTTTAACCCGACCTTTAAATATTGATGGAATTTATTTTAGGTCAGGATAATCGTAGTAGACAGTCCGAGTTTCCGCGTAGCCGGGAAAGGCGTTTTAAATCTGATTTGCTCCAGGGAAAACATTTTTTTTTTGGTATCGCAACGATGGGGTTTCCTAGAGGATGAATTTTCAGAGGATTTTTATCAATGTGTAACCAAAAAATAAAATATTCTAATATAATCAACAATTTTTCGGGCAATAAATAACATTATTATAACTAATTAGATAAGAAAATTAGTTGTATTAAGATTATATTTTTTGTAGGTTTTAATATTTGTAAAAATCCGCTAAAATTAGAAATTTCTAATTAAATCTTTTACATTGACTACACAAACTCATTTCCTACGAATAGTGATTGGCTATCATATAATTAATAAATTTCGATTAAACTAATCCACACCCTAACAGAATTTCTAATCAGTTAATTAGAATTTATCACTATTAATTATTAGCGTACGAAGATATACTGCTCCACAAAAGTTAAGGAAGTTCACAAATATTGAGAAAAATTTTAAAGTTGCAGGTTTCTTGATCGCCAAATTTAGTATGAATTGTAGAGGAACAGGCAAAAAATCCACTCAGATATTAGAGAAAATATTTAATTTCGCATATTTGAAAATTTGGTGATCAAAAAGTCTGTAACTTTTAAAATAATCGTAAAATTTGCGAACTTCCTTAACTTTTGTGGAGCAGTTTATTAATAAATCGGTTACTTCAAATACCAGTTTAATTAGTTGGCTAATGTTAACAAAAATAATTAGATGTAAATTCGATAAATAGCTAAGGGTTTAAAAAAATCATCATGTTCCATTCCGAATCGAATAAAGTTAAATTCGACTGTTGAAATGTTTGAACTCGGAGGAGCAGCCCAATTGTTGAAATCGGAACAAAATTTAATCAAAGACCCCTCGAAGCAATGGAAAAATACATCATAAACTTCATTAAACCCTGCAGAGCGAAGGAAAAAAAGAGTATCGAGATAAAGGATTCGTTTAATTAAAAAGGGAGTTCTTTGAGCGGCGTTGGCAAGAGAACATTTAGAAACGGGCCTTTCTGGCTACTTCTGTAGTTTATATGTACAATATTTCGCATTGATGAACATTAAAAAGTATGTTTTTTTTGTATGAGATTTAGGTATAATATTGTTGAAATACTGTATTATATTTTACGTGCTGGTGTTTTATTAAAGAAAATAACCCTTGGGTTTTACCAAACAACAGACATTATAATAAACATGTGGACAAAGGTATAGAGTAAAATCGTAAACATCATAATATTAATTTGGTTTGTTATACTAAATTAATATTACCCTTACTTCATAATATAAACTCAGTAGATTTAAAACTGTAGGCTAAATATATTTAGTAAAAAAGTAGGAATAAATTATTTTTCCAAATTAAAATATTACTACCTTTTTAGCATAACAATTTAATATAACTGCAGAGTTTAGTGTTTCAATCTTCCTTCCTGCTGCCTTTATGCTCATAAAGGAAAGAAAAATTAATTTTCTCAAACTGCAGGAACATTTAATGAATACAAACGCACTAGAGAGTGGAGTTTCTAACCCTTCATAATGAAATAGTTCAGGTATATGCTGTTAAAAACTGAAGTGTTTTTTGCTCTGAAGGATCCTTGTGATGTATTTTCCCAATTTCCATGTACACGAATGTTTAATCTGAGTACATATCGAGATTCTTTTCGGAGATTTACTAGAAATTTCGTCGCGAAAATGAAATAAAATAAAAGGATATATCGATTTTGGGCTTTCAGTGGAACGCTTCCATGCTAATGGCATTTATATGTAAATTCGCAAAGGTGGTGTTTATTTGGAACTTTCAGTGTTCGAAGGAATTTCTAGGTCGGGTTTCATTGCTACCATTTTTGGATACTTCTGTATACAGTTCACACCGAAATATAAAATGAATATTAACCACTACACAGCCATAATCGGGTTTATCTGTGCCAGAATTCCAACGTTATTAAAATATTTCACCTCTTGCTGTAGCTACCTATTTTATTGTATATTATTACTACGCTGTGAAATATAGCCCATAATAATACTGAAATTTATCAATAAATTAATTACTTTATTGAACATTCGATTAACTTCGAATAATCCCTTCAATTTCCATATTTCATCGAACCATTATGCCAGCAGCTCACTGGGAATTCGCAATTAATTTCAAAATAAATCGGCGTACACAACAGGAAAACGAACGCAATACAATAGCATTTGCTTTGTTCCAGGTGTTGCATCGTCGAATCGATCAAATGATTTCCATTGATTCGCCGCTAACACGTTGAAACGAAGAACAGAAACCATGTCTTGTCCGTTCAGACGTACCTCCAACACCATCCAAAATGGTGCTACGGCGGCGTTGAAGCGAAGCATGACTCAGAAACAGAGTTCGATACAGATCCCGGACGAGCAGGACGAGGAGAACAGAAACACACTCAATTTGAAGCACTTGAGCGAAGCAATACTAATTTTAACATCACCAACGGTAAGTTTCATCTAACATAACTAGGTGTTAAGAAAACGTTGATACGTTGTATATTACAAACCACAAATTAATATTCGATATTAAAAAATAGTACATCAAACCTACTGTACAAAACATTCAGAAAAAATATTGAACACATTTCCTACACTGCGGATTTCCTTCTTAGGGCCTTCTGTATCTCCACCAAGGTCTTGCCTTTGGTTTCCGGTATCACAAAATATACGAAAATCATGGCGAGGGCGGCGCCACAAGAGAATGCGTAAAACACCATTTCCAGACCGAGATGGTGCCAAAGAAAGGGGAAGGAATAAGTTATGATGAAGGTCATGAAATATAGTACCAACATTATGAAAGAAAACATGATAACGGCGCTATTCGGAGGCAGCATTTCGATGCACACCATAAAAGTAACCGCACCTGGTCCCAACTTACAGCAAAACGAGTACAATATGATGCACACTATGGGCAACCAATGCAGTGATGTTAGACTAACGTTTTTCTTCTGTAAATTAAGATATGTAGCTAAAATAAGTAACGATAAACCTACGCCTGCGTAGGAGATCATCATTAATTTCTTCCTGCCCCAGCTGTCTATTGTTTTAGTGATCATGATTATGGGCAAAAATTGCAATAAACCATTTATCATTACCGATATATCAGCGGGTAAAGATAATTTGTATTCTGTAAGAATGGTTTGCTGATAGGCATTTATGCAATTTAGCCCTGAGACCTGTTGAAAGAACATCAATATCACTGCTAACAGACAACTTTTCGTTTTAGTCTTTAGAATCTTCCACAAGGAAAGTCGCTTATTTTCGAAATCTTCGATGCAGACTCGCGGTTGTTCATTGCGCTGGTTGAGGATGACTTCGGATTCGATCGAATCGTGTTTGCTGGCTATGCCATTGGAAGGCGATTCCGGCGCGAATTTTCCAAACATCACAAAAAAAACCACGGATAGTCCTATGCACAAAATCGCGATAGTTCTAATTGTAACAAACGGTCCTATTATCAGCAGCAGATCCTGCCCTAACGTCATCATCCAGCTAAATATACTGCAGGCTTTCCCTCTATTCTTAGGACTGGCTATGTCCATGATGTAGAGAGGAATCAACGTAGAACCGACGCCGGTTCCTAGGCCGAATAAAAACCGAGCCACGTAGAAATGCGCGATGCTATCGGCGAATATCAGTATGATGCTGGATATCAAATGCGATATGGCGAATATGAGTAGCGTTTTCTTTTTGCCGCATTTTCTTTCGACCACGCCGCAGGTCAGTATGGAAGCTATAATGCCGAGGAAATGAAGTGAAGTTATCCATGATATTTCGGGCACGGAGGCGATTCGGCCGAGCGGATTGTGCTCGGGATCAACTAAACCTGTGAGTTTAGGCAAGCAGCGGGACGTCCAGACGAATCCCACTCCAATCAACATTGCCATAAAATTTACTAAAAATTAAAAAAAAAAAGAATTAGGTGACCGAGTAAATTATTGCTTGAGCTTATTTTGATGTTGTGGAGTTGGAAAATTCGAAGGATAGGTACATATTTTAGCAGCATGCTTTAAATAAGTTACTAGAGAAGGTTATAAAACATCTGACTATGCAGCAGCGAAACAATTTATTCTTCTTCCAGGAGACATATAAAAACTCGGATCTATGTCTGGTAAAGGGCAGTAAAGCGAATTCTGGTGAACAGTGTTTGTTTCTCAATTGATGAATTCGTCGAAAATCTTTCCAATACTTTAAGCTCATCAACTTTTATAAAATTTTATACCCATGAACATATCTACTGTTTATGTATTTGTACTCTATTTTAATTAATTTTGTTTGAGGCCGGTTAATCGTTAAAGTTGGTACGCCCAGATTTTACGAGAGAGATAAAATGTATTTTAAAACCTACATTTTTTGAATAATGAACAAAACGTATTACATATTGCAGTGTAGACGGTAGACAGCAGGTCGGTGTCAGGTAGTTGGAATATTGTTTTACTTTTGGAAGTTTCTAACAACTTTTAAGTTTGCATTAAATTTTTGTGAAACCCTATTTGAGTTCATTGCTGTTTTGGGCGCTTAACTTTAACCCGCGAAGTGTTGAGATTGTGTATATAATAATAAAGGAAGAATGATTGATGATGATTGCGATTCCTTCGACATACATCTGCCTTCTCGAGAAGTTTTTTTTGATGTGATTAATAATAAGTAAATCATTCAGTAGAGCTGAGCGGGTTCCAGCTTTGCAACACAGCGCGCAGTGAAGTGAAAAATATGAATTAATGTCATTATGATAAAAAAATTAACTTAGGCATAAATTTTAACTCCAATAATTCGACCTATTTTCATAACACTTAAATTTATGTATTAACTTTACTTATTAATATACATACCTGAAACTGATACGAAGTAAAGGTACTTCGATTTTCCAAGCTTATCTAGACTCAACATTTTGTGTAACCTAAAACTTTCAGAACATGTTATGTCTCCATTGAATAATTTATAGCTCTATGAGATTTTATAAGGTGTAGATCATTTAAATTTAACACATCAAGACATATAGTAATATTTTCTGTTTTTTATACTTTTTTAACTGTGATTTATTTTTAAATTTAAATTTAGTTATCAGTAACAATGCAAAATTGCAGGAAAATTTTTGTAATTTAAATAATATTATCACTTGGGGCAATGGCATCGCCAAGTAACTACCTGTTTTTAACACTTCTTATTTCCTTCGTCTCTAAATTGATTTATGGTAAATTCCTTTGATTCAGATTCTAGTATCACTGACTTGATTCTAGTATCTAGTGCTCTGACTTGATACTGGATTAATATTTTCTTTTAAAACCCGCACCTCCTGTACATTTTTATGTTGCCGATTGTGTAAATAAACTGTTATTTTTGGCAATAACGTTTTTAAATTAAAATAAATCCTTAAAATGTTCCATTGACTCTTGTCGTGAACGGATGTATACATGTTTCCAGCATCCCAAAGTAATCAATGATAGGACTTAAAACTGATTTAAACTGGTTAAAGAGATAGAAGAAAACCGAACAAATCACTAATAATGATTGGAAGTGTCCTTTAAATGCATACGCAGTTATGCCCCACAGGAATAAGGGAGAATGAAAAGTGAATATTTAAAACAATATGTTTGTCCAACCAACAGTACCTAATCTCAGGCACAGGCAATTTTCTCGCATTAGTCACTCAGTAGCAAAAATTTCCTGTGGTAACATTTCGCAAGTTTATAAGTTCTATTTCAATTATACTTTATTATTAGAATCATACCTTATTATAAGAATTATAAGGACTATAGATACATATTTATAATAGAGAATGAATTGGAAATGAAATCGTAAATACAAACAAAACGGAGGTATCAAATTTAGCCCGCCGTATAATACATATCTATTAAAAAGTTATATTTTTGAAACAATCAACCTAAAAATTCTAAATATACAAATGTGATAAGCTTGTTCAGATTTTGACTTTAGTACATTAATGAAAAGTTATAAAGTAAGTTACAAAAAAACAGTAAAAACACCACGTAATTAGTTGGAATTAGTTAAAATTTAAATGTTGATTATTTGGCTAATATCTATTATTATAATAATAATATACCTTTGTTTGGTTTTAAATGAATTTTTAAAAAAGCTTTTTTAACTACTATACTTTTTTAATGTTTTTAAAAATGTTTTTAAAATTTATTACAAAATATTTACATAATTATTTACACATATACGTACATATTTCAATATTATATACGTATTTATTACATCATACAAAAAAACATAGACCATAATTTCAAATATTGATTTCAGTCAACGTTAATCTTCTATTAGAAGTATGTAAATGAACACATGATTTATCATCATCAATTTTCCTAAGTTTTCTCTGTATCTGATCGAAAGTTTTTCCTTTGGTTTCCGGAATAAAAACTGCTATGAAAATGATAGCTACTACTGATGCGATGGCGAATCCGTAAAAAGCGATGTCCAGCCCTATTTTGTGCCATACCGTTGGAAAAATGTACACCATTAAGAATGTAAATAAATTCGATACTAACGATATTCCCGAATATAATGTAATCATATAATTCTGCGGAAGGAGTTCGATACTAATCAAAATAGAAACTGGCCCCGACCCGGATTTGAAACTAAAGGCATAAAGTAAAACGAGTACAATTGGCAACCAATTAACAGAACTTAGATCGATTTCATACGTTTGCAATTGATAGTAAATAGCTAAGCATAATATTGACAATCCTTGGCCTATGTATGACATTATGATTATCCTTTTTCTTCCCCATCTGTCTATTATTTTGGTCACTAGTAGCATAGGAATAAATTGAGCAATACCATTTATCATCACAATTTTATCAGCCGATAAAGGTGTTTTATATTCGGCTAGCAAGGATTGCTGGTAGGACACTACACAATTTATACCAACTGCTTGTTGCAAAAACATCAATACAGCAGCGAACAAGTAACATTTGTGGATACCTTTAGTCTTTAACATCTGTCCAAAGGAATTTCCCGAATCGCCGTTAATAGTCGTAATTAAATTACTCAATTCATCCGCAATTCCATCGTCTTTCAACCGAGTCTTCTTCAAAATACCCTCCGCCTTTTGCATGTCGCTTTTTTTTACAAAATACGACGCACTCTCCGTGCTAAATTTACCAAAACACGCCATAAAAACTATCGAAGGAATCAACGATATCAACGCCAGGGTGCGGATCGTCACGCTGGGTCCGATCAAGAAGACCGATTCCATCCCCAAGGCTGCCATCCAGTAAGTGCAGCTAAACGCCCTACCCCTGTGGCCAACTTCCACCATTTCGACGACGTAAGGCTGGATGAGAGTGAAAGCGCACCCCGTACCAAGCCCTATCAGAAATCGCGCTATGTAGAATAAAACCACGTTATTCGCGAATACCAGTATGATGTTCGAGAGCATCTGTAAAGTGCCGAAAAAAATTAACGTTCTTTTTTTGCCGAACTTGTTGGCCATCATAGCGCAGAACGGGATGCAGGCTATCGCGCCTAAATTGTGGAGTGATGTTATCCAGGATATTTCTTGAATGGAGGCGGGCCTTCCGAGCGGATTGGTTTCGGGATCCACTTCTCCGAAGAGTTTCGGTATGCACGGTGATGACCAGGCTTGTCCTTGTCCCGATAGGAACGTCATTAGGTTCACTAAAATCAAATTTGGGTCTTTAAATTGTTAAATAACGATCCCACGCAATACTTGTATAGGGTTTTCTTAGATGTCACTATTCAAAGAGATTCCATATGTAAACAAAATTTTCTTTAGACTATAGTTCAGTATTCACAAGATATTTTTTCAGGTAGTTCACAGCGCGGGGGATTAATCACAATTCGAAATATTTTAAACACAACCACACGAAGTAACAAAATTTTCTCTCTACTTTTATGCACAAAATCTTCTCTCTACTTTCATAAACAACATTTTCTCTCTACTTTTATGCACAATTTTTTTACTCTAATTTTAATTATTATCTTTATTTTTTCTTTACTGTTATGCACAAATTTTTCTCTCTACATTCATGAAAATGTTCTCTCTACTTTTGCGTACAAAATCCTCTCTCTACTTTTATGCACAAAATCATCTTTCTACTTTCATGAACAACATTTTCTCTCCACTTTTATGCACAAAATTTTCTCTCTACTTCTAACACTTAATTTATAAACAAATACAGCCAATTAACAACAAATGCGAAAGAAAATTAAACAACGTGCTTCGTACTTCCATCCAACTAAACAGGTAGAAGATATAAAATACGCCCTGAAAACGTGGCGGAAATTTCAGCATTTCACAAATTTTCATAATACTGAACTCTATAGCCTTAGAGTACTTCGAAATGTACACATTTTTTTAAATTTCGAACTATTTCTATTTTGACTCTTTAAACGATTAATTAGCGCCGAACAGGAGCGCCGAATACGAGCCATTTCTCTTTAATTGAGAAAGTCAATTACAATAATCTTCGATTAAATATACTAGTATTATAGTTCTGGAGTTGGTTCTCGCTTTTAAGTATACAGTAATGAACTTTTCATTCAATGTAATATACATATTCCTAAAAATATTGGCATATGTTTAGTACCCAATGTGAAAATGTGAGTAATAGGTTTTGGATTCTCCCAAAAATAGAGTTACAAAACAACTAACGAAATTGCGCACTAACGTTTCGTTAGTCAAAATACCAGAATATAATTAACATTAGTTTTTACATTTACAATTGAAATATACTGTATATTTTACTATTTAGAACCATCCAATGAGTTACGATAACACACGCTAGACTGTATGTGTCCATGATTATTTAGAAACAAACTGTGTACAAACATAATTATTTTTTATTTTAATTTGCCTTTTTTTTCATGATTTTTGCAGTGGCGCTAACACACACCGTTTTATTTCGTTAAAGAACTTTCTTTAACGATTCCTTCTTTAACTTCCGTTAAAGAAGAATTGGATCTATAAAGAGATCTAATGATTAGTTAATCAGTAAATAAACTTTAGGTATTCACTTACCTGAAAATGTAATGAAATAAATGTAACATATTTGTCGTAATTTTGCGTGGCCTTTCATTTTTTACAGGAGCTAGTGGACTCGACTGAAATGATTAAATATAAGTATATTGGTTATTCGCGAATATTTCACTTAAAATAAATATTAATAAATAGCATTAATTAGCAGGGTATTTACGATAAGCAATAAATTTGAATAAATGAATGTTGGACGATTTAAAATTTAGCGGAACCACTAGTCTATTTTATCTATTTTATTTTGTTTTTACTTACTACAGGGTGGCCCAGAACTCACGCCCCACCGGGAATGGCTTTATGAAAACGACAATGGGGATACCAAAACTGCAGCCGATTGATCAAAAAATCGATCATTCGATTCGAACCACTTTTGAAGCAATAAAAAATTCTGTAGGTTTGGTATTAGTACGACGGATCTCCTAAATGATCGATTTGGAAGCAAATCATTGATCAATAGTCACAGCTGATTTTGGCAGCTTTTGTTAACCTTTTTCATGTTTTCGACTGCAGTTTTGGCATCTCCATTGCCGTTTCCATAAGACCTTTCCCGGTGGGGCGTGAGTTCTGGGCCACTCTGTATAGATAAGTTTATTATAACAACATTAGCCTTAGCAATAAAAATTTCCTTTAGTTAAAGCTTGCATCTCATTACCGGTGTTTTTGCTAGGAAATGGACAGACCACTAAATCGCGTGTACTAGTTGGAAATTACGGTACATTTATTTTTACTGTAAATTACTAATTAAATTTAGCGATACATTTATTAAGCGGTACAAAATTAGCAATATTCTTTATTGAGAGGTGAAATGTAAGTAAAATTACCTTCACGTCTCATCATTCACCCATCTCCCCCTCGCTCCTCCCGAAGAGATCGATCGACCCCTTAAGCGATGCGATACAAAAAAACGCAAATTTTATAGATAAATCGACCCCTTGGGGGATGTCAGGAAGGTCTGATGATTTTTGCGGAGACTGTCCCCTGGTGTTATAATAGGCTGCCTGCAACTTTTTATACTCGAATTCAAAGGCCTACGTCAATCTTCTCTTCACTGATCTGGAGTAGTAAGTTGTGATAGAGGACAATTCTACTCGTATGTAGGGTGGGCTAAGGAGAAAAGTGAGGGAGAATATGGCTTTTGACACAATTTGAGCACAATTTTTGGTCGAAAGTGAAGGAAACTCTCTGGTTAAAATCACTATTAACTAGAGATGAGTAAGAGTGACTACTCAAAAATAAATTAGTGTGTACAGTATTCAAAATATAAAGAAGGTATATCGATGTTGTTATATCGAATAGATTTATTTAGATATTCCTGAGCACTCGTATTAATCGTAAATACTCTATAATCTAAAAGTGAAGATTTGTCCCAGAGTAAAGCTAGCAATAGTAGATCATATAAAACTCTCACATGCTATACTACTTTACATCACAGCATAAAATTCGCTTTCGACAGGGGATTATGGTGTATAAATGTAGGTACTTACGTCTTTATAAAAAATCCGGTATACTCCACCTTCAACAGTTTACTCGTTCAACTATGCATTTAAGGATTTACATACTGCTGTAATTTATTATACACCTTTTTGGCTCACCTGGATTCGATTAAGTCAATGATAAAGGTAAAAAGTTTGTGCTTTTACACTTTCGCGCATTATTTTAACAATGTATAAAAAGTTTTGCGCGAAAAAGTTTTTATTAGTTTTTTATCCAATTTAACCGTAAAGATCGTTGAACTTTTGGTAATTATCTTGGAAAACTTTTGAAGCGTCTAACATAAATATAATATTTATGTTATAATTAATAGTAATGTAAAATCAAAAACACAAAAAAATCAGTAACATAATATTTTTGAGTATTTCGTTATTTAACAGAAATTGAATAAAGTGTAGCTACAATTTTTTGCTAAAGAAATTTTTTCCTGTTTGTTAGTTGATCCCTGGACATTCTGTATGTTGATGGCATGTGTAAGTACAAAATTAATGAATCCAAGATATAACAATTTTACGGTAATTTGTTAAAATTGTATTTTACATAATATTTAAATTTTCAAGAACAACGTAGATAAGATAAAACTCAATTTACTGTAAAGCAATATTAAATGAAAATAAAAAATAAAATAATAAATAATAATATTCAGCAAGTTATTTATTGCTAAAAAGAACCAATTTTAAATCACCTGCGTGTATCAGTTAAAATATTAATTTATTCATCATGGCAAGTCCTTTGCCGAGTTAAAACAGGTGTTATTACTTCTTTATCATTGGCAAATATTTTACGCAGCGATTTCAATAGTCGACAGACCAATATTCTCACTCACTATCGTTTTCTATTCGTTTTAACTTCGACTTTTGCGGGGTATTCGGGCAAAGGAACAGAACAATAGTCCCTCAAAGTTGGGCGCTGTCGATAAAAATCTACCAGTGAAATTCTACCATATACACGCTTAAATTTTAATTTCGATGAGTATCTGTTGATAATTTTTCTTATAGAACTGCTTCTTAACATTCAGGTTTAACTAGATATGAGCATTTTAAGTTACTAAACTCACATTAAGAACCCAAAATTGACCTATTTTCATTTCCTATTTTCATTAGAAAATGTTTACAATTTCTTATGAATCTATCTAATATTGATTCAATTAGAAAATACTCTGATTTAATAAGGATTTAATTTAAATATTTAGTATATAGCTCTAGTGAATGAAAATAGCATAAAGCATTGTTTTGTTAATGGAACTTCCTCTATTTTATATTCTATTCTAATTATTCTATATAGCAATAATACCCAACGATAAATACATTAGTCTTATTATAAAACCTCTAAAACTGGTAAATACCTTCAATAATATTACAATATTCTAAAATCCTGTTAAGTAAATTCATTCAGTGTAGGCAGCTTCAGTTCAGAAACCCCTGGCGGATACGGCGAGTACACAATAAAATTTCGGGCACCGAAGCCTATCATCTTTCTAATTAATTTCATACCTGATTTATTTTAGAGTGCCTTTAATTTATCAGTTGATTTGAGCTGCCTATAAAGTTTCTCGGAGTTTCAAGAGGACGCCCTTTAATAGGGGCCAAATTGATTGGAATGTTTGCTCAGAAACACCGGTGGGTGTAGTGCGATGGAAAGCCGTCGATCGGAAAGTGCTTGACGTGTTAGTGATGGAATATCGGTGGATTTTCTTTCATGGAGTTTAAGCCTTTACTGATTTATTCAAGAGGGTTTTTGTAATAATATCAACGATGAAAATGTAGACTTACTTGGGGAAATTTCTAATGGCTCAAAAACGTTAGGAGTGAGATTTCACGCCGCTTCGTAAATACTAATTTAATCGCTTCTAATTGAGGCTCCTCGGTAAATGCGGTTGCTCGTGCGCCAGGTTTTTAGGATATGTGGTTTATTAGGGGACTTTGGAAGCTGCAGCTGAGGATACAATAAGTCCAGATGTCGAGATTTTAGTGACCCCTTGGCAGTTATTTGGAACTAATCTTTTATCCGACACCCACCGAGAGGATTTTCTTTTTTTTTATTTATTTAGGCCAGTATTAAGGAATTGATGGGGAAGTTATTATTTTTTTACGCCCACTCATTCAAAATATTTCTTTATATTACGTTATTATATTAATAAAATAATTTTTGCCTAAAGCATATGTATTTATAAATTTTCATTGTTTGTAAATAAAATATATAGGTGAAGAAACTCGTAATTCATTCGAAGGTTTTTCCTTTAGTTTCCGGATAGAAACCACTATATGGAAATAATAGCGTCAAAGAATTGAAACAAATGGGAATCCATAAAAAGTTACATCTATCCCTGTTTAGACCATATCATGGAAAAATGTGCGCTTTTGGAAATACTAATAAATTCCATACAAACCGTAGTGTTGAATATAAATGGATCAAATTAATCTTCTAAAGGAATTCGAAACTAATCAGCCGTGACTTGATTTGATATTGAACTAGAAAAATAGCGGATTACTTTAGTTTCGTAATTCGTAAAAGTAATTTCTATTGAATTTCTATTTCCAATGAAATCCTGTATACATCGTAGTGTTTATTGTTTTTTTTTTGTGAAAACGTTAATTATTGCGATGAAATTATATTTTTAATATTTAATATTCGCTCTTTTTAGCGCATATTTCAGTTACCGTATATCTTATAATTTTAAAAACTCGACTGTTAATTGAAGCCACATATGTACATACATACATACATATGTTTGGATATACACGCTGATATACACGCAATTAAAAATAAAAACCCTTGTTGACGGATGTATACAGGGTTATCCAAATTAAGTGTTCGTAACTGGTAACTTTTATAATTTTAAAATTGCGACATCGGTTAAATTAGCAAACCATTAGTATTTTTTCGTTTTCGAGTCATTGATCAAAACAATATTTTTTTGAGATGGATATTTTAATGGAACACCCTGTATATTCTTACCTTTGAGTTCAACTTAAAATTCTAAGTATTTTTCATGTAATCCCAACGTGTACAGTAATTAAAATTATGATATTTAGTAGTAATCAATTTACTTGGGTAATTATTATTTACTAAAAACATCAGTAGCTATAATAATGCATAATTCACATACTTCACACAGGATAATTGCTATAATTTACACAGGTGATAATATGTAACATAAAACTTTAATTATACCTTGTACATTATCTAAAATATTTTGTGTTCACAAATTATCTATCTACATTGTATGTAAGAAATATATTATTTAATTTCACCAGTTATGACAACATTAAAATAAATTATTATTAAATCAGTATTCTAAAATCCTGCATAACAAATCCATCATTCATTGTTCTAAACTTCTGGGATTACTTTTCCTGCATGTAGCGTATCTATCGAACACACATTAAAATTTGAGTCCAGAGCCTCTCATATTTCTGAGTTATTTCATTTCTGATTTATCTCAGAGTATCCTTAATTTATGAGTTGATTTCTGCTGCCTATAAAGTGTCTTCGAGTAGAATAGTTTTTATAGTTCTCAAGCGATAAATTTGAAACTTTCCAGCTTCGCAATTTTTAGAATAATAAGTATTTATGGCTGGCATTAAAGTCGGTAGAAAGGGCGCTAGTTATACTTTATTTATTTGGTAAACACTGAAATTTTTACTCTACCTATAATTACATAAAAACGCAAATGTATAATTCTCGAAGTTTATTTCTGTACTTTACTCTACATTCATTGTTCGACCGAAATCAATTACTTCAGCTTTTTTACCTAATTTGACTTCCATTCGTTTCCTATTAGATCCTGTGTTGGCAAGGAGCAAAGGTAATTACGTTTATGGTGTGTTTATGAAGGGAAACAGAGATCCCGTTCTCCTGATAATTCCTCTTTTACTGGTGATAACACAGCACACAGCAGATAATTCCATTGCAATCTAAACATCGTCTGCAGTTCGTCCATAATTAATCTCTTATATCTTGTAAAAAAATTGTAATTAATGACCTCAGAAATTGGATCTGTCGCGTACAGAAGACCATTCGTGTACGTCCGATTTATGCGAAGAAACGTGAAAAATTATTTGGAAATATTAATGGCGTTTTCTTTTGTAACTTTTTAACTTGGAGGCACGAATTTTTTCATTTGATCTGATAAGCTGCAATTTACGAACGAGAAATACGAGAGACACGCGACTTTCTTTCGGAAAGTTCTAAACGTTAAGATATCTCTTTAATGATTCGTTATTAATTTTGTAAATACATTAAAGCATTTTTTATACATATGTTTGTACCAGCTGACTTTAAATGATTTGAGACTTTTTTCATGTAATGCTGTAATTGGCTTCTTACTGTTTTGGCATTACTCAAACAATATCTTGAAATTTCAAATCAAACGATTTAAATAATTTAAAATTTCATGAGACATCACTCACAAATCAGAGTTACCAGTATAATTTTTAAAATAGATATTACATAAATCAATAAATTATGTTATTAAATAGATCCATGAATTACTAACAAAGCGCATTCTAAATTATTAACAAAACAGATGATAGTTAATTACATAAATTCCTCAATTTATGGAAATATTGTTGCCCTAAACCATTATTATCAACGAGGTAATCTCGCAATGAACAAATTTTCCAATTAAAAATTCTAATTGAAATGCTGTTTGATTTTGATTTAATTTTATGGTTCAGGGGTCTCATGTTTTTATTTGCACAGAAATATACGAGCATCTGGTGAGGTCGTTATATTTAGTAATTTACTGCATTTTCCGAATAATGGAAAATTCCCTGGGTTCAATGATTTTTGTAGAGAATATTGTGAAATTATGAGAGAATGCTTTGAAACAATGTTTCATACAACAAAAAGTCCATACATTTGCTGTTTTATCCCATATACAATAAATTTTACTGATTATTTTTTCTACAATAAACACCAATTTTCCTTGAACAAATAGTCACATTTTGTTAAAATTCTATTCATAATAAGACCAAATCGCGATGTCATTAATTCAACAGAAAAATTTCCCCTTATTTTCCCTGGTTCTCCTTGAGGATGAAAATTTCCTGAAATTTCTTACGTTGTCATGGTAATGAAATTAAATCCACACGAATTATCCGCAAAAAATGAGATGTGAAATTTCCCAGCAAATACCTGGATAAAAATATTAAATTTCCATTTCTTTTCCAGAACGAAGCTGTACAACAAGCACTGGCATCCTTAGTGTTAAAGGAGTACAATCCGTATAAATATAAATGCTTGTAAGTAAATAATAGGTATCTACTTGGATATTACGAGGTACATATTCATTTTATTTTTATTTTTAGAGATAAACTACCGCAAAATGTCACAAATTGTCCAAACTATGCTTATTTAGAAGATCTCTACGACACTATTAAACTCGAAAATGGTGAGTGTACACTTTTCTAATGCTTATTTGTAACGAATGATGCGAATATGGAGTGTAATAATCATTATAATCTAATAAACGTGCGCAATTCCGAACGACATCGACTCATCGACGTTTCCAATCTGTTCCAGACATAGACGAAACGCAATTCTTCGACCTTTTAGGTCAAGAATTGATCAGCCTGTCGTGCACGGAGCGAACGGAGCGCGCCTTCACGTGCTTGGGCGGCAATCTTAGGGAATTCCTGACCACGCTCGACGGCGTTTACGACGTCCTGAAGTATCAGAACAACGGGCGCGAGCACGAGCACGACGCCGACGCCTTCATGTGCACGGCCTCCGAGGAGGAAAACATCCAGCTGGATTTTACGACGGAGAGGCCGGCTGTCGCCTATCTGCTGGTCGGGTGCCTGAAGGCCATCGCGAAGATTTTGTATGAAACGCAGGTGGAGGTGGCGCTAGTGCAGGACGACGTGGACAAAAGGCATTTTAGGTGAATTCGATTTTTTTATTGATTCTAACTTATTCTTTTTTTGTACTTACTTACGCTGGCTAAAGTTAGGCGTTGGCTAAATTTAAAAGTTAGAGTATTTTAAAAGGATTTTCCGTGGAAATTCTACTGGTTTATAGTGAAAGTCGTTTATTACAAAAAAAAGTCTTAAAAAGTGTTTTGATCTACAATAGACTTTATATCGCTTAGTGCCTTGGGTGTTCTTTGCGAACTTTTATCTGCTTTCTTAACTTGTCTATAACTTTATAATAATAGAAGGTTTCATCCATATGGATTTACTTTTGTTCAGATTGTATAGTGATGCTAATATTTTTTGTTAATGTCGCAACGCAGCGAAACTTCCACTCTCGCACGATTTTCCAGCGCATCCTAGCGCGCAACCCGACTGGTGGTACTGGGTACTGGCACGGCCAGGACTGCCAGGAGAGAACGAATTTAGCCTTCACGGCGTTGCGTCATGCTTGTTCGTCTATCCCGTCTACAATAAAGAGTTTTCTACATTACAATTCACGTTACAAATATCTCACTACCACCCAGCAACAACAAATCAAACAACTTTGGAAGAGATTTTGTATACCCAGTGTGCCAGTTTCAATTATATCAATTCAAATATTATTATTTTCATAATAGGTATGTCCCTTTTCATAAAATTTCTTTCAAGCAAGTATTTTTTACAATGTTTTATAATAATTATTATTAAAAATGTAATATGTGGTAGTTATTATTTCAAATTTTATGTCAAATTTTTTTATTGAAAATATGCAAATGCAATCAAAGGCAAATACCTACGTTCCTGCGAGTATTAAAGTTCATAACAAGTTTTAAACTTAAAAAAGTGTACTTTTTAAAAGTAAAATATTTTGTTGCAACTTAGAATTTTTAGATGCCTACTAAAAAAATACAAATTTATACTTGTGAAATTTTCAAAAAACTTAAATATCGCTTAATTTATTAATTTAATAATATATTCTAAGATAATCGCCGAGTTTACTTACAAAATTTTGGAAAAAGTCTTAAAAAAAGCAAATAAAAATTTGTGAAAACGAACATATTTGGACGAACATATTTGGAACATGCGACTGGAACATATCGGTTTCATTATAAATTAATATTTGTTTCAGATATCACATGAAGTTAAATTCGTCGGCAACGAAGCAGCTGTTTTTATGCAAAAAGCTCATGCCTGAGTTCGCCAGTCACAAGCTCCAGATGGGCGTTAATACGTTCTGTAAAGCTTTTCCTTGGCATTTTGTCTTAGGTACGTAAACACTTGTGTATTAAAATTGCATCAAAGTAAGATTCCCCAGGAGAGAAAACAAAGAAAAATTGAAAGTGCCTTCACATACTGGAATTAAAGTACCTAAAATACCATTAAAAAATAAAGAGCTTTTCGTCTCTAGGCATATTATTTTTAAACTCTGACTGGTCTTAATTTAATCTGAAACAATATATATTTTATCGATTATTAGACCAGATGTAATCGTATTAACAAGGATTATGATCGAATTATTTTGAATTAGATCGTCGTTTGGAATTGGTGCAGCTGGGCAGCGGTTTCATGCGATTGTTCGGTCGATTTCTGACCACGCTCGGGGCATCGGTGGCCACTTATTTCGAATTTCAACGACCCAGAAGCATCACGCTATCTTTTGACGAAATTATCAAGAGAGCAAATACTCCGTTCCTGTTGAGCATTAAGAAGTTAAACACTTCCGGCGATTTCTCGGCCGAGGTACGTGTATATATTTTCCCTAACAATTTTCCTTCGAAACTTTTATTGCCTCTCTGGTATATAATAATATTTATTTTGCACGCGGAGGCTTTTGTGTTTCTTTCGTAATTTTGTACTTGTACTTGCAGGTCGTTTTATTTGTCTTTAAATTGCGGCGTGTTTCACATTTTCGTGAAGTTTTGTCGCAGATATTTTTTAATCTTAAATGAGCAGAAGACATAGCTTAAAACCATAAATAATTGATTATATTTTTGGGAAGTTGGTAATAAATATCGACTACATAAATATTGGCTGCATTGATTTACCAGTGATTGATATCTCGGTATGCTTGAAGCTTGATTTTTTTTATTTGAAACACGAAGGTAGCCGTGGCAACGGAAATGTAACAAGGCATATTAATAGTATTGGATATCTACGATAATTGGTTTAATCCTTTGGTAAATATAATTTATTTATTATGTAGGTACTATAGTGAATTTTATGTTTTAAACATTAAAATTCCGACAGAATTGCAGCTTTACCAACATCAAAAAAACCCTCTCAGTTTATAGTCAGTCGGTATATTTTTTTATTTGCTCAAAAAATTAAGTTGAACCTAATCGACAAAAATGCGGAATCCGACTTTCGACGTTCGTAGAATTCGTAAACAGAAATATCCTTTGAAACCTACAACAGAAATGAATTTTATCCTCTATTTCTTTATCCACTTCTTTTTTATACTTTTTACTGCAAAACGTCCACTTTAAATTATCCTGTCAACTCTGCTCTGCTAAGCTTAAAACATTCCTTATTAATTGTTAAAATGTCTGTCATTTAAAATGCTTCGTAAAAACAAACTTCAAGTACCTAATTACTTGATTTCCACGAAACCTTTTAAACAAATCCAATTAGAGAAATTATTATAGGACAAAAACGAGCTACGCAATCGATCCATCGCCGAACCCCCTTCGGTTACGTAAAAAAAAATGATCACCACACTTGACGCTAAATCAAAGCGACAGCCCAGTATCCGATTCAACGTAGCGTCTAATTAAAACGGGAAACAAAACTGAAGCTCCTCGGTAATTCGGCCTGTTCGCATGATTTACGGAATTTGATATTACTAACGTCGTAAATCCGGATCGTAGTTTCGTTGTGTTGTGGATTTCCCATCGTCGAGCGAACCCATTACAGATTCGAATATACGCCCGTTATGCCGGTTAGCCTTCGTGTACTCCGCTCGGTAATGAAAACGAAGCCGGAAAACAAATAGGGATCGAATGCAACCGTTAAATTGAACATCCCCATCGAATTAAATGGCTAATAGCGGATCGTTTATGGAACCCCTATGTGTGGGATAAGTAACTACGAATTACATATAAAAAACGGTTTCGTCAATCAATGCTCAAATATACTCCAATGATTTTATGGGTTTCTTTTTTTCTTCTTCAGTATATTCTTCAGAGTCAAGTTGTTGCCTTAGTATTAGACTGCAAAAATAGCCCTTTGGTTCTTAAAGTTTCTCTAATTATGGTTTTTATAAAGTATTAAATTTTAATGGTTTGACTGTAGGTAAATTTTCTCTTGTTTTAATAGAGCTTGTTTGGTGTTTTTGGGTTTCCCCGAAACGATACCCTGGCTAGTTCTATTTATTCGCAACAAGCGCAAAATTACTGGTTTTTACGATATTCCGTGGAATTTTCAATTACCTGACTCGTCAATTAAGCGTCGAACGTAAAGCTCCTTTCTCCATAAAGACACAATTTATCTTGCACGCGATGTATAAACCGAACTCCTGCTCCAGGCTAACGGCGACAACGATCGAATTAACGCGAAAAAACTAAATAAAAACGTCGCTCACAAAGGGCCGGTCCATTGTGCGCGCTAATTACTTTTTAGAGGAGTTTTATTAACGTTTCACCTTCGCCACGCTCGCAGGGTCTTAAGCTCAAAGGACAGATGGTGTTCTGCTCGGAGTCGAATTCCATATTGTTCATCGGCTCGCCTTTTATCGACGGGCTGGAGGGCCTCACCGGAAGCGGCCTCTTCATCTCGGACATTCCCCTGCACGACGCTACCAGGGATGTCATTTTAGTCGGAGAGCAAGCCAGAGCACAAGTAAACAATTCATTCATTCACTAATTTAGTTGCAAAAATTGTAATCAAAAATTACTCATTCATCACATGTAATCTTGGATTGGGTGATGAACGATTAGTGGTTCATAATTTCTATAATTAACTGGTATTATTTGAGGATATAAATCTGGGAAATTCCCATAGCAACTGGAGTAAAATAAATACGTAGTAATAGATTCACTAAAGCCTTTTCAAATTGAATATTTGTAACAGGATGGGCTGCGAAGGCGTATGGATAAGCTGAAGAGCTCGATCGAAGAGGGAAACAGGGCCGTGGATAAAGAACGCGAGAAAAACGTCAGTTTACTGCACTTAATCTTTCCCCCGGATATCGCTAAAAGGTTGTGGTTGGGTGAGTCTGTTACGATCTGTTCGCATTTTCTGTAGCTGTAAATCTTACTCGGCTGATTCCTTGCACGATTTAAAGGTGAAACCATCGAGGCAAAGACGCACGAAGACGTCACGATGCTCTTCAGCGACATCGTCGGTTTCACGTCGATTTGCTCGACGGCCACTCCTATGATGGTCATTAACATGCTTCAGAACCTCTACAACAAGTTCGATACGTTTTGCGAACAAATCGATGTCTATAAGGTTTGAGAGTTAATAATGGTGTTGTGAGTTGGGTTGAGAAATCGTTTTTTTAAAGGTGGAAACTATCGGCGACGCGTACTGCGTTGCCGGAGGTCTTCACAAAGAAACGCACACTCACGCTCAGCAGATCGCTTGGATGGCGCTCAAGATGATCGAAGTTTGCTCATTGCACCAAACTCACCAAGGACAGCCGATCAAGGTACGTACATTTTAATTAAGAAAATTCATCGCACGTGATGCATTCCGCTTTGATCCTTCTGCGAGCGCAAATTTTTTCCGCCTTTCGAACTCAATCCGTTCGTGAAATTCCAAATCAAAAATCCATTCGCCGTTCTAGCGTTCACCTATGCGCCTACAATTTCGATCATACGCCCGACCAGGAGCAGCTCCTTCAATAATTCATCGTCTGATTGTGACGGGGATTTTTTTCTCTCTTTTTCAGATGCGCATCGGCCTCCATACGGGGTCCGTGCTGGCCGGGGTCGTCGGAGTGAAAATGCCGCGTTATTGCATGTTCGGTCACAACGTCACCATCGCCAACAAATTCGAATCCGGCAGCGAGCCCCTGAGGATAAACATCAGTCCCACGACGTTCGTGTATGTTGCTATTTTTCTTGTCTCATTCAAAACGGGCGTTTTAACAGCGTCCCGCGCCGTTCTCGATTTGTTTCCTCGTCAAAGGAAGCACGTTCGACGTGTGTACATACGTTTTTCGCGGTGACAGCGGATAATTGCATTGTAGGAGCTTTTTTAACCGTTCGAACGGATTAGTTTTCACGCCACTGCGGGGAACATGACATGTTAGGATAGGGACATGTAAAATGGCTTTTAGAGTCGCCTAAATTCAACAAAATGTAATTTTCTAGTGGCTATACATCCTTTATTGTGCAGAACGGTTCATTATTAAAGGTTTGTTCCAGCAGGATGTTCTATTATGTTTTGATCAGGTATGTTTCGAGCACGTTAGATACCAATTTTGATTAGAACATGACTACAGTAGATACTAATTGACGAAACGCTCACTATCGCAAATTAATATTTGTGATTTTTTTTTTTAATTTTAAAATGTGTCTTTCAAGATTTTTCAAGTACCTAAACTTGACGATATTTTCTAATATATCACTAACTTTGTCGATTTTTAAAATGTTTTTGCAAGATTTTACAATTAACTTTGACGATTTTAATAATACTTTTCCAAGTTAATCGATTTTGAAATGATTTTACCAGTAAATTTGACCAAAGTGGCCTTTTACACTTTGGAAAACAAATCTATTTTATCTTTAAGAATTTAATTTAATCTTTAAGAAGTTCCCGAAGAGTTACTAAAAGACAGTTCTAAATGGTAGGAGAATGATTTTGGAGAGGTCTAGATTGTCCTAGAACAATCTTAATGTTTCTTGAGCGTTCTAGATTGTTCAAGGCCGTTCTAAAAGATTCTGGAGCGTTCTAAATATAGTTCTAGATATGTCTAAATGGTTCTGGAGCATTCTTATTAGTTCTAAAGAGTTCTAAATGATTCTGGATTGTTCTAAATGGTTGTAGACAGTTCCAAATGATTTTGGAGCGTTGTAAATGTTTCCGGAGCGTTCTAAATGTTTCTGGAGAATCTTAAATGGTTCTAGACAGTTCTAAATAATTCTGGATCGTTCTTAATGATTCTGGAGGGTCGTTCTAAATGGTTCTGGACAGTTATAAATAATTTTAAAGTGTTGTAAGTGGTACTAAACAGTTCTTAATGTAAAAGATTTTGGATCGTTCCAAATGGTTCCAGACGGTTCTAAATCATTCTAGATCGTTCTAAATGGTTCTAGACAGTTCTAAAGCTGCACAAATCAAAAATCAACTTTTTTCGAATTTTTTTGGAGAAACGCTCTAAAGTATTTTCTGATATTTCTGTTAATATTGAACAAATCAAAAACGAAATAGTCTTGAAAAATAAAATAGTTTTTAAAATTTTGTTAATTATGCTATGTGAATTGTCTTCTTGAGCTATCTAGATGTCTATTCAATGAGAGGCTACCGTGGAAAACCCTGTATACAACTTAGTACATTCGAAAAATCCCTTATTTACGTTTCGTTAATTTATCGGATTTCTTTGGGTTTAGGCGTCTGACGAGAGCGGGCGGCTTCGTGACGGAAGAGCGGGATCCGAGCTGCCTGCCCAAGGACTTCCCCGCCCACGTGCCGGGAACGTGCCACTTTCTGGTGGACTACAAGCACTCGAAGTTGGCCGAGGAGGCGCCGATCGCGAGGCACATCGAAGCCGGTCTGCTGGACATCGGGCTCAAGTGGAACGACGCCGAGGCTTCTTAAGACTGCGGAGAATCTAGCAATAACAGTGCAATAGAATGTTCTGAAGAGACTGACGTATTTGATATTCCTATGCTGGGGTTTATGCAAAGTTGTATTCGAACGGGGTACGGAATTTTACAGCGTTTTACTAGATGTCGACAATAAATGATGAATAACTAGCAGGACTTAAGGATTAGTGAATTTTTATATTTTTATGTTTTAATGTTTTAATCGAGAACCATTAATAACAAGCTGAAGTACATAATAGATAATTAGTGCGCACTTTTAATTTTCGGTGTTGCTTGTGTGTATGTTAATCTACATATAATTTATATGAAAATGCTTTTTGCAATTTTTATGGTTTTTGATTAAAAATTAAAACAATACCTTATTAATATGTTACACACCTTAATAGGTACAAAGCTACTTCAAATAATTGTAAAGCAATTACATGTGTTAATAAAAAACTACTACTTAAATGAAAACCGATCGATTCAACAATGTATAAATTATAGGTAATTGTTAAAATAAATGTTTTTTTTTAATTTACGATTACCTACTAGAATAATCGATAAATGTAACTATTGTATATACATACATATTTATATCTTTTCACTCTATCTTCTATAAAACATATTTAATAGTCCGTACATAACATTTCTTCTAACAGACAACGATAAAATTTCGCAGCTTTAAACGTACCCGAAATAAAAATTATACAACTTTGTGTACTCCCCCTGACAACAAATAATTTTCGATAGCTACTTATACTTATCTGTTTTTCACCTCAAATATTTTCTACAAAAACATTTTACTTTGCAATTTATCACGGCACTTTACAAATTATTGTATTCATGTACTTACAATTAGACCACCTTCAATAAAGGATATAATGAAATTTTGGATAAACTTCATTCAACGCCTTCCAAACCATAACTGCATCAGATTCTGGCAAAAAGGAGAAATCTAGCTACTTATTCTGGATATAATGCGATGCTATCCAGAATCCAAAGACAATATTTAGGAGCACCAGTAAGTAGAAGAGAATTAGATTGACGTAAAGGATCTAAAGCAAGAACTAAATGCTAAAACTAAATAATTTATTTTAAATAGTTGTAAATTGTGCAGCTTGAAAACATGTTATGAGTTGTTGGTTAAAGAATTAAATAACTCGAAAATATATCAATAGTTGTCATTATCAATAGTAAAGTAAAGTATAAGTAGTAAAGTATTAATCAATAGTAAAGTATCAATAGTAAAGAATAAAGAGCGCTATTCGCTACTGGATGAAGCGAATTCTAATATCGGCCGACAATCATCAGTTCGACTGATTTTCTGTTCCTTACTAAATTATTATATCGATTGATATTAATTGAAAGTCTCTTTCTAAAGATTGCAGCTATAGCCGCAAGTTGCCTCTCTGTATACAATACCTATGTAGTTACACAATACATGTAATTACCAAGGGCATATTGCAAGCCCTAACAAATTTATAATTCTATTTTTTTAATCAAATCTTTATATCCAAATAAATATATATTTAAATCTTTATCAAACACTGATCAATTCCAGCGATTTTTTTTCTTGCACTTCATTGTTATTATTAAGTAAAATCTGTATTTGCGCGAATGTTTTACCCATGGTTTCCGGAATTAGGAAATATGTGAACAAAATCGCCATGAAAGCCGTAATGGCGAATCCCCACAGCGCTACCTCCAAGCCGAACGTAATCCAAAACATAGGAAAAGAGAGAGTTATTACATAAGATAACAAGTTCAAAATGAACGCGGCTAGGGAATATAATATTGGCATATATTTGGGCGGACACAATTCTACAGATAAAACCGATGTAAGCGGCCCGGAGCCCAGTTTGAAAGAAAATAAATACGTTATTATAGTAAATAACGGTAGTAAGTTTAAACTACTCACGTCGATGTTATTGTTTAATAAATAAAAATACGTCCCTAAACAAAATATCGATAAACATTCACCGGCGTACGAAAATATAAGTAACTTTTTCCTACCCCACATATCCACTAGTTTCGATGTTATAAAAATAGATATCATTTGCACAGTTGCTATTATCACGAGTGATTTGTTTGCTGATAAGGTCGATTTAGTTTCGGCTAAAATTGACTGCTGGTAGGCGAATACGCAATTTATCCCGGAAAATTGCTGGAAAAATACCAGACATGCCATTAGGATGAAACTTTTACGGGCGCCCTTAGACATTATGAATTCCTTCCAGGAAAAACCCTTGTGTTCGCCTATATCTTTGATAATGCTGTTCAACTCGTTGCTCACGTCCCTAGCATCTCTAGTTTTGATCAAAATTTCTTCGGCTGCGCCCAGATCGCCTTTAGCAACGAAATGGTAAGGGCTCTCCGGCGAGAATTTCCCGAACAACACGAATAATAATACAGTCGGTACTAGAGACATCGCAGAGAGTATTGTAATGGTAACATAGGGACCGATCAGGAACAGGAAATCCTGAGCCAACGAAACCAAAAAATTTGAGATCGAGCAAGCCCTGCCTCTGTGATTAGTTGGCACTACTTCGACTACGTAAATCTGGACTATTGTGTACGCACATCCTGTAGTAACACCCATTAAAAAACGCGCTACGTAAAAATGCCAAACATGATTGGCGAAAATCAAAATAATGTTCGATAGAAAATGCGGGACGGCGAACAAGAGAATGGTGTTCTTCTTGCCTAATTGGTAGGAAATCATCCCGCAGAATAGCGGAGCTATTATCGCTCCTAAATTATGAAGGGATGTTATCCATGCGATTTCTTGAATAGTAGCCTGTCTTCCGAGGGGATTGAGCGAAGGGTCTTTTTCGTAGAGTTTCTGGATGCATACCGAGGGCCAGGAGAATGACAATCCTGGCAGCAACATGAAGAGGCTGGCTGAAATGTGATTGATGAATAGGTGATTGAAGTGAATTGATAATTTAACATACCAGAGAACGCAATGAAGTATGAATAGCCCAGTCCAGTCTTCTTGACATCTTTCTTTTTTTTGTCAATACTTGGACTTACAAATCTCCTGTTACAAAACTGCCCTGAAAATTTACAATGTTTTAACTAACTGTGCTGTTAAGTTGATTACAGATTAACTTATGATTTTTTTCTCAATTTTATTAATAATATTCAAAATGAAATATTTTCTTCCTCGCTCCCTTCGATATTTTTTAAGCAATGTCATATGTACTTTTGTAACGTGGATGTTTGTTACTTTTAAAAGTAGGTCCTCAGGAAATCGGAAAACAAGTAAAAACGGTTTAAAACGGAATATATTAACGGTAAACGAAAACGATACAAAATATTCGAAAGAAACGCGAGTACGAACACGAAAAGAAATACGACGGAGCGCGAATACAAAAGCGTCGGCTTTGGAGGAACGTAAAACCGGAGTCCTTAACCGTCCCTGTCTAGGAAGCGGTGAGAAGCACCAGGAGATTCGATTCGATTCTTAGTAGCCTTCTGGGTAGTTCCACGATGGAAGCAGGTAAGAGCAGCTACTAGGAAGAGTCGTGTTCCAGTATATCGTTCTGGGCTAATGCCCCGGTGTTATGAGCAGTTTGGTTGCTGGTTCCGCATCGGCGCGTACGTAGCGTCCTCTTTGGGCCCTCGTGGTAGTTGGCGGGTGCGCGTAATGGTTCGTAGATGGCGCTCGGGTGCGGGGTATTGTTACAAACTCCCCCTCAGAGTCCTGGGGGTCGTCTCGGCCGTGGACTCTGAAACTTGCTTCTTGGGTCGTCCTCTTTTCCTTAGTGGTTGGACTGGTCTGGGAAGGTTGGATGGTTCGTCCTCCGAGAGTGTCCGGTATGGAGTAAGCGCGGAGACGTGGTAGGTACCCATGGGTTCCGTTCTTCTCGTAGGATGGGCGATTTGGAAGGAGCATGGACCATGTTTTCTTGTTATTACATATGGTCCATCGCGCCGTGGGGCCAACTTCTTGGAAAATTGCTTATCCTTCTTGCTTAAGGAATGGTCCGTTATCCATACGTAATCGCCTATGGAAAATCCCGTGGATGGTCGACGATGGGCATCTGCGTAAGTCTTTCGGTTGTCTTGTTGTTGTTCCCAGACTTCTTTGGCGTTTGAGAAGATGTCGGCCATCTTTAAGAGTTTCGGGGTGACTTCTTTTATGAAGGTGTCCTTCTCGACTATACTTCGGAAATCGTGTAGTATCTCGAAAGGATGTCGCAGCTCTTGTCCGAAGACGAGGTAGGCTGGACTGAAATTGGTCGATTGGCATCGTGAGGTGTTCATTGCGAACCTTATGGCTGGTAACATCCTTGGCCATTCGGTGTGGTGAGGTCCCACGAGTATGGATAGTTGGGTTTTGAGATCTCTATTCCGCCTTTCGACTGGATTGGCAGCAGGATGGTAGACGGGTGTGAAAGTCTGCTGTATATTGAGACAGTCGGTGACAGCTTGCATGATAGCGCTAACAAACTGGGGTCCGTTGTCACTGATGATTCTTCGGGGCATACCATAGCGTAGGCAGAATTCATCTATGAATGTCCAGGCGCACTCATCGGCTGTAGCGTTTTTCAGAGCAAACAATTCGATCCATCTGGTAGCAGTGTCTTCGATTACGAAGATCCATTTCTGTTGGTTTGGCCCCTCAGGAAGAGGTCCAAACAGATCCAAAGAGATAACCTCGAACCGTTGTCGCATTACAGGCGTTTGGAGCAGCCCCGCCGGTACCATGTTGCTAGGCTTGTATCTCTGGCAGTCGGGGCAGTTTTTCACATAGTCTGCAACTGTTTTTCGTAGCCCCGTCCAGTAGAAATGCTGCAGAATCTTCTGGGATGTCCGCTCGGCGCCATAGTGTCCGGCATGCGGGACATCGTGGTACTGCCTTAGTATTTCTATACGCTGGGCTAGTGGTACCACTAGCTGGGGTTCTTCGTTATCGTCTTGGGATGAATAACGGTAGAGTACCCCTTGACTGGTGATATATCCTCTTGCAGTCCAGGGTACTGTCTCCTCTGGTTTTGCTCTTTCGAAGCAATCGAGAATCTTCTTGACTTCTGGGTCCTGAAGTTGTTCTTCCCGGATTTGTCCAGGGTCCTTCTGTGGGAAGTCCACGGTTACCGTGCTTATTTGACATGTAGATGTGGTCTCGATTGGCGGTCGGGAAAGTGTATCGGCGACAGCATTTGCTTTCCCTGGTTCATAGGTGATTTTCAAGTTGAAAGGTTGCAATTGCAAGGCCCATCTGGCGAGTCTTCCGCTGGGCGTTTTGAGGGTCATCAACCATTTTAGGGGCTGGTGATCCGTAACTATGATTACGGAGCTTTCTTCTAGGTATCCACGGAATTTTGATACGGCCCATACGATCGCCAAAGCTTCTCGTTCTGTGGTGGAGTAATTTCTTTCTGCTGACGTAAGCAGTCGACTGGCATATTCAACTGGTCGTTCTTCGTTACCCTCCCCCTGCAGTAGAGCAGCTCCTATGGCGTAGGCACTGGCGTCTGTTCGTAGGGTAAATGGAAGCGTATGATCCACCTGTCGTAGAATAGGGGCACTGGTTAACGCTTGTTTCAGATAGCGGAAAGCTTCTTTCTGTTCGTCTTTCCATTCCCAGGGGGCGGCTTTTCGGGTAAGCTTACTTAATGGCTGGGTGATTTTGGAGAAGTCCGGAATGAAGCGTCGGTACCAACTACAGGTTTGAAGGAACGTATTAACCTGTTTTGGTGTAGATGGGGGCTTCATGGCAGTCATTGCTTCTATTTTAGCTGGATCGGTTTGTAACCCAGCGTTCGAAATTATGTGCCCCAGGTATCTGACTTTTTGGCAGCCGAAGTGGCATTTCGGCCTGTTTAGTCGTAATCCGTAGACGGTGAGTAGTCTGAAAACTTGATCCAGTTCCTCCATGTGTTTCGGGAAGTCGGTGGAGAGCAGTATCAGGTCATCTAGGTATATTAATAGGCGCAACGTCGGAAGACGGTTCCGAAATCGTTCCATCAGCCTTTGGAAGGTAGCCGGTGCGTTGACCAGTCCAAAAGGCATTCGGTTGAACCGGTAAGTTCCGAAAGGTGTCACGAAGCACGTTTTGTCTTTATCGTCCGGACTTATGGGAATTTGGTGATACCCAGCCTTGAGGTCCATAGTGGATATGACTCCCACGTTTCCGGTTGAGTGTAGAAGGTCGTCGAGGCGTGGTAATGGGTAGTGATCTGGACGGGTGACGGCGTTGAGACGTCGAAAATCGATACATAAGCGGATTCCTCCTCCAGTTTTCGGAACCAATACTGCAGGCGCGGACCAGGGACTTTCGCATTCGGTTATTATGTCCTGTGAGAGCAGGGTCTCAACCTCATTTTTGAGCACCTCCCGCCGTGAAGGTGTCATCTGGTAAGGAGGACAACTGATCGGGTGTGCATCACCAGTGTCGATCCGATGTTCGATTTGGTCCGTTGGTGGTCCACTCGGTTGGAAGACACGCGTTCTTTGCGTTAGAAGTTGATCTAATTGTGCTCGCTGAGGTGGGTCTAGTGCTAACCCCTCATCTTCCCGTAGTTGTACGGCAAGGGTAGCGAACAAGGCAGAAGTGTTTTTGTTACGTGCGTCCGAATAGTCCATTAGGGCGTCTTCGGCGTCGGCCAGCATGTACCCCGTTCGAGAATACGGGTTGCTACGCAAATACGGTGTTGCCTTTCTTATGAGGTCGACAGGATTAGTCGCGACTGCAAGTTCAGGCCCATAGTGGATCTCGGTATCCTCTTGCATTGGAGTGGGCGGAGTCATTGACATCGGACTGAGCATTGGCGGACAAAGCCAAGTCGTATTTATCGAGTCGAGTATGGCAACAGCGCGTTGTGTTTGCGGACGGTCGATAGGCGGTCGAATCTGTTCTTTGGAATCCTTGGGAGAAAACCCGGATGGCCGGGAAGGAGCGTCGTGAAAATACCAGATGCGTTGGTGAAAATCGAGGATCAGGCCGGCCGCGACGATAAAATCTATGCCCAGCAATGATGGGGCATTGGGCGTGTCGGGCAGCACCAGGAACGTCGTTGGTATTTTGCGTCCCTTAAGTTCAACCATCGTGCGAATAATTTGCACCTTCTTCTCGGTGGTATTACCGTCCGCCAGGGTGACATCCATGGAGCGAGTTTGAGGGAGGTGTCCGGTTGCTAGCAGCATTTTCGCAAGAGATGGGCTAGCCAGACACTGTTTTGCTCCTGTATCCAAGAAGGCTGCTCCCGAATGTCCTTGTATAACGATGTCTATCGCTGGCCGGTCCAAAAATTTGGCGGAAAGGAACGAGAAAGTCGCCGTAGGGAAGCTGGACGGATTGCAATCGGGGCAGTTCCGCTTGATAAAGCCGGGTCGCTGGCACCCATAGCAGCGCACGAGGGCTTCGCCTGTGGTTGCTGGTTTAATAGCCGCAGCGTCTGCCTTGGCCTTTTTCCGGCAAACCGCGACGTCGTGTCCCGGATTGCGGCAATATTGGCACCGCGTTTTGTTCTTCTTCTTCCCACTATCAGCGGAAGAAGGAGGAGGAGGCTGATTTTCCTTGTCGTCGGTCTTGGGGATTAAGCGATTATCGATGACTCTTGCCTTGGTAAGTAGATTCGCAAACGTGGTAACGGTTTCCCGTGGAATGCGGTCTATTAAGACGGGTTTGAGCAAGCCGTAGACAATGTCTAATTGTAGCTCCTCATCTAGGTATTTCGGGATTTGGGCTAGTAAGGCTCTCTTCTGGGACACGAATTTACCCGTAGGCATTTCATCGGTTTGTGGCGTGTCGAAGACCTCGCGGAGGATTTGGTATGTTGGGGGACGGGGAGCGTATTCATCCCTGATCATGCGCATTGCATCCTCCCATGTGGTAGCAGCGGATTTGACTCCCATCCACCATGTTTTCGCGTCCCCATACAATAGAAGGGCTAGTCCGGCAAGTGCATTGGCGTCGCTAATTCCTTCGCTTTGCCTATAAAAATCGGCGCTGCTCAGAAAATCTTCCGTAGCTTCGATTCCGTACGTTCCACCGAAGCGAACGGGGCAGTGCGTGAAATGCCGAATAGGAGGTTCGACAGGTGCGGGACATTGGGCTCGAGATATTGCATTCGAGGGGTCCGGGTTAAGTGCCATGGTTTTGGCAGCCTGGTTCGTTGTCCGTGGAATGATTGTCGAGGGATTCAACGAGATCTGGTACGAGTTTAAGCACGAGCACGAGTTCACCGATTTTAACGCGAATTAATGTCTTTTGATATTCCTGGCCTGTGAAGTTGGGCGCCAATTTGTAACGTGGATGTTTGTTACTTTTAAAAGTAGGTCCTCAGGAAATCGGAAAACAAGTAAAAACGGTTTAAAACGGAATATATTAACGGTAAACGAAAACGATACAAAATATTCGAAAGAAACGCGAGTACGAACACGAAAAGAAATACGACGGAGCGCGAATACAAAAGCGTCGGCTTTGGAGGAACGTAAAACCGGAGTCCTTAACCGTCCCTGTCTAGGAAGCGGTGAGAAGCACCAGGAGATTCGATTCGATTCTTAGTAGCCTTCTGGGTAGTTCCACGATGGAAGCAGGTAAGAGCAGCTACTAGGAAGAGTCGTGTTCCAGTATATCGTTCTGGGCTAATGCCCCGGTGTTATGAGCAGTTTGGTTGCTGGTTCCGCATCGGCGCGTACGTAGCGTCCTCTTTGGGCCCTCGTGGTAGTTGGCGGGTGCGCGTAATGGTTCGTAGATGGCGCTCGGGTGCGGGGTATTGTTACACTTTTAATTATATATTTTCTATTATTTTTCCTTGAAATAAACAAAAATAAACTAAAATAAACTACAATTAAAAATAATATCGCATCAAAAGAATCTTTATATTTTTTCACGATTTTAATCGAATAAAAAAATAATTTAAATTTAATTCAATAATTGCCGTATAAATTAAAGTAAATTACATTATTGTAGTATTTGTTTAATTTTTTTACTTACTAGTTTCAATTGAAGTAAACATATTTACCCTATTTTAAACAAGTCTATCCAACGAATATTGAAACGACTAGCAATTATTTTTTATACAACGTACAATGTTAAATGAGCGCTGTTAATCAAAAAACTGTAGCTTATACAGGCTGTCCCGGAACCCCCTGGATACAGAATCTGTATTACAGATCAACTAAACATTGTTAAAGTTAAAATAATTGAATCTAGTTGCAAATGGGTAAGGCGTTTTCTAAGTCAAGAGTTTACTTGTATTTATCAACGTGAAGATCGCTTTAAACACCTGTAATTTTGTACTAAAAACAGTATAATTGCAATGTACCTAATGGTTTTTTGTATACAATTTTGATAATAATATGCTAGATAAAGTGTACACTCGTTATTGATTTATTACAACCATAATTGCAAATTGCAATTAACGATCTAAAAATTGAACGCCGTTTAATAGTTTTGGAGCCATAAGGCCATAAAGCCATTATTAGCATAAAATATAAAAGTTAATAACATATAACATATGTATTTTTTATTAATAGATCAATCTTTATGACAATTACAAACATTTTTACTATTGCAATATAATCAACTAGCTCATTAGCATTGTTGTAACAATGTATTGTTAAAAAATAAAAACAAAAGTAGAAATTTAAATTTATTACAGATTAACATAAATACTTTATCTATTTTTTACAAGTTATAAACCTTTTAATGAACACACCAGTAAATTAATTGTTAATAAAGCGATCCCAGCTTCTCTTTCTGCACATCAGGACTACCTCCAGGTACTTCGGGCAAATTTAAATCGAGACCTTTAAACGCGTCCTCCAATTTACTATCGTCCAAACCACCGCCGTCTGGAGGTTTATCATCAGCAGAATCCTCCTTCAACAACTCCAAAAGTTCCAATTCTAAATCGGACTCGTCGAATTCGTGCTGAGCGGGCTTCGACAAAGCTGACTGAATGTCATCGGATTTATCAATCACCTGAAGGTAAAAACCAGATTATTAATAATAGATACTAGTTAGATGCGATATATGCATCATTGCATTGCAATTACCTCTCCTAGTTGAATCATAGTATCATCGATGGCATCTTCTGATAATCCTGAATTCTTGTAAGTGGAATTGAAGGTCGACAGGACGTTCTTGTATGATTCCCAGACGCGTTTATTCGAATCCGTTTCATTAATTTGCTGTAGTAACGTTTGAATGTTGCGTAGAGCATGAGTTTTCTTCTCCAATAATTTTTCCAGATCGTGCTTCTTCCTCAGAGAACTTTTAGCCTGAAAAATACGATTATATGGGGAATAAATCACTAGTATGGAAACAATGGGAATGTTATTTAACACTGGACAATAGATATTTGGGAATGTTATATGAAGATAAACATGTTAAAAAACTTTAATCCTCACCGTTTGTTTGTGATTTTTGGACAAATGGGTTTTGGCTTCTTTGATGCATTCCTCGATACTATCCTCTAATCCTTCTATGCTCTTTAAAATGTGTTTTTCGCTTTGTTCTAAAGTGTATATGCTTAAATCTAATTCTGTTATTGAACAATTATGACCATCACCTATTTTTATTAAAATTGAATCGGATAGAGATTGGTTGTTGTTATTCGTTGATATATCAACAATTTTTTGATTAGACAAATAATGAAGCAAAAGCTTTACGTTTTCGGTATCACTAGGAGTTTTATTCAGCAATTTTAGTAAATCATTTAAACTTAATAACTTATTTTTGTAATTGTCCGGTACGGATTTTAATAAAGTATCGCATTTCTTTTGAACGATTTGTAAATGTACTAAGGGCTGTTCATCGGGAACTGTGGAGAACAAAGTATTCTTGAATTTGTTAAATGTCCAAACGAATGGCTTTTTAACGAGCACATTCGTAGCCCATGCGCCCCATGAATGCGGATTATTCTTGAGGAAAATGTCTAATCGTTCAACATCACCAGTTTTTTCCATTTCCAAAAGAACGTCTGGTAAACATTGCGGCGGCCTTCCATTTCTAATGAATACTTTATTCAACGAAGACAGCGTAAACGTGTAAACATCATTCGCATCACAATAAGCTTTTATAACAGTTTTCCATGATGATATTTTGTTTTCCCAATCTTTCGGATTTACACTGAAGCTTCGAACTGGCGTGAATAAAACGTTAATCTTATTTTCATCTTTTAAACATTCCGGCAATTGGGATTCGGGAATGTTGAACATTTTAACAACCGACTAATAATTTATTTGTGGATTTTAAATTAAAACGCATTATCAAATAACGATGACACAACAATGACAGCAAAACAGCTGAAGATGACATTGAAAGAAAAATAATTTTTACCAACTTCATGTAACCAATTGTTGTAGTCATCTCTTTTTATCTTGCTAAATTAATAAAAGATACGCACTGAATAGACATAAAATGAGAATGACATTAGTGACAGTGACATATTATTATTATTATTATGTCTATTTTTTATTGTCCATGATATAATATAAATATATTTTTCATTGATATTTTATAAAACTAATGAATAAAAAGTAAACCAAACAGTCTTTACAGCAAAATGCAAACTAAATATAATAACCCAAGGTTATTTAAATACATTGGTTTATCACTTGTAGGAATAAGGTAAATCTACATTTTTATTGTGAAAATTTACTACATATTTTTAAAAATCGTAAATGAGAATCATGAAATACTGCAATGGGTAGCTAATTACTCACAATTACTAATTTTGCTTACACACAAATGCAATACAATTGACAAACATATTGTACTGTAAAATGTGTAATTTTTTCAATGGGCGCTTTTCTTGTTTTGACAATATCAAGAAGAATTTTTAAGCATTCGAATAATTATCTTGTTGGTTATTTAATATCAGATTTTCGTTTGCAGTTCAGGCTGGCTTTATTACCAAGTGAAACAAACCTATAATATACTAGAGAACACAGTAGACAGCAAAGTAATGCTCATGAAAAATATTCTCGAGGATGAACCGAAAGAGGAAGAATTTATCAGAATTCATCAAAATAGTTCTTTAAAAAACGACGTCTTCACGAATTTAACGAATTCATTGAAATTCGCCTACACTCGAAGGTAAAACACTTTAAAAATCAGTTAACTTGGATACACAAAACAGTTTTATTTGGAAGAACGAAGCATCTGTAAATTCCTGTTATTTTATACACTAATCATCAAGAAGAAATTGGTAATTAAAAATAAATAATAATAAAATAAATTAATCACTCTGTTAGTAATAAATAACTTCACTTAGGTGCTACAAAAATCTTTGCAACCCTTGCATATAAAGTGTAACTATTGGGTTCATTTAAAAAAAAGTCCTAAAAATTTAATAAATAAAAAATGGTATTTAAAGTGTTAAAAGAACACCCTCTATATTTACCAAATTTATTTAAAGTACTTACAATTTATTGTGGTTACTGCTTTCATTAACAATTTAAATTCAACATTAATAACTCGTAATTAATTTTCCTAATTACGTTTTGGAATTTTACATATGTTTCAGCCCACTCTGTTCATTGTTTGGCTAAAAATTCCTGCTCTAGGTTGGTTAGATTGGCCAACACCGGCGACAAAAATGACAGAACCAAAGCGGTGAAAGCCTTGGCCAAAATGAAGAACTTGAGCAACTGGCACTGTTCTCTTCTCTCCAACATGATGAACTCTCAAACGGCGGTGGCTTTGGCCAGATCCGATAATGTGGATCAGAGATTGTTCATGGAGCCGCCACTCAGATACCACAATTACAATAGGAAAATGTTGATTAGCGCTATGAGAGAGTTTCTGATAAAGCTCTACGAATATTCCCATCATCCGTGCATGGGGTATTTTTTGTCTGAAGCATTCGTATATGAACATGTAAGTTTTATTCTTATTGTATTTTACAAATGTGTATTAATTATTTTATCCTACATGCTGCTTAGTTACGATATGTAGAACCCATCGAAGAACAGGTACAATTTTCAAGTAGTTTTAATTTCAAGTAAATGAAGAAAAGTGTATTGATATTTTTAATCGTTTTAGAACAACACTCATATAGTTGATCACGATTCATCGTCATTGGAACTGAGCAAATTCATACAATCAGAACGAGACATTTTACCAAAGTGTTTGGAATCAATACTACACCACTGCAGCATCGAAAACTACTCCAGAGATGTGGTGAAATTTAATGGATTACCTTTGTTGATGGAAATTTACCAAAGATACATAGACAACCCGAGCATAGCTATTATACTGTGTCAAATAATCTCCTACATTTCTCTCAATAATGATTTATTGGAGTACATTCACAAGTCCGGTAAATGGTTCCATAACGATTCGATTGTAATAGATTTACTAATTATTGACGTAATTAGGTTGGATAGGTATATTGTCAGAATGGGTGAATAATAAAGAAATTAGAATATCGGTGCCAGCAGCTCGTGCTCTGGCCAATTTAGATGTAGACAACGATTGTAAATACTCTCGAAGATTGTATCCATTGCATCCTCTTCGAAGAGCTAGTGGAAAACAGGATATAGATGTTGTTTTTGTCCACGGTTTGCTGGGCGGTGTATTTTACACGTGGCGACAGAGAGTTAAACCTCAGATGAATTTGGACTTGGGTAAGTGTGCTTTATTGAATTTTTTCCAGTAGTGTATTTGATCAACATATTAATCTGGACTATTGACTAGTTTGGTAACGATTGTCCAGTAGATATGACATTTTTTTTTTAATTTTTAGCGTCCGGCGAAATTTCTTCGTTTGATCTCAAAAATGTAGAGAAAGATTTCGACATAATTTGGGACGATCTTCCTGTTCACGGAAATCAAACTTGCGAAGGTCCTTATTGCTCTTCGGATGCGAATTATAAGTTAAAAAATAGTGCAAGTACTGAGGATTTTACGCAATGCTGGCCCAAAGACTGGTTAAGTGAAGATGTTAAAAACATAAGAATTCTAGGTATGCACTTTTTTGTATACAGGGTGGTCCAGAACTAGCGCCCCACCCCAAATGGATTAAGGAAACTACTATAGAGATGCTAAAATGAAGCAGAAGACATGAAAAACACTATCATTTGGTAAATAAAGAGGTTTACAATCGACCAATCACAGTAATAGTTCAAATTCACGAAAATAATGTGAATGAGCTTTGACTATTTGACATTATTGAAAGATATTATTGATGTCTCAATACTGCTATGTATACAGCCACCGAAAGTATGGAAATGTTTATAATTTATGGAGAATGTGGACGAAACGCAGGAGAAGCTGCTCGAATTTATCGAGTACTATTTCCCGGTAATTTTCTTGGATTTGAACTATTACTGGAATTTTTTATGTCATCGGCTGCAGTTTTGGCACCTCTATTGTCGTTTCCTTATTCCCTATCCCGGTGGAGCGCGAGTTCTGGACCACCCTGTATACTAATTTGATAACTTAATACAATAATCATATTTTTTAGGTATTAATTACGCGACTAGGGTATCTATGTGGGCTCCAATATGTCCATCTGTAAAAATGAAACTTACTTTAGAAGAACGAAGTTCTGATCTACTTTTGCGCCTCATAGAGGCCGGCTTAGGAACTAAACCTATCGTGTGGGTTACGCATTCCATGGGAGGACTAATAGTTAAAAAACTTTTATGCAAAGGTAACAATTCCCAGATATCAAACCATTATAAATTGCCTCGAATGCATTTTCAGCGTTTGATAGCGACGTGCCAGAAATCAGAAACGTCTGCTTGAATACCAAAGGAATATTTTTCTACAGTACGCCGCACAAAGGCTGCAGATTAGCAAGCCTAAGCCAAGCCAGCGCCTTGTTGCTGTGGCCTTCGGTCGAGGTGCAGGAATTAAGAGAGAGTAAATAAATTTATCCACTAGTTTATACTTGATTAAATCGAGTTTTTGCAGACTCTCTTCAACTAGCGAATATGCACGAAAAATTCCTAAACATCGTCAATACCGTACCGATGAAGATAGTGACCTTTGCCGAGACGAAATCTACCATTGTTACCGCTATGAAGCTTAATTTCTTTTTAGTAGAACGACCTTCCGGCGATCCTGGTGTTGGAGAGTATTTCGAAATACCGCAGGACCATCTTAGTATTTGTAAACCAGTGACGAGGTATTTATTTGTATAAACCTTGCTCCATTTCCGATTGCAATATGGTCATTCTATGAGTGAAACAAAGAAAGGTTATTAAAATGACAGTTGTCAGGGTGAAAAGTTGTAATGACACAATGTCACTCTTACTTTTTCCTTTGTAAGTGTCTAATGGAAGTTGTCTTTATCACACCCATGGCCTATATAACCTATATTGCAATAAAAAATGGAGCAACCTGTATATTAAGTAAATGGAAAATGTGCTAATGCATTAAGAAAATAAGAAATTTTGGAGTATTAGGAAAGTTCTGTATTACCCCAGGAATTATAATTTTGAACGCGTACTTTGGATTCCTTAAGTTAAAGTTAGATTAAATAACATATTGTAGACTCCCCTACACGGTGACTCAAAAGCAAGTGATAAATTTTGCTTTATTTTCACTAGAAATAATTTATTTTAAATATTCTAAATATTGTTTTTTTTTTCAGGTATTCCTTTCTGTATCAAAAAGTAGTGCACATTATCAAAGAAATTTTGAAAGAAGCCTCACGGTAGTAGATCTATCGTTTGTTTATTAATTTGCTATATCTATATTAATTTAAATATCTATTTAAAACATATTTTAAATATCTATTGTAATTTATTTACGCGATAACCGTCCCCTCATTTGATCCGATTAAGTGCGACTTTGAGGGGCTTCGAAAAATTTGTATAAACAATTTATTAATATATTTATAATATCCTTGTGGAAATCTTATCGTCCAGGAGTAAGAAACTCGCAGTTAATCCATTCAACTGCGAAATAAACTTCAATTAAGCCAAATTAGCTCGATTGTCAGGAAAAGAAACGAACATCGAAATCAACAACGTCGCGACGATTCGACGTTGCCAGATCTAGTCTCATTGTTGGATTGTTAAGGTAAACCAGCGATTTTTTTAAAAACTTTGATTTTCTATAATAAATCACTCTGATTCATGGAAAAATAATGTAAGAATTTGTAGAAACTTCTAGGGATAAAAAGAAATTGTTCGTATGTAACACTCGTTTAATTACATCTGAAATAATTACTCAGAAATTGCTGTGATCAATTTTGAAAAAAATCATTTTTTACCACCTCATATTTCCTTTACACCAGCTCCAGGCACATACTGTTTCCTCCAGGAACTTATACATTTGAATTTGGCATCGTCGCAACGCATGTCCATTGCCAGATCCACCGTAATTTCCCTGGATCTAGTTATTGTTGAAGTAAAGTAAACCAGTAACTTGCAATTTCCGAAAAATCCTCCCAAAATTACAGAAAACTTTTAAAATCCTTAAAAAGTCCTTTTATCTACTTTACTACTTGTTAATTATAATTGCACCTGGAGATCAACTTAGAAAATGCCACTTTTGACCACCAGTATTGATGCTTCACATACATAGCTTCATCCAGGAATTTTGAAAATGGGACTTGGCAACGTCGCGACGAATGTTCGTTACCGACCTTGTTCGTCCTTGCCGGTTCGCGAGTGCTGTGCTAGTGTCCGTACGCTGCGGACGCTTCGGGCGTCGCGACACCGAAAATTCAGACGTCTCCGGCGTCTCTCCGATGATCCTTCATCCAGGAAAGCGATAGCGCACTGCACAGGTTGGTTGTGTGTCTTGTGAAACACTAGTTTTGCTCGTTTTTGCGTTTTCCCAATCCTTTTAACGCTGTGAAATTTTGGGCCTTCTGATTTCGAAGGATTGGGATGCATGAGAGCTTAGCCAAAATACTTTCGGTGTTTTCATCGGATCGACATCATCCAAATGCGCGTGATTTGATGTTTTGGAGCTGAATTTTACGGTTAAAAATAGTTTTTTTTAATCGAAATTTTTGTTTTTATTACGTATAATCTGAACGTATTGATCCACTCGAATTTATTGCGACCGAATTTTTGGCTAATTACATATTTGATTATGACAATTTATGAGTCAAATCGACAACGGTTTGTTAATGTTTACAAGAAAGTTTATAGAAATTCAGCGAATGCGTTAGAAGTTTCTATATAAAACGTTTGTCAGAGTAATGGATTTCAAAGCGCAGCGCAGTTTATGTTTGAAACTAATTAAATGTTTGAAATAATTTAAAAATATATTTAATTACTGTTTTATTTGAAGCAATTTAAAAAATAATAGATAGAATAAACATCGACGGATAAGACCACAAAATATTTAAAATTTATTGATTAACACATTAATAATTAACACTATAACGTAAGTGTGATTTTATGTACTTGTTGATTTAATAACTGTTTTATAATTGTAGGGAATCTACTACGGCGATTTTAAGTAACATTGAGTGTTCATAACTTTATTTTTTATCGTTATTCATCAAAGCGACAAAGAATTTTAAAAAACAAAAAGAATAAAAAAGTTTTAAAATAAAATTACCTATGAAATGAACTAATAATTGTTTAAACCATCTATGAAGCATGGGGTAAAAAAATCTATAACATTTTAAGGGAGCATCATCCCTAATGAACCCTTTAAAATAAATCAATAGATCTCTAATAACCATCAGTAAATGCTCTTTAGTCCACTCATAACATATACCAAATTTAGTTGTTATAAGTTTGAGTAGTACTGAGATATTAATTTTTTTGTACCTAATTTGTAACTCCACTTTGAAAGCCTATAACTTCTCAGGAATGTAACTTTGTATTAAGTTAAGTTGGATTAAACAACGTATTTTGGGCTCCCCTACATGTCTCTGCCCTGTGTCTATTTTAGAAAATAATAAAAATTTACATAATCTATTAAGTTCGCCAATGAAATTTATGGCAACTTTGATGTTTCGATTTATTTAAATTCATTTTTAAACTGAATTGAATAGACTTGTAAACACTATGAAAATAGTTTGAATTATTTTGAATTCGCAGACTACCAGATCATTATAAAATCCGGCTTTTTTTTAATAAATAATACATTACATAATTATTATAATATATAATTATAAACTCGAAAACAAAGAGGTGTAGGACATATATTGATGTAAACTTTTCTTCTTAAAATCATCCAAATATTCACATCCTGAAGTATCGGCACTCAATTAATTAACACCCTGTATACTTCAATACCATATTTATCTGTCTGCCAATTCAGATTTATCGTTTTTTCTTCCAACTGGGGAAAATAAGTCGCCCATTAAGCGGTCAAACCCTTTGTCGTTTGCTGGAAATCTCATTCATTCTCCAACTTCTCGTAAAAATAAAAAACCGACCAAACTGCTTCTGTTCAGACATTTTCTGTAAAGACAGGATAACGAAAATGGGAAGGATATCCTGGGATTGGAGATTCCAGGCAACGCCCGATGTCGTAGAACATTTAATGGGAAGTTTAGATTACATGCAAGATTTGAGATGATGCTGGATTTTCATTTTATCCTCTCTTGTTTCATATCTGCTAGAATCGGTATAATTTAACTTCTTCTTATCGTAGAGAATCTTTAATTCATATGGCAACACTGCTGAGAGTTCTACGAGGAAGTCTCAATAAATAAACATTTGCATAGGGAATTTCCGTAAACAACGCAATGGATAAATTGTGCTCAATTTCTAATTTAACCATTACCTACCGCTACTTGTTAAAGAAATTAAACTATAGCAGAGTTCCTTCACATTAGACGGTTTGGTTAAATTTAGCTTGCCAGGCGACTTATTTACAAACCCGTCTTAACTAGTTAAAAACAGAAACCGTCGAGTTGCCCTTGGTTAGAATGAAAAATAGAATACTAAGGCCTTTAGTTAAATATATGTATGAAAAGTAATTTTATCTAACAGGTGACTTAAAGTGATTGAAGTTTTTTTTTTTGAGGAGTTGGCGGTTAACTTTACTGCTATTATTAATTTTAGAATAATACCTTGAATGATTCAGAATGTACAAAGTTACTGTAGAAAACATTTCCTAAACATCAACCTTTGGGTACCAATAATTTCTAAATGTGATCCTTTAAACAATAACAAAAGTGTATTTTACTGTTATTTTTGTATTCGCTACACTCACCTACATTTTTCATTCATAGAATTTATTATTTTAGTAAAAATGTCCGTGAAGGATCGGGAAACTCGTAGTTAGTAAAAATAACTGCTATAAAAGGTATGCATAAAGCAAGGAACGTTTAGAGAAGGTGAAGTCAAATTAATATATGCACTTTAGAGGATAATGACCCGTCGAATCCGGCAATGAAAACATTAAGTCGTATAGATTTGTCGTTGAATATTTTTTGAATCACAAGACCAATTAAGGGAATTACCAATTTTAACAGACAATTAATAAATATTATGGGAAATTTTGGAGTTGTCTTAAAAGCAGAGTAAAATAGAGTAGGGTAGAGTACTTATTAAACTTATATAAAGGCATATTTTTTACATTGTAATGGTGAATATTTAATATCGCTTCACGGGTAGCCAAGGTAGAAGACTTTCACTGGAATTCTACAATAATTAAGAAAACGCCAAGAATTCCAGAAAAAAATATTGTCACCTGTTAGATACATATGTCACAAGAAAACTTGCAATTATTTAAAAAGCTAACTGTAAAAATTACATCTCATTATCTACTATATCTATACCATTTGGAACATAAAACTTGTTAGAATATATAGAGTCCAACTACATAGCATATATTGATTAAGACATCTTCAAAATAACATACATAACATAAATCTCACAGAAATCTACTATATTAATTAATTAATTAATTAACGAAATCACCTTATGACCTACAAAATGCTATTTTGGTCTTGTATTAGCAATACTTTAGTATTGATTCTTTTTTTATCGATTCATCTATTTTTAGTTTTTTTTTTGGAAAATTTTTCGTTAGTACAAACTACAATAACTTTTCACGTATTTTTTGACCCCTACTCAGATCGCTCTACAACCGAGCGAACCTTTAATCCAATTTTTACGCTTTGTTAATTATTTAATCAATTTTAAAACAAAAAAAACAGTATTTTTCCAACGTTATTAACTCGTCAATTCAAACAAACAATAAATTTTATTGACCTTAACCATAAAAACTGACCCACGCTCACAAGATAGCCGGCCGCCCGTTGCGTTGTGAATTTTTTTCTAAAAATAAAATTACATTTCACAAAATCATCGTCTTAAAACAGAACTGTAATAAATGCATCGCAATAATAGCCCAATGTTTGAGAATAACAACGCGTCCATTGATCAATTTTATCTCACTTTCTTTGGGACACCCTATACATACATACTACATATCATCATTTATATGTAACATTACGAATACATCATTTCCCTGAAATTACAAATCTTTATTTGCTATTCGCGGTAGAAACAATGTTGCATTCTGTAGGTATAAGTATCAATCCAATATTTCAAAGTAACCCCTTTTTTTAGATTTAATTTAACGACTCCATGGCATCGGAAGGAGAAAGATGCGGCAGTTTCGGCTCGTTTTTGGCACTGTCGTGCAGGGGAAGAGCGGAGGACTTCGCGAGGAAGCTGCATTCGAAGCTGAGGTCGCTCGGCTCCCAAGAAGAACTCGAAGCCGGCGAAACCAGCTGGCTGGGGGCGCACGAGGCGCCCATCGCCATATCACAACCTGCTCAAGCCAACAGCAATTGCACCGACTCGTTTTTGGGCAAGTATCTCAGTTTTGGAGTGACCAAAAAGGGTTGAATTATAAAACAATTTGAGACACTCTGTATATTCCTTATTTTCAATCCGCAAAAAAACTCGAGTGTTTTCTATGAATTATTTATCAATAACTATCAAGTGAAGGTCTTCTAATGTGTATGATATTTATCGATAAGTTAGTAAACTAATTTTGTTGTACTTTGCATTTAATTATCATCATTTTTAGATTTGAATTTACTCAATTGTCCGGGAAGCCCTTCCGAAGAAGTATTCGAGGATGTGGAATTGTACAAATTAATAAACGAAGATACGCTGCAACGACCAGAAACGCAAGAAACCGAAGAAAATTCCACCGAAAACGATGCCAATAATAGTCGCATATCCGATGGAGACCGCGTAAACGGCGTGGATACCTCGGAAGATGATAGTGATAACTTCCTTTCGCTTTCAGAATCGACGTCGCAAAACGAAACGTTGAGCCCCAAAGACTTAGATAGTTCCTCGATGGACCTTCATATCAGTACGAAATGTGATAGCGCCGCAGTGCGAGTAGTAGTTAACGCTGAAAACGAAGCTAACGCAGTCAGCGGTAAGCCTTATGAAGCGGAAAATTCGAATTTACCGGAAGCCAGCGACGACATGGACCTGCAGCTGCCGCGAGTGCGGAGGAGCACATCGCTGAAAACCGGGAAAACCCCGCCGGGCACGCCCGGCCGCAAGAAGATCGTCCGGTTCGCCGACGCCCTGGGGCTCGACCTGGCCGACGTGCGGACCTTCCTCGACGACGTGCCCAAAATCCCCAACTCGGCCTTCGACGACCTGATCGACGCCGATTTGGGCGAGTCTTCCACCGCCGGCGCTCGCGCGGGGAAACCAAAGACTGGCAAGTACCTCATGCCGCTGTTCCAGCAGCCGGGCGGCATGCCGAACTTCCTCGACATCGTCAGGGAGTTCAACGTGTGCCTGGAGAACGTCTTCGTCGACGATCCGTTCCTGCTGGCGCTGAAGGGCACGGTGCGCGTGCGGAACCTCGACTTCCACAAATCGGTCCACATCAGGTACTCGCTGGACTCGTGGAAGACCTTCGCCGATCTCCAAGCCACGTACGTGGAGAACTCCTGCGACGGGTTCTCCGATAAGTTCGCGTTTCTGCTCTACGCCCACACCATGACGGTGGGACAGAGGCTGGAGCTGGCCTGCCGGTTCCAGTGCAGGGGGTGCCAATATTGGGACAATAACAGAGGTATCAATTATTGTTTTCAGTGTCTGCCGACCTCTGAGGCGAGCGTGGTGTCGGAAACTGATAGGAATGTTGACGACTGGGAAGGTGCCAGCTTTTATTAGTAAGTGTTACTTAACGGGTTAAAAAGTATTGTATTAATTTTGTGTTTGTAGGACTCTCGACCGTACGAATTCGAACGGATTTATAGTTTTGACTTGGTAGCTACGACAAATAGGTTACCGAAAACCAGAGTAAATTATGAGCACATATTTCGAATACCTCAAAAATGAAATCAAATCGATGCAATAGCTTTACAATTAGGAAGAAATGTCTCGATGTGGGCAACTAGATTAAACGACTAGATCGATAATTCTCGAAAATACTCCAATATTTGACGTCAAGTACATGCGTTGTATATTTTTTAATAGGTGTTTACAAGAATTCTCTTGCTCCCCTCATTCGACAGAAGCAATATATATTTTATAAAGTAGTTTTTTTTACACGGTTCTTAACAGATTGTAGTTTTTTAAGAAAGTGATATTTACGTCTTGTTAATTGTTATTTATGAACTGCAAAATTTTAACTCTATTTATTGTATTAGTTTATTCGAAAGACTTTAAAAATATATGTTTATTAATCAGCAACAGTGTAATTCTACAAACTTTATTAAATCTGATTCAAATTACATTTTAACTCCCAGTCTCGGTGGAACGCAGGAGAACGAAACATCAAAGAAGTAAGTAATTATGCTTACAAATAACCGTTTGCAATATATCCCGATTACTCTTTCTCTTCTAACAAAATTTTTGTGAAACACATTGTATCGGAGACATTTTTAATCATAAAAACTAAACCACCTTCATCTTAAGTTTACAATATTTATACAAAATAAAATATTTACCATAAATACATTTGCTAATATTAAACGCTACTCATCGGCTCTCAATGCTCTGTACTTGCTTAATTCGTTTGGAAAAGTCCTGCTCAATTCAACTAACATATTGGCTTTAAACTTTCTGTACGCATCGATCTTTCCCTTGACTTGTTCGTTTTTGGCTAATGCTTTCTCGATGCAATCCTTAGTGTATAATTGAGGGTTACGTCCTTGATCGATGTAACTGTAAATCAAACATACATTAGCGAAATTAGGACTTAATTAGTAATGTAGTACATACTCGAATACTTCCAGTGGTACGTGAACTTCCTGAACTTGCGACTTTAATTTATCCACTTCTTGTAGACCGTGGACCAAAGTTTGCCTGAAAATAAATGTGTTGATTTATACGATTGTTTTAAGCAGTAGAATATATTTTCTTACAGTTTTTGGTTCAAAACGCTCTGGCTTTGAGGCTGGAAATCACTCACGATAATATGAATTTGACGCACATTTTCTATGAACAGTTCCAGTTGAGTTTCCAGATTTTCCAACGAAGACGATGCCATATTATGAAATTTCACAAATATAAACTTGTTTCTAGCGATCGTAGAATAATAAATACGGTCTTTATTGCACAAAAGCGTTCAACAAACTAATTATTTACCAATTAAAAATGGCATCAGCAAAACAATAATGTCATAAGTCAAAATATGTCAAATGTCAATCTTCTTATTCTTCTTTTTATGGACTTTCATTAATTACATTTCCAGCAAATCGTACTTCTTTTTCTAAATATATCAAATTTGTAGTGGTAGGTCGTTACACTTCCTCTTCCTGTCCAGAAAATACGCAAGCGCTTGTCGATATAAACTCGAACCTAATTCTTCTCTTTTTAAACTTGCCATTTTGGCATATTGTAAACGCATTATTTAATATTGCTTAATCTTTGAAGAAAAGGAACAGTATTTGAAGCCAACAACAATGGCTAAATTCGATTTAACATCTAAAATGGGCCAATATTTAGACCGGCACTTAGTTTTTCCATTACTGGAATTTCTGTCCGCAAAAGGTGTAAGTAGAGGTTAAATTTGCAATAGTCATATTTATATTAATATTCGGTTTCCGTTTCTTTTTACATATCTGCTTCAGATTTACAATGAAACCGAACTCTTAAAAGCCAAATTGGACATATTGAGCAAAACCAACATGATAGATTACGCTATCGACATACGGAAGCAATTGTATCCTGACGAAGAAATACCGGACGATTTAAAGCAAAGGAGAAATCACGTCGTGTCCCAACTGCAGGAATTGCAACAGGAGGTTGAACCGATACTTACGGTTATTACCGATGAAGAAGTTATGAAAAATATGGAGAGCATGAGGGATTCGAAGACGTTGATTAATTTTTTGTCGAAAGATTACAAGGTGATCTTCTCTTAACTAAATGTAGATGTACATAGTAAAGAAACAGCATGAATAGAGTACTAATCTTTAGTAGTTTAGTGAATATAGCAGTATTCTACTCTCTCTGCTATAACTCTACCATGAATGGAGTAGTACTCTTTTCTACTTTAGTGAATATAGTAGTACTCTCTACTATAACTACTAACTCTAGAGTTTACTATTAGTACTCTAGAGTAGTCCTCTATTCTCTGATGCTATGTTTTTTACCACTTTTCTACTATATGTAGTACTGTTTTCTGAATTTTTTTGGTAAATTCCATTTCATTAAGTAGCTCGAGTATTCACTTCTTTCACCAATATTTCAAAAATTTTGTCGAATTAATTTGTCCCCCTATCAATTAATCATTTTTCGTTTCAGTTTGAAATCGAAATGATCGACAGTCTGCATAAACTAGCCAAGTATCGATACGAGTGCGGTAATTATTCAGTCTCCACCTCTTATTTGTATTTCTGTTTGTTGGTGCTGCCGCCTAACGATAAGAATTACCTAAGCGTTTTGTGGGGAAAGTTTGCTTCTGAAATATTGTACCAGAATTGGGATTCTGCGTTAGAAGATTTGAACAAATTGCGGGAGTACATCGATTCGAATCCTAATCAGTTCTCCGGTAATAGTTTACACTTGTTGCAGGTATGTGAAATATTTATGTATGATGTTCTATTAAAATTAGTATAAATAGTTTATCAATTGCATAATGCTTTTAATTTAACTTCATATTAGGCTAGTTTTATGTTATTATTTATCAACATTTATTAACAATTGTAGCAAAGAACTTGGTTGATTCACTGGTCTCTGTTTGTATTCTTTAATCACGCCATGGGGCGAGAATTGATTATCGAAATGTTCCTGTATAAACCGCATTACTTGAACGCCATTCAAACAATGTGCCCTCACATTTTGAGATATTTGGCAACTGCTGTAATTATAAATAGAGGCAGAAGATCTGCTCTAAAAGATTTGGTGAAAGTCATCCAACAAGAAAGTTACACCTACAGGTTGGTATCTCTAAAACAGAGACTTTGGGGACTTTGATTTATATTGTAAATTAATCGTTTTAGGGATCCCATAACCGAGTTTTTGGAGCACCTCTACGTGAATTTCGACTTTGACGGCGCGCGCCAGAAGCTCCACGAATGCCAGACGGTGTTGTTGAACGACTTCTTTCTCATATCGTGCCTGGACGAGTTCGTGGAGAACGCCCGTCTGATGATTTTCGAGACGTTCTGCCGCATCCACCAGTGCATCAGCATCAGCATGTTGGCCGAGAAGTTGAACATGAATCCCGACGAGGCCGAATGCTGGATCGTGAATTTGATCAGAAACGCCAGGTTGGATGCCAAAATCGACTCGAAATTGGGGCACGTCGTCATGGGAGCGCAGCCTCTGTCTCCCTATCAACAGCTCATTGAGAAAATCGATTCGCTTTCAGTAAGATCGGAGACGCTTTGCGGGCTTATTGATAGAAAATTGAGAGCGAAAACGGATGTAAGTTTTAAATAATTCAGTGATCGAAAATATACGTTATTTACTAAATGTTACTATTTTTTTTGCAGACAAGGTGGGTGAATCAGGATTTTTAATTTCTTATTAATTATTTTATACTTAGAATTCGTAATAAAATAATTAAATACGAAATGAACGCACTATTTGTTATTTTTATAGAACCTCTCGATTAATACTTTAAAACTTTTATTCAATCATAAAATATTCAAACTTAAAATCCTAATAACATCCCTGTTTTTTTTTTAAACAGCAATCATATAATTACGGTATGGATATAACACCCAAACCAACGCCGCCTTCGTGCGCAATCATGTCTTCTGCGTAAGTCCATTTGTCTGATTTAGGATCGTATACTTCGACGGTTACGAGATTAGAGATTCCATCGTAACCTCCGACCGCCCACAATTTTCCCATATTCGCCGTTAGCGCGACTCTACTCCTTTGAGCAATCATCGGCGCTACGTACACCCATTTATTAGTCAGAGGATCAAACATTTCGACTGTTTGAAGAAAAGAACTGCCGTCGTATCCGCCGCAAGCGTACAATTTTCCACCTAGCATGGCAACTCCGAGCCTGCACCTAAAACAATAGTAATTTTTTTTAATTGAGGGATACAAAACATTTATACCACTTCGAATATTTACCGTTTCGTAAGCATCGGAGGCGCTTCACACCATGTATTGGTAGTCGGATTGTATTTTTCCACTGAATCGAATATCGATAATCCATCGTGTCCGCCCAGAGCGTAAATGTATCCTGAAAGTTCCGAATTATTATCGAAAAAAAAACGAGTATTTATAAAGTACCTTGGCAAGCTATAACAGCTCCAGCGCTTCTAGATTTATTCATAGGCGCCAAAGAACACCAAGAGTTCGTACTCGGATGGTACCTTTCCACTGAATTCAACGATGTTAAACCATCGTATCCGCCGCACACGTAAATAATATCCCCTAATGCTGTAGCTCCTAAAGCACTAAAAAAATTACCTAGTAATTACACGTTTCTTTGAATCGCTGTACTATATACACCTTCTTTTACTGATCATCGGTGCTACTGTAGACCATTCGTTTCTAACAGCATCAAATACTTCAACGCTAGACAGCCTGTCCTTTCCGTTGTAACCGCCAAAGGCGAATAGCTTGCTTTTAATTACAGCTACCCCTAGTCTAGACCTCATCATCGACATAGGCGGTGCCATGTTCCATTTATTTTTAGTAGGATCGTAATATTCGACTGTCGATAGAGAATCGCCGTGTTTATTTAGTCCACCTACCACGTATATTTGTCCTTTGATGTCGCAAACTCGAGGCTCCGTCCTGAAGCTTTGTATTAGAGCCCTTCGTTCGGGGATTAAATGGAACGTGAGAGCTTCATCCACCAAGTCCCTACGAAGAATATTTAACAATTCTATTGTAATGCTAGTGATTATATGCTATCCTTTTTATAGTGATCCTAGTATCATAAATCAATAAAGGATACAAGCATTCTGTACGCTTACCTGCATTGAATGGAATATCTGATTTGATCTTCATTCCTAACGCGATCAGTTATGTACAAAGGAGACAATAACGGCAATCTAACGAGTGACAGTAACTCCGGTAAGTGATCCTTCCTCGATGAAATGTCGTGCTTGACCCATCTCATGCAAGCTTCGAAAACTTGTTCCTCGCTGAAGCAGAAGAAGCAGATGAATCGAAATTTGGCGGAGAATAGTAGAGTTATTACCTATCAACCCTGAGATCGTTTTTCGGCAGTAGTTCCTTAATTTCCTTTATGGGTAAATTTAAGTACTCGTCGTGCTGGGAGACCTCGGGAAAATACAACTCGATGTATTTTTCCGCGGAGTCCGCCAATACTGAAGAGCCTAGGGAGTCTGCAAAATGCTTAAAACCCAGGGCGTTCTGAGGATGAATTCTAAAAATATGAAATGCATTGTGTTCACTATTCCCTTGATATTTTTTTCAAATCCCTTTGAGCAATATAGAGGGTAGCTAACATAAAAGTGTTAATAATGAATCATTCTGTATATTGAAAAAATAGTTTTAGATATTGCTACTTGTTTTTTAAACAATTAAAGGATTTGAATGTTAGGTTTGTTAAGAATACTTCGGAATTAATTCTCAAAGAAGCGAAAAGCCAGCCAATGAAATAATTTGCATAAAATCTAATTAAATTTACTGCTGTTTTAAATATATCGTATTTTATAAATTTTAATACGTCATAGATTGCGGGAATCCATATATAAATACAGAGTGTCTCACGAAATTATTCATATAAATAGAAAACTTACATTATTTCGAACTCCCATTTATTTATTCCCAATAAAGCCTCGATAAAGAAATAAGTACAAAATTTACTTATCTATTTCAAGTGTTAGTAGTTTCCGAAAATTGATCTGAATATTAAGGTATTTCAAAATGTATAGGAAAAATGTAATTCTATACATTTGGAAGAAAATGATGAAAAGGTGATGTTATTTAACAAAGTTATCGATACAAAACAACCACCCAAAGGCTTTAAATGTACATAAGGAAGACTATTTATTATTTTTCCACTTACCAAATTTTTACATTCAATATCAAACTTGTCATAAGAATAATTACAAATGATTCATTTTGATTCATTCATTGTGATTCATTTTTAATACAAAACATTGAAACTATCCACTGATAGGAATTAATTTTATATTCAGTTATTATATTCTATACAGTTTAGGGTCCCCCATTGAGTAACTTGTTTAATTAAATAAATATTAGGTTCATCACAAATCTAACACAAAATACTTCAGATTGGCCGGTTTTTTTCTATCAATGAATGTAGAATACCTTTGTAGCAAATAATTGGCACAAGCGTCTCTGACTTTATTTAATTGCAAGTAAGATGCTCCTATCATAATACTCTGGACGTTGTTTTTGTCCAAAGTTATTTTACCAGTGTAAGCAAAATTTATTAATGCTTCAAGTGCCCTGAAACAATTAATAATAAAAGTACATACTATGTAATTGTATTTTAATACTAATTGTAAGAAAAAATTATGCAGGAGTATGTAAAGTTTTACTTACATAACATCGATGCATTTTATTTCGATTTCTTTGTTTCGAGATTCTATCATATCATTCATGAACATCGCCTGGAAATATGGAATGGTAGAAGCTAAAACTATTTTATGAGCACTAAAATATTGACCTTCCACCTAAAATAGGGTAGAATCAATTGCAATGAAATTTGAAGGTTGTTAGCTAACTTTTAACACCACATCGCACAATTTTCCTTGTCTTCTGATATCTGCCATGACAGGAAATGCCGATGGAAACAAGTCATTCTGTTGAAATACTAGGTTTTCGTTGTTCATTTCTAAAACATTTCTTGTAGAATCTATGTTTGAAAAATTCCATAAGATAGGCTTCTCTAATCCATCCGAATGTAAATTCCACTCCATTTGTTCTAAAATAAATAAACCAATGATATTTATTCATTATTTGGTAATTAAATGTAATAATACCTGCGAACATTAAAGATTGTTTACTTGTCATTTATTTCCTCGGTTAAATATACGTTTCTTAATACTATTTTGTTTGGAGTCTCTACAAAATACATCAAATTTGGAAATTTTCAACAGTATAAAATAATTCATCAAATACCGATTTTTTAAAGGAATTACACACTATCACCATCACAATTATATATTAAGCTGCAATTATATATGAGACATGATTAAAAACTTAATTATTTAATTCGTCAACTTGTTTTCCTAAAATTGCACAGTCCAAAATCACTGAAAGGGGAATAATAAAATAAAATGTTTATTTTTACTTTATGACATTTTTCACATTTTTGACTTTGACGTTTATCAAAAATAATTCTTCTTTTATATTTATATTTACAGGAATTTTTATATTGGCTGAATAAGAAGGTTATAACAGATTTTGCAAATCAATAATATCCCTAGACACTATTGACATTGACGTGACAGTCTATTATTTTATTCCCGCTTCCCGCCACTGGCCATTGAAGAACAAAATCAACAGACATTTTGCTTTTTATTTATTGCGACTGTTATTATTGTTGCTTTTAGACGGTGTTTTATTGGTATATTTAAAATCTGTAGTGTACAATATTTGCCAAGATGTCCGAGGGAAATGAAAATGAAAGTGTGGAAATCGACGAAGAGAATGACCCTTCTATAATAACTTTGAACGAAGTCTTGGAAATAGAAAACGAGTTTATGGAAAATACTGCTGCTGTATTAGGAGCCGCGAGCGATAAAGTCTGTTCCTACGCTGAAGTAAGTTCCAAGTTCTCCAAGCTATATTCATTCTAGTATATTATACAATTTACATTGAAGGGCTACCTCAAGAGGCAAGCTCTATATTCTTGCTTAACCTGCATACCCGAAGCAAAGGAAGATCCTTCTAAAGGCGCAGGGATCTGTCTAGCTTGTAGCTACCACTGTCATGAAGGTCATGATCTAGTAGAATTGTACACAAAGAGAAATTTTCGATGTGACTGCGGAAACTCCAAGTTTCCCAACATGGATTGCAATTTGAACAACGAAAAGAGCGAAAAAAACGATCTGAATGTCTACAACCAAAACTTCTCAGGCCTGTATTGTGTTTGCCATCGACCTTTTCCAGATCTCGAGGATCCCATTCCCGATGAAATGATCCAATGCATTATATGCGAAGATTGGTTTCACACGAGACATCTCGGTACAGAAGTACCTTCGAACAACTTTTCTGGTAAACTGTTGTTAAATTAATTATCCATTGTAATCAAAATTATTCGTTTTTTTTTTAGAAATGATTTGCGAAGCCTGCGTTACCAAACACGAGTTTCTCTTGCATTACAGTTGCTACAGTATGACTAAACCTGTTGAAACAGGCGAGAATAGCACTGTAGATGTCGAGACTGCGACTGAAGAAAAGTCGGGAGATGAAGAAAATGAAGAAAAGGTCAACGAATCTGCAGCCGGTTGTAAAAAACCTAAAGAGAAGTCTAAGAAAATATGCGCTGCATTTTGGGCTGAGGTACATATTCATTAATGGCCATTTTTATGCACAGCATATAGCAGAATTTATAATTTAAGCATCACTTGAAGTGTCTCTTTAGTTTTAACTTATGATATATACATAAAGAGTACTTAAATGATAATTAAAATTGCTTTAGGTGAACTGGCGTAAAGAACTGTGCGCTTGTGATGATTGCCTAAGGATGTACGAAAACGAAGATGTAGCATTTCTTCTGGATTCCGAGGATCCTGTGCACTTGTATGAGGAGAAGGGTAAAGTTAAGGCGCAAGAAATTATCGAAAATCAAGACAAAGAGATGATGAACTCGATGAACCGCGTGCAACTGGTGGATTGCATTGCCGGTTACAACGATTTGAAGGAGAAATTAGGCGATTACTTGAAAACGTTCGCAGAGAATAAGAGAGTCGTAAGAGAGGAAGATATAAGGGAATTTTTCGATAAAATGCATGCTCGTAAGAAAAGAAGAGTGGATGTTGAGGTCCCAACGTACTGTCGTTAAAACGGTTTGTATTTAATCTTAACATTTATGTATTTTTTTATTGCACACATTTTTAGCAACACGCTATTTTAATTAACTGTAGACAGTCGTGGTTAGCACTATGTAAAATTTAAATTAAAAGAAAACATTCAAACTTTGTGTGTAATTTACAGAGAATACGCTAATGATAAAATAGCAAACAGTACACAGTAAAAACAAAACGATAATCGATCAATGGCTACAGCCAAGAGAATCCAATCTTTCTGCTGGTAAGACTTGTTGACGGACATTTGCGATTTGAAAATTTGGTGGTCTTCACTGCCATTTCCATCGTCGAAGTCCGTGACTTGATGGTCCCGCATTTCTTCAACTGCCATTCGATGATTCGAATTTGCACTCTGAAACATCCCCCCGTTTATTAATTCCATATGGGTTTGTGCGATATTTTTACCTGATGTATGTACGAGTCGAGACCTAGTAGCTTTCCGAATTTTCCCGTTAAAGGTTGTTTGATGATCCACGGTAAATTGCTTGATTGTTTCGATCGGGACATCGTGATTACAACAACCGATCCTATCATCGAAATACTTACTATGTACAAACAACTGGCGTAAAACAATACTAGAAACGAAAGGGTTTTGGATACTTCAGTTCCGTTTATAAATCGATTTCGTTTGCTCACCGACGAGAGGAATTTCTTTTCCCATCAATGGAAGTTTTTGCGAAAAATACAGCATAAACAGGCATATTATTACAGTCGTGCATCCGTTAATTAATATTTTCTCGCCGGCTTGTGGGGGCAACCAGAATGTTAACAATGTCAATACTATGATAACTGAAAAATTTCTATATTAACATCCGTTAGGAATAGGAAATGGATATTACCGAATGCGGGCGTAATTATTATTGCTTTGTACGCGTTGGGGTTTCTACTTAACGACAATTTCACGGTTATGTCCGGATAAGGCTCCTCGCAACACGGATACTTCTTTTCGCTTCTTATTTGCACTGCTCGAGTTATGTCCCATTCTGCGTTGGTTACTACCAAATCTAGCTAAAACAAAACTGTTTATTTTACAGGGTGTAACCAAAAAGCTATGTCATAAATTATATTACATATTCTGGGGTCAAAATTAAATAGTCCAGATTCATTTAGAACGCTCTAGAACTGAACTCCTGGACAAAATTAACGCAACATCATAAATTTGCCACATTTTTGATGCTATTTTTTGTTTGAATTTATGATCCGATTTGGATGATTTTTTTTTTGTATTATAAGTTGGTTCCTTGACAATGTCATCATTTTCGCTGTTTATGATAAAATGTTCCTTTTCGATTATACCGGATATAATAAAAATGTAATGTTTTTTTCCGAAAGTTCGTATCACCCTGTGGAGTAAACTAGCAAACGAGACATATAGCAGTTGACATTAGACGGTAGATCCATCTTTTGCCAACATTTTCTTTTTTGGTTTACTTCATTATCTCTGTTATTAAATTAAAATGTGGCAAATTTATGATGTTGCGTTAATTTTGTCCAGGAGTGTATTTAGAACGCTCTAGAACCATTTAGAACGTTCCAAATTCATTCAAAAAAATCTTGAAATTTAAAAAATAAATGAAATCAATAAAATAAATTAAGAAAATCCTATAAAATTTTTAGGGGGGTTATGTACTCATATAATTCCCCTATATTTTTTCTCTACTCTAGATTTAGGTTATTTTTATGTTCACTAGTTTATTGAATTAATTTTGAACATTTTTTTCGAAAAATAGATATCAAATGCCCAAGTGTTGGAGCTCAGGACTCAGAGGTCACCAGACCTTCATGTAAAATTGGCCACTTAGCAATAGACATAAATTACCATTGCACCAAAGCATCCCGAGCGTAAAATTGCATGTAACTACTTACGTTAACAGTCGTCTGGTTGTTGTAATGCGCAAGATCGATTTGATCGCCGTGATAAGTCCACGATCCAAAGACCAACTCGCATTCTTGTTTATCGAAGGGCCAATATCTCAAGTGTACTGTACACAGCACGGTGAGCTGTACCGGGGGAACCCACAGGACTTGTCCTCCCGGATACACCAAAATGTGCGTGTTTACGTATTGGCTGAGCGGACTGCTCACTGCACTGGAATATTCGCGTACTTTAGGTGTCTGATTGGCAGCAATCGGAAACTTACCTGTTGTATAAATAAATATCCGGTTGCCAAATTTCGTGTTCTGCAATGTGCAGCGCATTAATGTCTCCGTAGTCTGAAGCGTTCCATTGCAATTTTTCGTCGTCCCAAATCTGTTTTTAAAGTAAAGTTTTTAATAACAAAATTGCCATGGTTTATCTGCTATATGATATATAGAAATGGCTTTGGAAATACCTTGATACATGTTTATAGGTGTTAATTGCTAAAGAAGGTGTCAATTTGAGACAAAATTGACCACAGTGATTAAATTTATTTTCACAAGCTTTGATGCGAGTCTAAATTAATCTGAAAAATCTTGGGAAAATGCTAAGGAAACTACAAGATTGCTATCAAGCTATCTTCCTGAGTTTTATTCCCAAATCAAGTCGTACCTTTTTGTCTTAAATGACACGAATTAGGGGTATAGAAATTAAGTAATTTTATGAAATATTCACCAAACGTAGCCAAGCGAATACCATCAACGTGGACTTAAATTCGTTAAATTCAAGGTGCCTTATGTCGATGCCCAATTGAACGGTGGTTTTGTTGTAATGTTGCGCAGGTCTGGCGAATTTGTCGTAGTTTAACAGGAGATCGTGCCGAAGTTTATCAGTATATGTGGCGTTCCAGAGAGGCTGCGGTCCCACTTCTAAAAAGAAAAAATATAGACCCAGAAAAATTAACATGTACACATGTATAATATATATTAAGCCTCGTTTGCGGTCTTAGATGTAGCAAAAAACATGTTTTTTTGATAATTACATAAGCATTTTCCGTCTGAACTTCACAGGTAAGTTAAATACTAATTAGTGCATCTATAAGCACTTAATTCTAGCTCATCTTAATTCAGACTTATAATGAGTTTTATTATAAATGCACTTCTTACTTGTCGTAGTAAATCCGGATTGGATTTGGCTACATGTCGATAGAACCAAATATAAGGCAAGTCTAACCGCTTTGGCGCAGTTCATTTTTGCAAAGACACCATGGAACTAAAAAATGCCAGTTAAACGAATAACTGAAACCGTCTCTTAGCGATGTTTTATTTAATACGATAAATATTTCCTGTGCGGACATTCTATCTCGCCCACTTGTCTCAATTGGTTTCAATCGTTTTATTCTTTATTTATTATTAGCGCTTTTGTTAAAGCGCTATCGGTCCTTATCGCGTTTAAATAATGGCATTTTAGTTTCAGGATGAAGATACGAATTACAACGACATTGCACTGAATATTTTTGGAAAAAATTTCTATTCTAATCTAAATATTTTATTCCGGGATTCCCCAATAGACTCGCAATTCTCTTTAGCTGAATACTTAGGTAGTAGTAGACAAGGAGTACCATTTTGGTATTATAGGTGAATAAAATGCGGAGATAAGCAGATATAAACAATTTAATTTTAACTTCGAAAGCAAATACAAAGCTATACAAAAGTATGCAACAGTCATAAATAAAATTTTCATTTGTCAGTTTGACGTACTTACAATTTTTAAACGCATATTAAGTAATTTGAGAAGAAACTTTCGTTTATAAGGGAATTATCAAAATGTTGAGATATTAGTTGAGTGTACAAATTAAAATTTTATTGCACTCTAATTGCACAAATTACTTAATACAAACTGTTAATTATCTATTTTTATAAACTATACCAGTAGTGAAATTAGAATGTAAGGCATCATTAATAAAAAAAACACAACGAATTGATTCTTTTAAACTAACAAATATCTACATAATGTGAATATTTTCTCAAATACATACTTTACAAATCGCTCTTAAAAGTTAAATTGGCCAAATCGTAAACACTCAATATATTCTCAAGTGATTTTATGGACAAAATAATTTCGTTTTAATAGTAATAGTCTGAGATTTAATTTAATATGATATACCTAGGTCATTCAATATTTTCTGCATCATACAAGAAATAACCATTACTTCCCCTATTTACTATGGTCTCTTTATCCACTTCCATAAAATGATATTTCTGATCCCAGACTATTTTAATATAAAAATTTATAACATTTGGACTATTCTAGGTAGATAATACAATTGTAAACTATCTTGAAACGACTCAATAAGAACGAACATTTTGCCAATCCTGCATTTTACGCCCAATGCTAGTTTATAACCGCAGGATTACCAACATTTCTTTTAAATAATTACTATGAAGAACCAACAAAAATTCAATCTCCAACAAATTCTTGTAAAACTTGCGTGCTCACTCGAATAGATATAGCATCACATACAAAGACGACATGTTTGTCACTTAATTATCGATATCCTTAAACATTAAAACTCAGTTCGACGTAAAAGAAATGAAGGATTCGTTCACTTTACGAATCCCACCGCAGGTTGTTAAGTCATCCCAATATTGAATGAATTTATGACAGACATGCAACAACTAGTGTTATGTTAAAAGTAGAGATGGTGTGTGCAACCCGTGCAACAATAAATGCACCATTGCACCGAGTGCAGTGCAGCAATCTTATTTACCCGATGGTAGAAGTAAATGTTTATGTAAAATACTAGCAATTAGAGCTTGAAGAGTTAATGGAGTGTATAGACTTTCATTTTAATAAAGCCTCCTGAAAGTAATCCAAAACTGTAAAAAACCCGGTGCAAACGGTTCCAGACAGCTATTTCTTGCACTAATGCACAGCTATTAGCCATCTCCATACTAAAGTACGAAGGGAAAATCAAAATTTAAATGCAATCGACGTTGCCGTTACATTAATAACATTCAAGGAATCTGTGTGAAATTAATTTAATAAACATGTGCCAAAATTGCTCAGTTTTAAGCAAATCGACTAGCATACATGATGGCTAGTCGTGCATAACTTGTTCTTGAGCAACGTTGACATACGGATAATAAGTATACAAAATCGAACAAACGAGGAAACTAAAGCAATTGTTAAAACTAGTACATTTTTAATAACAAAAATGATATTTTGTAACTTGTAACATAATCGGAGCATTCGAATCGAATCGCAAGTACGAGGATTAACCGGAAAGAAATCGGAAACTGAAACGACACTAACCTTTAAACATGCAAGTGATATTAAAAGAGCAATTACCATTATTTTCTGTTCTACATTTACACAGCCCGTGAGACTCTTTTGGGATGACCCTCGTATTACAAAAAGCAAACAAATTCGAAATCAAAATAAAAAAAGATTAAATTAACGTATTAATCATTATATATTTATGTACACACTAATCATATTCAGAAAAAATACATTACGAACGTTCAGAATGGAATTAAGAAACAACAATAAATAAATATGTATATAGTACATGTAGTCTGATCTTTTTTATAACTTATTTTAGTTTTATTAGATATTGAAAATGTTTATCTATTGCTCTTTCTTTTCTTCGGTTTTTTTACCCATTGGTATTGCTGCCTTTATCCTGAAAAAAAAAAGAATATATTAGTAATTTTCCAAAACTCAAACAATAAAAATTGTTACTACTGACAATTGCTACAACTTACTTTGAAGTGACTTCGGCCAATTTTGTCCTTACAATTTCCAAATTAGCATCGATCTGCGTCTTGTTTGTTTCATAGATTTTAGGGAACGTGAACAAGGAAACCCACGCTATAAATAAGAGAAACACCAAAATTAATTACACGTTAAAATATACTCAAATAGACGAAATATCGTTAATTTAATTGGACGAATAAATTTGTTAAAAAAAAGGAATAAATAAATACTTACAAAGAATGACCAACGTCATTCCATTGAACCATGCTCCTACGTATGTAAAGATCCACAGCAGAACTGCAAATTTAATGGAATCCACCAAGTCTTCAACTAAAAACAACCTTCTCAGTTCCCTGACGGCGGCGTTCACGTGTGCAATCGCTACTTCGGTAATTTCCTATGTAACAGAATACCAATGCAATTTAACAACGTAATACTTTAAGACCTTGCTATAGAGCTCGGTTTTCCACGTCTTGTGGTTTTGTACAGGATACATTCCAAAATTCGACTGCCTAGGGCCTAGAGGATACATTTATTATTGAAAAATTAACTCAATACTATGGATGATGTTGCCGCAAATGTACAGGGTGTTTACAATTGGGCACTTCTGAAAAAAATCTCCAATAATGGACACACTTGTTATCACCCAAGTACCCAAATTTAATCATCTGCATGATTAACAAAAAAGGGAATACTAGAACTACTCGGTATGTACAACCCTAGTAAATTGTACGATTTATTTTCCATAATTTTTCTTTGCATAAGAGAAATTATTTTACATCAATCGTATCTTTTTGTCATTCTTCTCGCGTCTCCAAACCTCAAGTAATCGAATATCGGAATATGCAAATCCAACACCTGTTTATACGACTTATAAATTTTATGATAATTACCTTGACTTTGTCTTGGGGCAACGAAACGTCCATCTCCAAATACTCTTTGAACGGATGGCCATCGCCGGTTTTTTGGACCGCTTGTACGATATTTTTGTAAATTCTAAATGCGATCGTCACGCCGAGACCGATCAACGACACGTAGGCGACGACGCTGATCAAAGAGAAGTAGGTGAGCGCCAGCAGGACCAGCAAGACTCCCCCGAAGACCGGCCCTGATTTTTTCGGGTCGCGCCAGTATATTAAACTTTCCACTGTAAAGTAAAGGAGAAACGTCCATTATTTCGAAATGATAAATAAATGCATATTTTTAATACGGAATGTTGAAAAAAATGCCACCATATGAAATATTCATTACACGTTCCCTTTGCAAAAAAATACTGTTATAGATAAGGAATATGTATTTCTTTAAAATAAATATACACCTATGTCTACTGGATTAACTCTTCAAAATGGTGCTTGTAAGTAAACACTCACGTTGTACTATTTACTTATTTTAAAAGTACTTATCTCGATAATAAATGGTTGCAAAGTCTACAAAGTGTTAAACATTACCTACATTAACTAAAACTATAAGTAATAGGGTAAAAACAATTCAAAAAATAGTCGTGACAATAGATAAAAAGAAACTCCTGTGAATCAACATGTTCGGCCATATGTTCCGGCAACAAAGAAATATATGGAATTTCTGAACTAAAACTGGTTTGTCCTTACCGGGTCCCCTTTCAGGCAAATCCTCGAAATCGTTCTGTTGATACCTGGTTTGTTTCCGGCCCATTTTTAACAGATGAAAATTAACGATTTGAAATTGGAAATCGAACCGCCAGCACTACACGTATTGAGTATTGATGGAAAATGTGTAATGTGTCTGATCTAGACTGTGGATCTAGTAAAACGGTAACGCGGCATACGCGCTATCTCTTTCTACGCGAGTACGTGTATAAACTTCCCTGCCTTTCAATTTCTATTCAACGTCCAACATGAACCAACGTATTCGAATACGTGGTAAAATTTCAGTGTTGCCGGTTCTAACGATATAGCGCAGTATTGCTAGATTTATTCCTACAGACATAATATCATAACTTCGAACCAATCAAATCTCACGAATCAAGCAGGAAACAAATTCAATGCTTTGAGACTAATCGCTGAATTCTGAGAGCATCTGGATCTATGTATAAGCCGAAATCTGTAGATTATAACAGAGGTTAGAATCGCATTCATATTCAGCCATAAATCAAAGTACTTCAATCAATTTTGGAGTCTTATCAATTTTATAGGTATAATTGATAACACAGGCGTAATTATAATTAATGCTAAGTATTGCTAAGTTTAAAGCTAAGATTCTGGTTATCGATGACAAGGGTTAGAAATCGTGTGAGAAATATCAGTCAGCAGGTCATAATTTCAAGTTGTAACCGAAGTAAAAAAGTTGAAATTTAAGTGAAACCGAAATGTAAACGATCGACTTGCTTTAAAAAACCATAACTTATTGAAAACGGATGGTTTGGCAAATTTTTAAACATATTTTTTTTGGTATAATTGCATAACTTATTGTACCAATTAATAATAGAATTGTTCCTAATCAAAATTTGCCAATCAGTTATTCTTATACTTGTCAATAAAAAGAAATTTTTTTTAGCTTGAGTACACACTCAAGCGAGCCAATAAATTAACAAAGTAAGATCATTTACGTATCAAAGAGGGCCAATTAAGAGAATCAATCGTTTATCAAAGAGAAACCTTTGTCTACCTATAATGAAGCAATTTACCCACTCAAGAGAATTCTTGTACCCAAAAATCAATTTTCTAAATATGTTTCGTTTATCAATGCGCAAATAAAAGGTTATCTATAAGATAGTTTTGTAGCAATTTGTAACTAAAAAACACCTTATTCAGCTACTAGCAGCATTATCCAGCATTCTAGCAGAAAAATTTATCTGTTCATTGATAAAACCACTGCAAAAAAGTAAAATGTCTACTCAAGAGAATTATTTGTTTATTACGCAACATAACACAAAACGATCGTTTTTTTAAAACCAAGTCAAACATTTAACGGTAATTTACGTTTTGTTTTGAACACATTTAATGACCTACCTCAATGAATAAGGGAAGCGACGTCTCACATTAGAGTATACTGAATTTTTTAATGTTTGAAAACGTGAAAATTTGTAGAGACGCCACTGAATGATAAATCGGCTTTGCCAACACATTTTTTACATTCATTGCCAACTTTTCAAAAAAAATCTCAATCGCTTATAGTCACCCGGCATATTTTCGACATTATAATTTCGGAAACAATTTTAATTATTAAATAAATAATGTAAATTGTATTCAGGCAATCATTATTTAGCAATACGAACAAAGGTATTTACAAAAATCTACCCCAACGTAATTACAGATAGGTAGTATCCAATTTTAAAGTTTAGTAGGTAATTTACAACACGCAATCTATCATGTCGCAAATATGGAGGTTTTCATTTGTACCCTTACACTCTCATATTTTATTCAAACCACTATTTCAACCATAGAATGCAATTTCAAATGGGGTTGATAACCTATGGATGCATAAAAAAAATAGATTATAAAAACGAGCTCTGTTACACATTTTAAATAGCTTGCAAAAAGTGCAATTAATTAACTATTAATAAATGTATAGTAACTAGTTATTTTTATAAGGAGTTTGTTAATTATATTTCCAACTAGCGATTTAAAAGATTACCTACACGTTCTAAGCACCAATAAAAATAGTAAACCTATTAGATAATCGTACCAAATTAAATTAACCTAAACGGAATAAATATACAAAATTATGCATCTAATTTCACCTACTTTTCGACGATCAAACGTAATCCCAAAAAAGATCAAAAAACCGACCAAAAACCACTCATCACCGTGATATAAAAAAAATACTGGGTTCGAGTCAGCGCTAAATAAAATTAGATCTAAAAAAAAATCGGGACGCAGAGATCGGCCGGACTCGACGAGTTAAAAATCCCAGTTTCGATTCCCCATCTCCACACACCACCCACAATCGAACGGAAAAAAATTTATCATAAACTTACGTTGATCGCGCTGCATCACATCGTTCAGGAGCTTCTCCATGGCTCTTTCGCTCTACACTTGGCGACTTTGCACCTTCAAAGCGCCACAATAAGAAAAAAACTGATATCTGCACCCAGATTCGTCTTGGTAAATTGGCAAACGGCCCGTCGTCTATTCTATAATACAGTCTGCTACACGCATTCAACACACACAACCTATATATCCCGTTATTTCGGGATGGAAATGTTGGAATAGCCGGTCGCGAAATTCGTTGCGGACTTTGACAATTTTTTTTCGATGGATTATTCGCTGGGAAATTCGCGCTTTTGTCGTTAACTTGGCAATAGAGAGCAAAGGTAATTGAAAATGCGCGTTCGGTTCGACGACGCTTGCGCGTACGGCCAAATAAGGGCTTTTCCTTTACTCGTTGTTCCGATAGGGAAATCGATATGATGTCCAACGAATAGCGCAAGCTTGAATAAAAATATAGCGCGCACTAAAGGAATACACACAGGATGGTCAAATTTCAATGTTGTAATAAGGAATCTCGGTAAGGACAAATGAATATCCCATCCTCTTAAAATAATTGTACCTCTGGATTTACAACTATTAATGTGTTTGAAGAATGAGAAAATCCACCCCATATTCATAACCAAACGAGATAAGCAACAATAAGAAAACTCGAAAAACTTCTTGGAACTTTTGCTCACAACTCGAGAATATAATAACCAATTTAGTTTCTCTCATAAAGTTATTATGGAAAAAATATCAAGGGAGAGAGAGGTTCCTATTTACCGAAGTTCCCCCGAATAAAACATCAAAATTTAGTCACCCTGTTCCAGACGATTTAAAAAGAAGATAAAACATAATGCCGTAACATTATGATACATAATTTTCTCTCATCAAAATGTAAAAAACACACAGGAAAACTATCTACGTTTGCCAAAACTCGGTAAAATATTCGATAAAAGTTTTTTAACCCCTCGAATTGGATAAACACTTGGAAAGTACACGCTTCACGCATACTTCACATCATAGAAGCGTGGAATTTTCATTGCGACAAAAATAACTCTTCATCTGGATCGAACGCGCATTCTATTCGTTAATTTGTTTTTTATACCGGGCGAATATAAATAAATGATACTTAACTGTCGTTCTGTTGACATTTTACTATTTGATGTTAACTACTTGCGTGCCCCTGTTATTTAACAAAAAAAACCTATTTCATAGTAAATTGTTGATAAAGTACAAATCTACTTGGAGTAATATGAACTAAAATGAGACTAAAAGGATTCTAAAGAAATCAAAAAGATTACGCTTATAAGAAGGTGCTTCTCAATCTCAAAGGTGCCTCTCTCTCATGTTATATCATTTAATTAACTTTCAACTTAACAATTATCTAATAAGAATATTAATAAGTACATATTCAAGTCATTTTGGAAAAACATAGAAGCTTATTTGGAACTCTACGTATGTAGGTAATCTTTTAATAGATATTTATTGAAATCGTATGACCTTTGAATCAATGAATCATTGTATAAATTGCTCCTCTTAAACGTAGTACGTGGTTTATAAAGTCCACAATGATTTACAAAAACAGGAGCTACTCCTTGAAATATCAGATTATCGATTTTAATGACCGGATGAAACAAAGTAAATATCAGACCTACGTAATAATCCCGTAATTAAATTTAAGGAGCTATAAAAAGACCCTAAAAACCGCTTGTTTTCTTAAATACATAGGTATATAGCAGTGAGCAAATATCAATGTTTTTATAGGTTTACAGGGAATCTATAAACCTATAAAACGAGTAGTTATAATGAAATAATTACATTAAATTATTAAAAAATAAAAAATTGTAACAAAAAAATTAAGCGACAAGTTTACATAAAAATACATAAGGATTTCATGAAATGCAAGGAACCGATGAGAAAAAGGTTGGTTTTTTTTCGAAATCATTCCGGGTATTTACAAAAAAAACTTTTTACAAATTATTTTACAATATTTACAATGACAAATGCACCAAACCATGCAAATATTAAAGCTACCACAATCCAATTCCCTCTTAATAAGATAGCTTCATTTTTTGGGGGCATTTTTTATAGATTAATTAAACAGATTAATAATTAATAGAAAAGTATTCCTTACCTTTGGGATCCAATTTTTCGGGATTAAACCATGCGTCTGAAAACAATACATTAGTTTAAGCATGTTAGTGTGTCAAGCAAAGTATTAATGAAAATATTTTTTTACAAAATATAATCAGGCGAAATAAAAGAATAATTGTTTTCTATTATTAGTCGTTTAGAGTTTAGACAATCATTGTCAAGGAGTTACATAATTACTTCAATGACGAATTTAAGTGCAGTAATAAATAACACGTAAAGTATAAAGTACAAGATTTAGCTCGAAATTTCTCGAAATAACCTAATAATACAATACGCAAACGAGACAATGATGTGATTCGAGGAAATATCAATGCTATCAAATCATCTCTTTATTTTTCTAACATGAAATTCGATTAAAATTCTTTTCAAGTGATATAACTGTTATCTAACTTGATATGTCCACTTGATAAAAGCGAATTAAATTGCAAGTATTTTCGAAAACATCTGACAAGCTTTTCATTTTGTTAGTATCATTTCTCATTAAATATTTTAATTGCGACTGTTAATATTGAACAAAAAAGTTTCAGTACACAATGCAATAAAATGGAACATAATAGATAGTTATGATAAATAAGGACTCATTATAAAAGAAACATATAAAATAATGGTCTGTCTGGAAAAAACAAAATTGTTTTACTACCTGCTTTAAATAAAATAACATAGGGACCCTCTTTTAGACGGTACCCATAAATTTCAATAAAATTGTTAATAAAATAAAACTTCAAAGTTAAGTATCTAATAAAAACGACATTAACCAAGGTCAATAAGTAATCAACCATTTGAAATGTATACGAAACGTTAGGTAAAAAAATTAACCAAACAACTCAACCATGAAGATACCTACTAGGACAAAATACAACGCACAACAATGATCGTTGTTTCGCCGATTTTCCTTCGTGGTCTATCAACTTTTTAACCTCTTGTACACCGTTCAAAACGTCCTCGACCAGCTCGCTGGCCACTTTTTTAACATCCTCCGTTTGGGACATGGTTTCGGCTTTTTCGTCTTTCGTCGCAATTGCAGTCACATGCACCGATTCGATTTTACTGCCGCACGGATTTTTCGTAAACAAACACACGCCCTAACCTTGAGGAACTCGAACAATCCAATTTATTTTTTTTTCGATGCGAGAATCACCGGGTACTTCCTGCAATCGCGTGGATCAGGTGCGTTATTCGGCAAGTCGTGGGTGTATGTCACCAACGTATTCGTAATGCAATGCAAGCAGCTCGGAAGGAAAACTACCTGCTACGCTTTGTTTGGGCGCGCGATTGAGCATGCGTTCGTCTGATATCATATCGACCTGCTTCGTTGATAGTACTTGGATTTTGGATTGGACTCGAAACATTTTTCGATTCGGTGCTCGGTACTCGACCAAAGTCTTTATTTATGCAAATTTTTAACCTCTTTACAGTCCAAAAGCCGGTTGTAAATTACCTGGACTACTCGAAAGTCGCTACTGCTCTACTCTACTAATCAAATCGCAAGGTGTTTCAAAAAAAGGTAGGTCATAAATTACATATCAAATTCGGGGACGTAAACAGGTCGATATTTACTTATGGAAGGTTTCCCATATGTGTGGAAAAATTCAAATATTTATCTTTGAAACAAAACTATTAAGGAAATCAACAAGCTTTGGAAACAAACCATTAATTAAGCAAAGACGATTAGTTATTTACAAATCAAAACGAGAAAGTATAATACAAATAATGCAGAAGATAAAAGTAATCCTTTGGGAAATATGTATACATACACTTTAAAAGGAAATGAAGTGATAAGTTATCTGCTTAGGTTTGAGAATAATGCTTTGGAAGAAAATAGAGGAAGTGAGACCTCAAAAGACATTCAAGTTTCAAATTAATAAAACATACATTTAAACAGTAATAATTCAGTATGAAATTTACTTATAATTTCCTACATCTTCTCAAGGTAACTTGTTTTACCTTTATACGCAGTAAACCTATCTATAAAAAAATTTAAAAATTGCACAATTTTACCTAACATCAATTCATAATCATTGAAACTAATGATTAATATTTCCCTACACATTACAATGCGTTTTAAATAAAAAATTATTAGTTTTTGCAAATTGTAAGTTCCTACGTACATATTTAAAACGAACCTTTTTGCTCTGATTAATATTCCGTTAAATGTTAGTAATAATACATGCTTGGTATAAATAAATAAATAATAAGTAATATGTACAGTTAACCAAAACAGAATAATTAATCTCTGGTCTACTAAAGAGCCGAACCGAAATTAATCGAATACCCAATATAAGAGCCCCCATATACATTTTATACAGATATAAATAAAAAAATATTAATCTTACCTAATCCCATTTTGCAGAAAATAGCAGCTGCATCGGGAAGAGCAATTTTCGAAGATGTAGCTACAGATTCGATCCTCTCAGTCTTCTCACTTGCTGGCTTCGTTGTTTTCTCTAATAGGGATTTCTTATCGGAAGCAGGAACATCGAGCGGAAGAGATTCGATGGGTTTTTTCGCAGGCTCTTGCGGTAAGGGTGCAGGAACTTCGGGAGCCGGAGGCGTCACTACTTTACTAACAGGAACCGGTTCGGAGTCCAAGATATCACCGAAAGCGTCCGCTTTGAAACTATCGACAGTTTTCGCCGGTTTGAAATCCTCAAAATCTAGAAATTGATCGGCGTGTTTCTCGATGGGTTCACTTACTCGTTCCGCTTCGATTAGATTAAAGGAAGACTGCTTGTTGCTCCCTATATCGAACACGGGCGCAGGAGCCAACGGGGGCTCTTGTAAAAAACTATCCAATTTGTCAAGTCCCTCTCCTCGCCCAAGAAAATCGTCTTCTAGCAAATTCCTGTTCATGCTTGCGGAATTGGTATCGGAAGAGCCGGTATGGCTATGACTCACTGCGGTTTTGGGTGTGATATCGATTTCATCAACAGTTCCCGGAGCTGTCACCTCTTTGTCCGGCTTGAAACTCGTCAGGTCCTCCAAAGGGCTCGAATCGTGCCCTAGATGCTCGAAATCGTCGACGGAATCCACTTCGCGTTTGATGGCGAACAAATCTTCGACGGGTTTCTTCGTTTCAGACATTGCGACGACTGGAAATTTTGAAACACCGCGCCGTTACGTAGAGTTAAAATAAGAGTAGAATGTTTGATCGTTTCTTCCTTCTCCGCGCCGCAGCGAAACAAACAAGGTAAACTGAATTCGACTCGATTCAAAATCGACCCCAAACTTGAAACTCCCCAACGAAATGTCAGTGTCTTGTGTCAATTTCCGCGAAGTTGATTGGCCCACTCGAATCGAATTCGCATAATCAAGTAATGCATAGTTAAAGGCCAAATTGCATGATATACTATGAATAAAAAATTAGCCTGTTATTTACCTTATTTAGTTTATAAAAAACTAAATTTTTGCAAAATTTTAATCAAAATGTTGTGAAATTAATTAATAATTGTAAACATGACATTTTAATAGAAGCACCAAGTAACCGATCAGTTGATGCCTTCTAGAAATGACAGGTACAATTGACATTATTTTAAAACATTAAATTTTAAATAAATATTAGCATTATTATTAATAAGTAATAATAATCTTTCCTAACTCATTCAGCAACGAATATAATCATAAAAATAAGTAGGGCACCAAGAAATGTTACAGGTATGTGTATGTTAATATTTATTTTTCATATTAAAATTTAAACAAATACGCTAAGTATGAAAAATAGATTCATTTTTAGAATTTCATTGTTTATCACGTATAATATCAATATTATTAAATTATTAGCACATTATTTACTTATGAAAAAATGAAAGTTACATATATGTTGCTTTTCTGTCTATGTTTGTTCCTTATAAACTAACTCAAATTATTTTCAAAGTGTTTTTATCAATCTAGAAAATATTAATAACACAATATCGGTTTCAAATACTCATATATTAAATAACCATACAAACAAACATTAAACAGGAAAGAAAATCATCTTCGATACCTATATCTCTTGAAATGGAACCATAATTGGAATATGTTGTTATGAAACTGGCACCTAAATCCCCTTTTGTATGAATATTCCCATTCCCTGTTGACGATTTTAAAAGCGATGTCCTCGTAAGGCGGTCCGGCATGGAATCGTAATATAGCAAATTCCCTATTCTCGGGGCTGGGCGTTAGATAATACTCGGGCGTGCTGCTTTTGTCGATCAAATCAGGGTAAAATATGTTGAATTTGTACCCTTGTACGATTTTTGGCGGCGGGTTGTCCATGTCATAATGGGTCTGATTATATTTGTTCCATTCGAATCCTGTGTGCACTCGATTGAAGTACCTGGGCTTCCGTGGGCGGTACTTATCCGACCATAAATACACTGGATTATCCAAGGCTTGCTCGACTGAAAATTGAGCCTCGTCCCCGTCCATTCCCTTTCTCGCTTCCTTTTGTAGCAGTAACTCTTCCTTTGTAACGACGTTTTCGATTTTGGTTCCTTGGCCCGTCACCTGCATCCTAGCGAATTCCAATCGTTTTATATCGTCTTCCTCCGAGACTACGATCGTACCGGGCTCGGTATCGTCCGGAGTTAAAAACTTTGGACTGTATCCGCCTGCTTGGTAGGCCGAAAAGCATTCGTTCAGCCACGCATGAGCAGCGTCTTCGCTCTTTTCATTGCTTTCTTCCATCGTTTCCAACGAATCCTGGGAAGTGCTTGGTTTGGGTTCCGAAGTGGTTTCTTCGTTATCAGTAGAATGAGTTTCGCTGTGGCTTTGACCTACTCCTGTAATGGCTTGTTCTGCTTTTAGTACTTGCAGTTTCCTTCTCAAGCTATCTTGATGTCTGTCACGTAGTCTGGCCCTTGCCATGTGGGCTTTAAGTTGCGATAGCAAAGACTCCCAATAGCCTATGTCTATACCATCGGCTTTGCTGCTAATTTTGCTTCCAATTTGCCTTTCTAACGCCGCTAATTGTGCGGCCGTTTTGCCTTTAAACACTGATGTTACATCAGTGGCGACAGATTGATGTATCCCTTCTCTTCGGTTCAATCCCAAGTCGAAATCGTTTTGTTTTTCAATTTTTCTCAACTTTTGAAGCTCGTCTTCTACTATGACTGTTATGTCGTTCCAGTAATCTAGGTTCTTTCCTCTTTCTAGTTCCTTGTAGACTTTGATGTCTTCGACTAGGTCTTCTAGGTCTTTGATTTGCAAGCCGTTGAGGTAAGTGTAAGGCTCGTGCATTTCGACGGCATCGACTTCTTCTTCTGCGCTTATGTACTTTGCTAGTAGATCGATCGGCTTGGCTCGACCATCTTGAATTCTGATGTGAGATCTCAGTCGGGCCTGCTCCAAGTGGAATTTATCTTCTTGCCTTTCCCATTCCTCGAATTGGGCAGCTTCTTTACTTCTTTGCATCATTTGGGTTTCTTCGTCTCTTTTTTGCCTCTCCAATTCCCTCTCTAGCCTACGTTTCTTGACTTTTTCGAGTTCCCTTTTATTCTCCTCTTGTTTTAACCGGTTTATCGCTTCGATTTCTGCGTGACCGACGTTTTTGATGCCTTCTTTGGACAATTTTTTGTTCCAAACGAATGTGGACAGTAAATTTCCATCTCCGAATGGATTGTCGCTGTTCGTGTAATGTAAGTATTCATTGTCCCAGCCCATTTTCTCTTTTCGCCTTCTTTCCTTCGCCTCTTTCTTCATCAATCTTCTCAATCTCTTCTCCTCGGCGGTTTCAGCAGCTTTGAGAAGCTCCTTTTCATTCTTTTTTTGTTCGGCTAATCGCAATCTTTCGTTTTCTAGTTTTTTTAATAGCTCCACCGAATTACCCGAACTTTCGCTGCTGGTCGATTCGGATTCACTGGAAGAGCTCTTAGATCGCTTTTTCTTTTTCTTTCGATCGGCATCTTCGTGGAAACTACCCTTTTTCTTTGAGCTTGATGAATGCTTGTGCTTTTCTTGAGTACGCTCGGAACGGCTACTGGACCGGCTTTTTTTACTTTTGTGGCTTTTGTGTTTGTGCCCTTCAAGTATATCTTCTCTAGGCATTGTAGTAGTAACGCTTTTTCTAATATTTGAAAAGACTGCTTTTTCTTTTATTATTATTTTAAAGCTAACCTTATTTTGTTTGGCAATTGACGTATAAGTGACACGAGTCACCTGTCGTAGCTGTCAATCTTCTTCTTTTTTGCCAATATTTAACTGATTCTAATTTAAGAGGGGCGTTGAGATTTGGTAACCCAATTTCAGTTGGCAGCAATGAAAATAAGCCCGATTTTTCGGTGTACAAATCTCAATTTTTACTTAATTTTGAGATATAATATGAATCGCAGCTGATAGAGTGAACCTTCCTGTAGGTCATAAAGGTTTTTTTTACAGATCTATGCAAAAATAACGAAATTACAAGCGTTTGAAGGTAGACATTTTTCAGTTTTTTTTTCTATCGGACGATAACCAAAATCCTTTATGACCTAGCGATGGGTAATAGAAATGTATTGTGAAAATTTGGAAACGATATTCTTTATATTTTTTGAGATTTGTACACCGAAAAGTCTGGATTTTGGAAAAAACTTCATCGATTTGCCGCTAGGGGATACCGAAAATGATACGTTTATGTATGTTCTTTGATTCTTTGGACACTTTGGTAATGATGGTTGCATACGCTCAAGTAGATATGAGCTTTAGGAGGATAAAAAAAGGGTTTTTCATGAATATACGATATATGTGCACTTCTCAAAGCACACTGTTTGTATTATAATAGACAAATTTAGGAGAATTGAGGAAATTCAAGCGAAAATTTATTGTAAGTGTCATTGCTGCCAACAAAATAGAGTATTTGACGTAATAGACATGACATAAGACATAAGACAAAATGTCAAATTGATTTTTAGGAGGTTATGTTTACGTTACCATATTTACATTTGCTATATTATACTTTATCGAGTTATTACTTTGTAGTTGCAATTGAAATTGCAATATACAAACAATAATTAATTATGAAGATACGTTATTATATTTGGATATCATGCATTTATTAATTATTTTGTAAAACAATATTCGAAGATTGATTGAAGACTAGAATGAAATCAAAATTTATCACAGCGTGCACTATTAGGTATATTTTTCATATTCATCATTGGCATACAAATTTAGTATTGTATTTTTTCTTTTCCAACTTTACACTTATCAGTTATTAGATATGATATGACTTACGTTCAATTTAACTATCATGCTAAACTTGTTGTACCTGTAAGGAAAAGAATTCAAACATTTCATTTGTGTAAATATGTTTATTTTAATACTACTTTAACAATTTTGATATACAAGTTGATATACAAGTTTCATCGGTCGACTTTTCTTCTCTTCTTCTATCTTCGGAATATAATGTTTTATCGGGTACCTCATGGGGCAGGTTGATGATCAAATCTATACTTGAATGGTCCTGCACAGGTCTCCACCCAAGTCCTACGACCCCAGAGTGGCTGTACTAGAACTATTTCACTTAGGCCCGGTTGCTTGTACGCGAATCAAAGTCAGATCAACTGATCTCGGATCAAAGTCGGACCAATAGTTAGTCCTGAAATAGGGCGGCCATATTTGATCCCGATTTAATCTCGGCTTAATCCCGGATCAAAGTTGATCCGCGTACGAGCAACCGGGCCTTACAATTTCATCGGAGGCATTGTCATTATCGGAGTGTGTGTTCGGAGTACTTATTGTATCGGGCATTTATCAATATATTCGATCGTAGAATCGCATCTCTCATTTTGTCGCCTGCATGTACTTTTACAATATTACATAGGTATATACAATACAATACAGGGTGTTCCAATAAAAAGTACCCCCTTTAATTAGCTAATAATTTTTAAACGCCTAATCATAAAAACATGTGGTTTTCTTAAATATGTTTTATTTTATTATAAGTTTTGTTACAGTGATACAGAAATTATGCCTCCTCCTTTAAATTCACAGTAACCAAATTAATTTAAATGGAACATCCCGTATATACAGAGGTATTTTAAAAGATACACTCTTCTACTTTTCAAAAATATATTATTTGTAGATATTATTCTACAAAAGAAGACGTCCTATTTCATAAAATTTAGTTATTGCGATTTTAAAAGAGGGGTCTTTATGAAACATCCTGTGCAGGCGATACAAAATTTTTGTCTCACTGCAACAAAAAGTTATAGAAAAATAAATAATATATTTGTCAAAACCGCATGTTTTATCATCATTAGGCGTTTAAAAAATATTACCTCACTAAAGGGGCTACTTTTCATTGGGACACCCTGTATTTTAATGAACACTATATCATAATTACATGATTTTTAGTAATAAAAAATGTTTAGTGATTTTTACCTAATACCATTGTAATATAGGTACCACTCGACAAAGACTGGTCTTTCTAGCAATGATTGTACGTCTATTATTAATGTATCTTTGTAATTAATTATAAAAATTAATTAATAAAATGTTTCAAATTTACATAATTTATAGTTTACAAAGTTTGCAATAAGAAATTGAAATATAATTAACTAATAAACTATATAATATTTATATAGTCATTGATATTTGAAATAAAATTTGCAAATTAATACCTACTTATACTTATATCAAAAATGAAATTTGCAAATTCTAAAAGCAAAATTGCATCTTCGCCGCTACAAAAATAGAGAGAATATTCGCCAGAGTGTTAGGGGTCGAAAACGATTAGACGGACAATCATAAACGGCTACCTGCTTATGCAAATTTTCTTTATTTACAATGCGACAATAACAATACATTTACTTTGAAAATAGTCTCTTAGATCCACTGCACTTGCGCCACCTGTTAGAACATTTTCTGAAATATCACTGGTTAAAAACCTGGCTAAAAATTTAATTTTGAGACAGCTAACGCCATCTGGTTCAATTAATGAAACTACAAAAAATTACTAGATTCTAGGGGCGATTGGTACGACTGATGAAGTGCTCAACGCCCCTCTTAAGAGTACACATTCAGCCAGTTTAGTTTAAATCATTTAAATAGGTTTTCAAATATTATTGAGACTTGGATCTTCGAAGATCTTATAAATGAGTACAAGCTCCCAAGTCTGAACAGAAACAAATAAAAACAGAATAGCTTCATTTTAATTGACTAGTATCACAGATATTTAGAATAATGTAATGTTGGTTGCCTACAATGTTAACTTTTATAATGGTTTTTGGTTCAAATTTTAAATGTTTAAAGGAGACCTGTATTGGAGAAGTTGTTTTTATATTGTAATGAATATTTGAATATATGGTTAAGTGCAAAGTTGTTTGCAATATGGTATACTGAGTCTATGTAAGAGCTAACTTTTAAAGACGCCGTTTTATAAAGATTTTCAAACCTTTGAGGACTAAAAATAAGCGAATAAAACGAAAAAATCGAATGTATTTCTATTTAACAGAATATTCGAACAATATTAATTACATAACGACTTAATATCAATTGGTTTTATTAATACATTTTACTTGATCAGATGAACATATAATGTTCGATTTATGCCGATGTACCTAATCATAAAAAAATCACTTTTTAAGTAACATTGACATTAGAAATTGAATATACTAACAATAAGAAATCCTGTAGTTGAAGAGGATAAGGATTGTTCCAAAATAAGTACAATAGTAGAACTTACACAAACTCAATAATATTCTGAACAGTTCTGTATTGTTTTTTGGAACAAACCAAATGTTACTTTATTCATTTAGTAAAGTAGATAAAATTGCTCCTGGTAATTCAGTAGTGATTGTTTATAATATTTAACATCGGCTATTAAAGATTTAACATTTTTTACAATAAATCCAAAATGTTAAATTTCATATGATAGAACCTTAGCAGTTGTACTTAAACCTTGTCCCAAGTACATTCAAATATTTAAGATATTTAAATTCCCGTCTACTCTACCTATCTAATTTTACAAGTGCAACTATGTAGGCACACACGTCCCCATTAACTATCGGTCATTATATACCTATAAAAGACACTTATTCGATGATCCTCTAATTGAAAGGGTTTCCCCTGGGATCGAAGGTCGCCGGTGAATAGGGCCAGTAAGTCGGCGGTGGGAACAGCGTCGTCTGGGAATGGGAATGCTGCGTCGTGGCCGGCAGGATGCTGGGCAATCGGTGATTGGGCGCGTGACCGGCTGGGTACAAGGCTGCTCCCAGTTCGCTCTGGTGCTGCTGGTACTTGTGGTACGTCGGCAAAACGTCGCCTTGGCCTTGCGCTTGGGCTTGGCAGGCCGCCATCAGTCCCTGGAAGTCGAATTTGTACGCGTACCTCTTTCCGTGCACCTTCGACATTATGTTTTTATCGTAGTAATATCTGCGGATAGAAAAATGTTATAAATATTCAAGGTGTTTCAGGTATAACTTGTCGGTAAATCCGGGTGGTATTAAGTGGTCGTTCTATAACATAAACATTGAGCAAAGGGGGTAGAAAGGTAGAAAGGTAGATAGGTAGAAAGTTTATGTTCTTTTGAATAAAAATAAAGAGTGTTAGATATATTAATTATAGCAAATTGTTGATAGTTTTAACGATTATATTAAATTTCTAATTTCTACAAAAAAATCGTTCCCTTTGTTTCCTGACACAAATTTTAGTTGGTACAACAAACAACCTGTTACATTTCCTAATAAACTGCTCCACAAAAGTTAAGGAAGATCGCAAATTTTGCGATTATTTTAAAAGTTAAAAGACTTTTTGATCACCAAATTTTCAAATATGCGAAATTAAAAGTTTTCTCTCATATCTGAGTGGATTTTTTGCCCCTACCTCTACAACTCGTACTAAATTTGGCGATCAAAAAACCTGCAACTTTTAAATTAATCTCAATATTTGTGAACTTCCTTAACTTTTGTGGAGCAGTTATATTTATAACGAAACCTTGATGAATTATTAAGCAGATAATTAATTTAAGGGCATCAAGCTTGGTATGTACCCGCACGTAAAATATGATCATATAAAATAATCATCAATGATAGTTCTTTATCAGAATGTTAAAAAGCTGTGTTCCTATTTATAAATATGTAGGTGTTCTTTATTATTCTAACGAGGCTAAAAAGGGACAAGAAACTGCGGAGTATTACAAGTATTACAACATTATAGTTTTTTTACTGTAACTTTTTACTCTTTTGATAGTAATTGTAATTATACATTATTGTGAGTGCGCCTCTGATGATGGTGACCACAAGTAAAACCAACAAGCAACCTTCAGCCATCACAGTAAGCCAGCCATTTTTATTTGCTTTTTATAGAATCTGAAGTAGGTAGTAGGATAATCTATATCATAAATTTCTGAAAAAAATCCATTCCCCAACCGCCTACCGCCCACAATCCATCTCCTCGTCGATCGTCGACGACTTGTCCTTGTTTTTTTCGTTCGGTTTATTTACCTATTAAATATTATATCTATTTCTTTTTTTTTTATCTCCTTACCTAAGAGCTCTGCTCAGTTTGTCGTAGTTCATATTCGGCTTGGACTTCCGCTCCCCCCATCTTCTGGCCACCTCGTCGGGGTCGGTGAGTTTGAACTCGCCATTGGTGCCTTCCCACGTGATGCAGGCGGCGTTCGACGAATCGTTGAGCAGCTCTAGCAGGAATTGCCACAGTTGGATCTGGCCGGAGCCCTGCGCCACCAATCGACTCGTCGCCGCGTTCAGGAGTTGGTAAGGATCTGCAGGAAATATTACCATGTTTTTTTTTGTTCGTTTTATCTCTTTCTTACGTCTAGGACTGCGTTGCTATAACGTTGTTTTTGGTTTACTTTTTAATTTCATTGATATCTAAATGAGTATTTAATCGCTATAATCAGGATTATTCCTGGTAAACGTTTATTATAAATTAGAACTTTTCGATGTTTATGAACAGTTTTTTTTATTTTTTTATAATTTTTGAATAGGTACAATGAAATTTATTTGTTGATTTTACATATCCTAGAAGTTTGAAGCTATATCTTAGATTGATAATATTATAGATATACAAAAAATATTAAATATAGTACAGGGTGTATCTAAATAATACCGAACAAATTTAGGGGTGATTCTGTGATGACTAAAATAAAGGTAGGCACTTGGTACAAAATTTTCTGAAAAAACCCTCACTGATGGAAAAGTTATTCCACTCCGAAGATTTAAAACAATGGGTTTTCTTCTTTATTTTCCAGCCTGTTTATTAAGCTATACATCAGAGTGTTAATTAATTGAATGCTGATACTTCAGGATGTGAATATTTGGATGATTTTAAGAAGAAATGTTTATATCAATGTATGTCCTAAACCTCTTAGTTTTCGAGCTATTATAGAGTGTTACAATTTTAGAAAAAAAATATACTTTTTCTATCATAATATTCTTATTACCCCAGATATTTTTATGAAATTTTGTATACACATCACTCTTTAATTATTAAGGAGTATTTTTTGAGGCAAAAGATATGTTTGAAAAAAAATGTTACGCCGCTGCTTTTTCTAAAAACCAAAATTATTTTTAAAATCCTCACTTGTTTTGAAGACTTACTTTCGTAAGACGCACCATTTTCGCGTAAAAAATAAAAACCAAAACAATTTTTCCCAAGTTCATTCGAGACTGCTTTAGATATTTTCTTGAAATTTGCTTCGCGCCCACCACACATGGAAACACTTTTTTGGGACAAAAATTAATTTTTACTATTACCAGTGACGTTCACGTCCGAAATTTCAAAAAAATATCTGGAGTAATAAGAAAATTATGATAGAAAAGTTATTTTTTTAATTTACTTGTTATAAGGTAGACCGGGGCAAATCGGTTGTAAAATTTGAATAGTTCAAATTAAATCCTAAAAAGTGGCTTTATTTTTTCTCTTATTAGAAATGCTGTGATACCACATTAAATTCACAACTTCCTAAACTAAAGAATCGAGGTATTAAAAAGTTTTTTTGAAAAAGGAAGAAAACGATTTTACATATATTTTAAAATGTTGACAATATGTTACATTTACCCCATGGTACGGGGTAAATGTAACAAACGGTTCTAAAGTGCAATATAACAATTATATAGAAAAACATATGGGGCAATTGTAAAAAAATATTTGGTTCCTCTAAAATTTGATGTGCTGTTTATGTATTTATTTTTCAAAAAATAACAGAGCTACAAAATAATAAAGAAAAAATAAGAAACAAACCCTGTCTAATGCACAAAAGAACTATAAAAATAATAAAAACATTAACATAGTAGGTATAAAAATGTTACATTTTCCCCATTTTTACATTTGCCCCAGTCTACCTTATGTACAATGTAATATCATACCATTGTAAATCATGTTGGCCGAATGGATTTTGTGATGTACGGATTGTGATCGAACTGCCAACCTCCTGGCGACCAACAAATCCTCCGGAGTACAACCGGGAGGCAGCCTCCACATGGCCGCCCCTTTAAACACTTAACATTTTTGTTATTTTTGTGAATTTAATATCGTTTTCTTCACGAGTCTTTCTTACACCAAGGGATTTCAAGTTAAAATGCGGAAAATTTTATATTTATTTTACATTTTGTACCTTGATACGCCGGTATTTACGTGAGCTAATTTAATTAGAAATAAAATAGGAATTTAGATTGTTTTAAATTGATTGTCTATTCAACCGTTATGCACCATAATTTAAACTTTTATATTAACTTTAGAAACATATTAAAATTTCCATTGTTGGAACAGTGTTAATTGCACAAACTGTATAACTATCGAACTGCTTCACTACAATTGAAAATTTCGAAAAACCGTCGGTCCAGAAAATATAAAAGCGCACGAAAAGGGATCTCCTTTGATCGAGAAAGCGACGCGTTTTCGCGCAACGAACAACAATGAATGGCGTCGCGGCGCCAAACAATCCGAATAACAGTTATCCCTTTTATCCCTTCCTTGTTTGGAGAACCTCCACATTTCGGCGAATCAAGAAATATCTAGATAGATAGTGGCATGTATATTATACATATTTAACATTTTTTATTAGATATGCTGCGTAGAAAATCAAATATAGAATCTAAATATACATATAGGAATATTAGGTATTTGAATGATTTAAAATCATATCAGACGATTTTTATTGTATTTTATTGTAACTTATAATTTTTTTATGTAACATAATAAATTAAATCTTGTGAATACCATCAGTAGTACCTAGTAAAGGATATTTTAAAATATCTTATACAATTTGATACATATTTTAACCTATGTAGAAACCTGATGTAGATATTATTTAAAATTTAAAAACCCTTAGTTAGAACTCATTTTTTTGTGCTCAAAGGAAATTCGTGTATTAAAAAAGTACGTGTGGTAAAGTAGATAAATAGAATAGAAGTTTATCTATACCCAATAATATTGATGTAACAAACATCATGATGCAGTCATTAAACAATTAACTTTTTATACAAAAACAACATCAGCAATTCCGCCGGTTTTTCCGCAAAATTTAATTAAACGCGAAAGAGTGGCCGCGCCGTCATCAAAGGCAATTCGGAAAACGATATGCAAATTCTATGACACTCCGGTAACTTAATTATGAGGCAATAAATAACTTAGCGGGGCTAATAGTGCATTCGAGGGGCGGCGTTATACGTCCCCCGTCCTGCGTCCCGAATCCCCGCCGCGGAGCCGGAGATAATCCGGTAACCCGGCTCCGGGTTTATCCGGTAATCCCGCCCTCCGGTCTCATTATGCGGGCGCAGCGGGAACCGCGAAATTGTTTTCTTGATTACCTGTGTGCTCTGGTTTGTATTTTGTGCCCGCGCCGATCACGATTTCGCGCTTCAAGACAATTCTCTACTCCTTTATCTGCCAGGATATATACACCATTATACTGTAGGCATTTTTATATACACTTTTTTCATCTATTGTTTAATTGAATTTAAAGCGATACATGAAATGAGATATTACAGATGATAAAGATATAGGTACGAAAATTGATGAAATTGGAGCGATACTTGATGAAAATTAAGCCTACTTTTTCCTACATCTTTGTCCATGCTTTCCTATACTTTATTACTTCATTCCAGTTGAGATAAAAAGTCAATAAACAATCGATGTTGATGACGTTAGATGATACAAATATATAAATATTGTGTATTGGTATTTTACTTAGTTATTTTACACTTAAACGATGGCAAAACGTATCTGGAAGCAGGAGCTTCAAGCCGCATTATATTCAGGAGATCTGGCCGGATTACGGCTCTGCGAGATGCCCATCTAAAAGTCAAATACTGTCACTTCTCGTCCGACCCGCTGACTTTACGGGGCTCAAAGTTCGTACCCTCTTCGAGGCGCGAGCCCTTTGTGTTTATTATACAGGCCCCCTATATATCTCTTTTGTCAGCGTCTCGACGCGACGCGCCGCGACGACGGAGCAGGAAAGGCGGACGCGTTCGCCTTTTGTGTAAATTGTTCAGTCGATTTTGGAAATCCTCGTAATTAATGGTTTTAGTATGCTTTCAGAGGCACATATCTCCGGTTTTGTCATAGATTTTTATGAAGTTTTGATAGTTTTCTTAATCAATCAATCAAGTCTTGATCAATTTTCAACGTAGATATGATTGTTTATCGGACCCTAAGTAATTCCATAGACAATAGATAGAGAGAATCAAAAATCCTTGCAATAGAGTAAAATAATATAGATACTTTTATGAATTCTTTATATCGTATCGCTCTTATGCGGCGGATCCCAATGATAAATTGCGCTTGTAATTGAATTATTATGCGATTCACCCCGGGGTGTTATCAAAACAGAGGGTGAGGGAGTCACTTGCCTATCCGCTTCTATCTTGTACAAACATTATATGGTCATTGATTCTTGATTAAAAGGGTAATCGACGAGTTCAAAATATATCTAAAAGCATATTTGATAGTACCAGAATAATATCTTTTTTTTTATAAATATAGGTTAGGTATTTAAAATTTTAGATAGGTAAGCAATTAGACATTTTAATTACCTATTTATATTATGTGTGTCGGGGATCTTTTGTGTATGTATTAATCAATGATTTTTAATAATATATAGGCACAGGTTTTCATCAATTCGGGGTATAAATTTATCTGCAGCACGAATTCTGAGATTTTTTTACCTGGGATTTCAGGAACTGGAAGTCCCTAACAGGAAAGAATAAATCTAATTAATCGTTATTGATGGTTCCTTTCCATTTATGTTCCTCTTCGGAGTACCAATTGAACAGTCGAGCTTCTAGGAAAATCAATATGTTCCTATTAAAAAGATTCCTTTTAACAGCAGATAATTGTCGATTGTTTCAAAAATTGCAATAAATTGCAAGAGATTGCAAAAAATAATTTACACTCTTCATATAAAATCTTTTTGCTGCTATATTCCTTGCTACATCACCTCTCACCTCTAATAAAGTTCGGCCGAAGCACGTCTACCTAGCATCTCATCTCATCCCATTCGAAGTGAAAATCCCACTTGAAATTCAGCGAGAAGAAGCCAGCGAGCGATATAAATGCAATATATTAACCGAGTCCTTCCCCTTGAAAACCAGCGGCTGCTCGTCCTTTGGAATTTCCATCATATTCAATTTTATTCCAGCAAATAATTCATCATTACAATCATTAAAATGCTTAGTTACTGAACCAATACTATTACTTGAAGAGGTTAGTATGGAGTGATCCCAGTGAAGGTTATACCAATATCAAAAATCAATCAAGTTTGAGATTTTGAGAAAAGGGTAAAGAACGAAGAATAATCTTGGATAAACCTGATGAGAGGAAGATCCAAGTATGCAATGAAGAACTAGTATCGCTTGTAATTGATTTGTTATCAGCCCACAATTGAATAAACCAACAATATCACTGAAGAAAAAGTCATAATTTAAAGGGTACGCTACTGTCAGGATCCCGACGGTATCCGCAGGAACTGGCAGGAACAACCTTCTCATGCCTCATCGTCGCCTTTCCTTCCTGTGTTTGCGGAGTTTCCTTCCTCGACAGCGACGTGCTTCCGAAAACTTTCCGCATTCGCCGTAATTCCGCAAAATTAATGATCGTTTTCACGCCCGTCCAAATGATACGAATAAAATAAACTGGGACTGGCCAAAATGCGGATCTAATTTAAATTTGAGGATTGCCTATAGGAAGGATGTGAGGAAGTTTTCTAATCGAATCCGAAGCACTCGTTTCCTTGGGAATCCGCTTTTTCCCACCTTCAAAATGAGCAATTGAAAAATTAACTAATTCTCCAGTGAGGTAAAGAATTTAATATTTAGGTATAAGGATATAGCTAATCTCATAGGTGTATTGGATAGTTGCATAGGGCATTAAATTCCCTTTGTTTATTCCGCACGTGTGATAGAGAGAAGGGAAGCTCGGAGATGTTATCGGCGTTGAAATACTACCGTTTCCCTGAAGGAAAAGAAAATAAAGGCCAACAATCGGAGCGTGTAGGTAGTGAATCAGTTTATTTCAATGAGAAAATATCTTCGGCGATTTCGGAGAGGCCGTAGATAAGGTCCGCTCGGACCGGAACGTTGAATCGGTCGTTGCAGGAAAACGGATAAAATTGGAAATGGAAACGATTAAGGGCGAAAGAAAAGACTAAATTGACCACTTCGGAAAGAGCTATTATCGCATTTACAACTGTATATAAATTGAGCCGGGAAATAGGGTTGGACGATAACGGCGAAGCGGAACATGTTCCTATTTATTTCGAGCCGTCTGTTTGTGTACAATTATCTACATTTTTAGGGGGTAATTATGATATTTCAAATGAAAATTTCAATTTTTTTAGGACCTATTAAAAGGTTTTTAGGGGGGCATCTTCTAGGGGACATCTTGTTAAATAAAAATAAATTTAACTTGTGATATTCATCGTTATCCAACTGTCTAAAATTTTAAGTAGTTTGCGGTTTTAATCCCACGCTCTAATCGTGGACCACCCTATATGCAAGATAGCCTACCGATTATTTAAAATTGATAATACCAATCAGAGTGAATATACCGAGAAAATTGGCACTTGTGCGGCCGAAAAAGCGAGATTTACGAGTGTCTGGACTGGATTCACGATGAAGACAAAGATCATCTAACGGTTGTTCGACGGCGGCGCTTAAAAGACTTCAATTCATCGGAAAACCCACAACTTTTTTAATTCCGACAAAAATTGCACCGAAAGCTAACCCGACTATTCTGGGAATTGTTTGTATTGCAGTCGATATGGAAACCAAAATAATGTTATTCTCATGGTCGTATTTTATATTGTTACGAAATTTCAGCAGCACCTAACCAAAACTAATTTCACTAGAAAAATATTTAGCCACAGACCGTAACACATTAGCAACATGTAGGTATAGCAACTTGGTTTATGAATATATCATTTTTTATTCCGTTCATGATGATTTCACCCTGTATATCAAATACCCTGATTTATTTACGAATTGATGAATTCACTTCTCTAAACTTTTTGACACATTTTTTCAATTTTTTGAAGGGACAACTTACCTTGTTCATCTTCATCGGTGTCGTCCTCGAATTCTTTGCATTCTACGTTTAACGGGCTGCTAGCTCGGCCCGTTACGCTATGTCTCAGGTAAGCAATATGCTTGGCAAGAATTTTACCTATAACAAAATAGTTTCATTCAGTTACCTACTAAATAATGACTAACTACCGAAATATGCTTGGACATTTTAATTTATTAGTCCTGATAAATTTGTTAAGTACATAGTGTGAAAAATGTATATCTTAATGATGGTGATAGAGGACAATATCATCGTAGAAATTATTTTTGGAAATTATTTAGAACTTAGTGGAAGTGTTGATTTTTTAGAATTTTTGGGAATTAGGTAGATATGGTATGCATTTTTATAGGATGTTAGATTCATTTATTATTTTATGTTATAGATGTTTTTTCTGACGTTTTAAGTGTTTTCAGGAAATTTTTTACGACTTGTAAATATTTAAATATTTAAATATGGCCATCATAAAAAAAGAACCATAATATTTTAAGCATAAATATGTCACGAAAGTTACTAATAATTACCTGTTCTGGAACTGTTAGTTTTTTCTTCGAAATCATTCCCGGTTAAATTGCATATTTCGGAACCACTTTGCGGAAAATTCTCCGGATCCGGCTTGGGATGCAAGGAAAACTTCCTTGTGCACCATTCCAGCCAAGATTTTATGTGTTTAAACGTCCATTCTAATGGATCTGAAACAACAGAAATTTTCAGGTAGACTTAATCAAGATCCTCTGGAAAAGCTCAGTTTCAAAAAGCAACTTCAAATTCATTTAAAATGAACTTTTTAACAAATTTACTGGAATCTACTAATTCAGCAAATTCAGGAAGTATTGTTTAACTTTAAAGATGAAAGTACCTATGTATATGTTTCCTTTTTATTATTCTAATCTGTTTTACTTGGAATATGTTTTTAAATGACCTTATTTCGAAGGACCCTGAGAGGATTCCCAATTTTTTTACAGAAACAGATGGTGAAATCACTTGTGGTGAATTTTATGAAATAAAAATGAGAACACAAATACCTACAGGTGTATGAGTAATACTCCTGGTATGCGCGAAACTTTTTAGCTATAAGAATGCGGTCCGCTCGGATCCATTCATGAATTAATTTAATTCCCATAGCCCCAAGTTGTGGGGTCAAACGATTATGGACAGGATATAGGTGGAGCATGCGGATGATCTGATTTATTATTTAATCCGATTGATATTCTCTGATTTAATTTACTCGGATGTATTCATATTTTTTCTAAATTAGTATCTACCTGTAGGATGGTACCTATGGGAATGCTGATGGGGGCAAGTTCAATAAAATAATGTTCATGAAAATACGTTACTCCAATATTATATGAAAAAACACATGTTAATAAAATTGAATTTATTATTAATCATATAGCAGGAAATGATTCAACTTTTTTAATGATACTGGGTTTCCTAGAAGGGATGATTCATTATAAAGTAAATTGGCTAAGTATACATCGAGCTGATGTTGATGCCTCTTAAATTACAATAACCACTTAAATAAATACAGTTAGTATTTAATTGGTAAATAATAATTAATACTTTCTAAAAATAACATTATTACTAACAACCCTGGTACACATACAGTGTGACAATTTAAAAACTTCTATATCCCACAAATGAAAGATGATGAAGAGGAACTAAAGTAATATAAAAGAGAACTGACCCCCATCGATCTCCTATGCCCCACCTACCCCAACTAAAAAAAATAAATAGCAAACCCCTACTTGTGATACATCATTAAAAATACAAAAAATGCTATCCAATAGAAATAATAATTAAGCCAAAATGTATCAAGAATTATCAAATTATTATCTAATAACAATTTTGAAAACAAATACAAACCCTATTTGTGATACAATGTTAAAAAGCTCTAAAAGCCAATAAAAAACCGTATTTTCAATCGTAAGTGTCCGTAAGTACTTTTTTTGGTAAATAAATAGTATCTTTTGTTTGTATGATATAGCCTATTGTAAGTTGTCAAATGGTCACATTATACAGGTTAATGTTCAAAAAGAATGAATAAAATAATCCTTTTCGTATAATAATCTGAAACTGTTAGTTTGCAAAACGAAATTTAAGTAAATTATCTAACTGGAATTGTTATGTTGATACAAAATATTAGCACCTATTATTAGAACAATTGATAATAAAAAAATAATTCTAGTTTACTTCACTAACCTGCAGGTACTAAAACCATCTTATCATCAATATCTTCATCACCACTTCCCTCGTTTCTCACAGCGCAATCGTCCTCAGTATCACCACGTGTCTCTTCCCCTATCACATCGGAAGCAAACGGCGCACAACCACCATCACCAACACCACTGTTCACCCTCAAAGTCGCCCCCGCCTCACTGGCACAGCACCCCGTCCCGTCGGAAACTCCACCAAAATCACCAACGTCCGTCGCGAAGGAGGCCTGAAGCCGCGAAATGAAGTCCAACGAACAGGAGCTCTCCTCGCTTCCGAGGGATTTTCGCGCTGATGCACCCCAATCCCCATCGAACGGCGACGCTTTCCGCGAGCGTTCGGCGCTCTCATCACCATCGCAAGAACTGCGTGTGGCTCTGGTCATTGGGCGCGTTGGACAGCTCTCATCGGTGTCCCGAGATGAATCACGGCCGGGCGTAGCGTTTTCCTCGAAGACATCGCCGTCGGGATCCGAGCGCGCGTTCAGTAGGTGCTTCAGGAGTTCGCCGGTGCTCAATTTCTCGAAAATCGAGTCCGACGATGAGGCTGGTGGCGGCGTAGTCACTTTGCTATTTTTCGAAGGCGCCAGCGGATTCATCAATCGAAATTCCAGGAAACCGTTTGGCAGGATTAGCTCGGTGTTTTTTTTATACCGTTTAATTTTGTTTGCTCTCGGTACAGTTTGTGTGTGCTTTTCGAGTCTGAATGTTGGTAAAACCCGCGGTGCGACTGTACTTAAACGTATTATTTCTGTTGTACTGCATGAATGGTTCTTGGATTGGTTAGGCGAATGGAATGAATGAACGAAGGATAATAAAGACATTCGTAAATCTAATTTTATTTTTGCCTTGGTTTATAAACATTTGGTACTTACTCACCAGCATCTACAATATGTCCACGGATCGAGTTTCGAACGAATTAAAAAAAGTTTTTTAATATTTATGAATTTTATGAAACCTAGTCCTGCTTTATACGCACTATTTACCAAGAAAAGTTACATTTCTTGAGTAGATTTATTGGTGGCTATATTTAACCGATTTTTTTTAAGAACATTCATTTTAATCATAGGTGTTAGGTGCCTTTTGAAGATTTTAGGAGACTCTTAGTTTTAAAGTAGTTCTTCTAAGAGTTCAAATAATCCTTCTTTACATGCTTCATTTACTAAGAACAGTTACATTTCTTGATGAGTACCTAGATTTCGAATAATTATTTTATTATTTTATGATTTGTTTGATGTCCTTGGACATGTTTTCATGAATGAGTAAATCACTTTGTTACATTCATTAATATATACGTTAAATGATTCGTTGAAAAGTATTAAATTCTTCGATTATTTAGTAATTTTCACAAGCCAAGAAGGTATAAAATAATTCAATGGAAATCATCCAAATTTAGACCACTTTCCTCAAATAAATTACCCTCAATAACCTTCAAACCTATACCAATACACATCTAAAACGACAGTTAAATTCCTCCTTGATCTTTACAAATCCTATATTTAATATCTAGGTCTCGGTGCGGATGTCCACATCACACTTTTTCTATTAATATTCTTAGAAAGTTTCATGAATGAGCGAGTGACTCACAGAATTTCGCAGAATTTTTGGCGGGTGAGCTAGTTCTCATGCTACAAATTTTCGATTCACGCGTTCACCATCACTTTCGCGTATCCTTAGTATGATTCAATATCAATGCTTCATTAATTTTTGTATAAAAAATAGGAAATACACTGCCCGGAATAATTTAAACAACATTTCTTGTACGTATTTATAAGGCGCAAACGCAAATATACCGATTTAATAAATAATTCATGCTATTGAAAGTGTGATTATTTTTAATATAGCGATGATTGGTGTAGGTAAGTAATTACCATTCGGATTCGAAAACCAAACAAACCACCGCACTTTTCATGGGAATTTCGCGCTTAATATAGATACGTTTTAACTGTATTCAATATCGATTCTAAACTGGTAAAAATCGATGAATTAATCGAAACTCCAAGGAGCAAAACAAAATAAAAAAACCTTCATATATTTTATTGGTCGCGAATTTTGTGAGGGCGTGGGTAATTTATTAATGGACTCCCTGTCTCCCCAATATCCGTTTAGACCGAAATAAGTGTGCTTTAGTAAATTATATATCCTTTTATATACAAAATGAAGGATGTTGCTTTTTTTGTATTTATTTTGCGGTTTGTTTTTTAGGCAAGTTTATTTTCGTCTGAGCACGTGTGATGGTCATTAAAAATTATACAGGGTGTTTCAAGGAAACGCAATCGTCGAAAATTTGATTAATAAAAGAAATAAACACTTACATTTATTATTAATCTAACACGAATGTTATTGCTCATTAGGTAATTTCTGATTCTCTAAAGATGGTGCTAAATTGCATTTTTTTTTTCGAAAAAAACATTGTATAGGAATAGGAAATTAAAAAAAAAACTCGATAAACTTAAATATTTTATGACAAAATTAAAAAACAACACTGCTTTCATCATACAAATAAAAACAAAACGAAACAACTTGTCTAATCTTTTCTTAAAAATTAAAGTTTCGTATTTACAGTTTAATATTTAACAACATTTATTCACCTTTTCGTGTTACCGATAGTTTTGCTGAAGAGAATATTCGACACTCCGATGACCGGTGCGAAAAAATGCAGTGGATAATCACTAAAAAATAACAAACCAGTTACATTAAAAAATCCCGTGGAAATTTACGAGAGAATTACCTTGAGTTAAGGACGGGAACAGCTTCGTTTCCGCTTATAATAAAAAATGGAAACAAAATGGAAAACACGCAACCACTGAAAACCAACAAATTAATACTGCAACAAGACTATAAAACCTCAAAACCAAACCTTATTATCCACGAATCAGAGAGCTGAGTAAAAACAGTCATAGGCAAACCGAAGCCGATAAAATAGGGCCAATGGCTTTCTATAAATGACAACCTTTTGTGCAACTCCCATCCCATGTTGAACCACTTGTACTCGAACGCGTACAGGGAATACAACATGCACATTTGCACCGAGGATAACGTGTACCCTACCATGTTGATAGGTATGTAACTCACAGCCATCGCTTGTATTAAAAACAACAATTGTATCAGTATGCTGAATATCGAATCGGCCAATACTTTGCTGAGGCTTTGAGAAAATACCGGCCGCCCTCGCGTATGCCTGTAGGCCGAATCCGCGATGTCCTGGAAGGATCAGAAAATGAATTAGCTAATTAACGATTGTTAAAATATTTCGATGAGAAATTAATTTAAAAGAGACAAAATAGTGTATCAACAGGTGTTAAATTGATCTCAACTGACGACTAATGGGATCACCCTGTATGTGAAAAATAAAAATAATAAGAAAAATCGAGTGATAATTCGGTACAATTTTAGAGATAACTGGATGCTAATAATTTAGTAAACATTTTGCATTAATTATAAATAAGCAAATACGCTGATATTATTATATTATTGCAACAATAACAATTTCGTTGTATTTAAGTGTCTGCATTAATAAATTTATCAAACATAATTCGAGAAATGCTAAATAGGTAAGTGTAAATAATGATAATTAGGCAATAAACTAGATAATTTTGCTCGTTTAAGGTACTCTATTATTTTTTGCATTTGTTGCGGATTTTACTTCAGTATCGTTTCCTCTACATGCACAGAAGTACTACATGGTATTTATTGCACCAGTATCGGAAATAACTTCAATGAAACAATTAACATAAAATATAAGTCGAAAAATGATACAAATATAAGTTCAATATATCTCAATAATGTAACAGGGTTAATTAGCGACAATACACTTAAATCATTTTCTAATTTAAAACACCTGGAAATACAACTTTCTTTCGTAAGAAACTTTACTGCGAAGCTGGATTATTTAGAAGAATTGTATTTAATGAAGAATTCCAGATTTCCTAATATAACTAGCGAGTTTTTTGCTAAGTGTCCACGTTTGATCAATCTTATAATTGTTGGTAATGAGGATTTGAATATATTTGAAGGTAAGCTCTTCTTGGTACATTCTGTATATACAGAGTGTCCCGCACAAGAACCGACACACATCAGAGGAATGTAGGGGAGCATAAAATATGTTGTTTAAACCTTTAAACTTAATACTATATTATTACACTATTGCTAGTGTACATGACGTTATTTTTTATCGTTTTTCATCAAGAAGACAACGAATTTTAAAAAACAAATAAAATAAAGTTTTAAAGTGAAATTACCTATGTAGTAAACTAATATTTTTTTAAATCATCCATCAGATAAAAAAATCTGTACCATTTTAAAGGAGCATCATCCCTAATACTGCAATAATTGATCTCTTCTAATTATCGATTAAAGCCCTTAGAAGACACACAACATATACCAAATTTCGTTGTTTTAAGTTTAAATATTGCTGACAATGGGATATTAATTTTATTTTTAAATTTGTAACTTTACTTTGAAGATCTATAACTTTTCAGGAATATAGCTTTGCATTTTATTGTAGGATTAAAGAACATATTTTGGGATCCCCTACATATCCCTGCTCTGTGTCGGTTCTTTTGCGGAACACACTGTATATAAATCACTTTTTCTAGGAGCGTTTGAAGAAGCAAAAAATCTCAACCAGTTGACAATCAATCACCAAAACATAACAACATTAAAAGGAGATCTTCTAAGAGGATTGAATGAACTAACTTTCCTAGATTTAAGTTCAAACAGGATACAAAATTTGGAAGAAAACGCATTTCAAAATTTGACAAACTTGAACAATCTCGTTCTGAGAGATAACAACATCAAAAATATTCAAGAAAATACTTTTAGGGGCCTTAAAAATCTGCGAAGCCTAGATTTGCTAAATTTGAACATTACGTTAGATCAAACGACCTTTAAACATTTAAAGCAACTGAGCTTCATTGGATTACCTACAAAAACCATCTCAGAAGATTTTACAATAAAAAATTTAACAACTGTATTCAATAATTTAGAAACGATTGCACTGTTGGCGACAGATCAAAATAAAGAAGTAGTTGAAAAATTCATTAAAACTTGCAAGAATGGCGGATTTAATATACAGTTAATTTAGCACTTTTTATCATTGAGAATTTTTGAAATCTTAATACTTATCATATAATTTAACTTAACGTAGAGATAATTGTGTAATTTGATAATATTGGCATTTCGCACAATTTTTTTTTATAAATAGCACAAACTCTATGGAAGGTTATCAAACCTGTCGTTAATGGACTAGAATATTAAAGGAAGGCAGTTAAAACAATAGTGTTTTAATGAACACCATTATGAAGCAGATAGGGAAATGATAATTGACGTATTATTTGTAGATTAAGCCATGATTAGTTCTCACCTGAAACCACAAAGCATTCACCACTTTGCTTAATAAAAACAACGGTATAACCCATACTGTTTTAAATATAAAAGACAATATAGGCTCTATCCAAGACCAAACTAGTTTTCCCATGAAGGATTCATTTCCAAATATGTAACCCAACAATTTGTTTATCGTAGGCAAAAGTCCGTACTCAAAAAGGAGGATACTTATTAAAAATATTCCCCCGTTTAACACTCCGCATTGAATTATCCTCTTCATTACTTTCGATTCCCTGCAAATAAAAAAGTGTAATACTTGTATAATTGTATTCACGTATTATTTCCTTACTCATGTTTTTTTAATTGTCTTACGGGGGTTGTTTCCTTCGAATCGAGGGGTTTTTGCCTAATCGAATTTATTCTTGTCGGTGAGTATCTTACTTTACGGTCGTTGATTTCTTTGTCTAATGATAGGACAGCGAACATGCCCCTGAAGCTGTCGTATACACCCCTGAAGACTGCATATCCGATTCTCTAAAACGCATCAAAATGGGTTATAAGAATCGGAAATATTCTTGAAATTTTTAAGTATTTTTTGGTTTAAAAAATGTGTATTTCACAAATTCGCGCAATATTTTATAAAACGTTCAAAGTTGATAGATAACTTTTAATTTTCCTAGCATACCAAAACAAAATTGTTATGAACTTATGAAATAGGACATCCAAAAATAAAATTCAATACCGTAAAACTTACACGTAATTCCATGATTAAATTCACAAAAATTTAGAGATTAGGTGACTAAGTTATAAAAAAATATCTAATTTTAAAGATTCATTGTTATTCTGCGAATTTATAAATTATAATAACAACAATGCGCAACAGCTGTTTCCTGTTTTGAATACTTCTTTTCAACTGTCAAGTGTCTATTATCGATGTAATATTTTATTGCTATTCAGCTACCAGGAAAAAAGAAGAACCTAGCTGTTATCTATAAATACGAGGCCAAAAAGAAAGAGTAGAAACAACGGGATACTGGCAACAGCGCAACGCCTTGACTTGACGTTTTCTTACCAGTGAATGCGAAATGCGAAGATCCGTGTAGGTGAACGTGAACGTATAAATATATCATTGTGTATTTTTCAACAATTTCCCCATAAAACTTGAATATAATCCTGTCCTGGATAAAAACCTCTTAAAAATGGATGTTTGAATAGGTTATAGACTGGTAAGTTGTTTTGGCGGTGTCACATCCGACTATCCAAATTATCCATTATTTGCGTAGAAAAAGTGGGCACAAATTCATTGTCAGTAGGAATGTCACTATTTATTAAAATTGTCTTTGCACTTCTTCCGTATACATTAATCGAATCAGAATCGACTCTTTTCGGAGAAATATCGCTCAATTAGATTGTTATTTGCTTATTATTGATTAAATTGATGGCAGAAAACACGAAACTTGGAAAAATATATCACATGCTTACGAAAATATTTTTTGTGAATTTCTAGAACGCTAGTGCTCCAATCCGACGTGGACTGCTATCCTGAGCTGTGAATATTCACGTTCAGAGGTAAGTTTTCTCTCTATTTACCGTATTTTCGTTAACATTTTATTCTATTCAACTAATCCTACCATACCTTACCATACTATACCACCTGCAAGGATCATGTTTACTTAGTTCATGAAAAGGTCATTTGCATTTGAGATTTGCTATGTATTTGTACATTGGTGTTCAACACAAAAACATTGTGATTCATTTTTTTTTCTTGATTTGGCATGAATATGTTATTGCTTTTTAATGTTTGAGTTGATCATATAACAAACACATTTCTCATTATTGCATAATGATTGGTTAGTTCTTTAATTAGCTTAATGCACATGCGAAAAATTACAATGTAGAAAAGTTTTTTTATCTTGGCATTAGTATAATATATTTTTATTAACACATATGTAAATTTGTTAGCGTAGAGAATACTCAATCAGTATGTATATTGTTAACACGACAAAAAAGTTCTCCAATATTTTACCTCCTTCGAACCCATATGATTTTCAGATACAAATAACTTGGTACTCGTATTATAAAGTTTTCGAGGTAATAATTTCTAGCCTACTTCAATGCTTCGAACAGTGTTTTCGATACATACAGGTAGATGCAAATAGGCCATTATAGGCAATATAGGCTATTGGTGCAATAAAGACATGTTCTGTTAGTCTCATAAGAAGGAAAAAGAGAGAGAGTGACATTGCGAGATTGCAACTTTCGCTCCCTCTTACCACTGTTATAATAATAATCTTCCTTTGTGCAACTCATATTGAAAATATTGCAAAATTTGCATTTTATAGGTTAATGTGAATTTCAGTAATTCTAATGGGTATCTTTTCGAAACTATTGTTACTCAAAGGTTCATGTTCAAAAAGTGTTTGGTATGCATTCGTAATTTTGTTATCATATAAAAACAATGTTCTAGTCCTATTTTATTACTCTAGCAGCATATGGCAAGACTACATCAAATTGTGTATGATCCAAATATGGGGAATATTTGGATCACATCCAAAGATGTATGATCTAAATAAAGGGACTGTTTCTCTTTGTTGTATATAGTTTTATTAAAATTCCAGACTATTCAGGAGTTTAGGATGCAATTCTATAAGAAATCATCACTTGTTAAGGGCCTATATTTAGCCTAAATATTTTTTCAATCCATTCAAATGATACCAATTTCCAATGAATCACAACTTTTATTAAGATTATAGACGAATTATGATTCACTTCCAATTACATATTTGAATCAAATAATTTATAGTGTTACTGTATGCAAACCTTTATGCAGTTACATATAGAAAAAATATATTTTTATATACCTGTGTTATGAAATTCCTAAAAATTATTCATTTACATTGAATTAATATTCGCACCCTGCATCTATAGTAAAATACATTTTACCTAATATTATTTTTTGAAATAATATTTGAGAATCTCTTAATACTCATTATGAATCATCACTATACAACAAGGGTAAATTGGCAAGTAAATCAGACAGTTTTTATCAAATGTTATGAATAAAATGTGTATAAATAAACAGTTTAAAGGAACTCTCGTTTTTTCAAATATCACGATCAAATTCAATGTCGCAAAGTCGAATTTGCAAATATAACAATAGTCAACAAACCTTTTGTGTAGTACGCATAAGTAACTAGGTGAATTTGGTATTTAACAAAAATTGGGTAATCAATTATCGGACGCAAATTCAACAAAAGACCCAGTTTTGGAAATTCAAAAAACCCCGATTAAATGCAATTATGATCTATTGTTAATTGATTATCGCGTCCTACTTAAAGTACTAACCTACGAAAAAATTTCATAGAGACTGACCTGAGTAGTAGGAGGTCAGGGATAGTCTGTGATGAATTAATTGCAATTTATGAATTATGAAATAATGTTAAAATTACACCTAATCATTATGAATGATTAGGTCTTTTTTGAGATGCTGTTAATAAATACATAGTACGCAGTTTGGTAGATAATTGTTTCATGTAGATCGTCAATTAATCTATAAGGAGATTCTCTAACAAAACTCAACTATAATCACCCGGTATTATTGGGGACAATATAATTGGTGCACCTTGTATGAAAATATGTGATTGTGACTTATTAAATTGCATAATAAAATACCTTGTTCCATGTACAATGTTTATTATGGTTAAAAAAATGCTGATTTGTACTTGTCGAGATATATTTATTACACTGTAAATTAAAGGAAATTTTTTTGTACTGATGTTACATTTTCTCGGATTCTTTTGGTGAATATTATTTAACAAAATGTGTTTTGTCCATAAGAAATTCTTATTCTCTGAGGTCGTATGTGAAGAATTGAATGTAGTAAGTTAAAAGTATATATTTTTAACGATGAATAATTCAATTTTGAAGACGACATTAATGTTTTTCATTCATAAGTATTATCGCCCAAATATTTCAATCGAATAAATTATTCCATATCAAGTAAGCATGAATATGTTTCTTGTTCTAGATGGCTGATCCAGATCCGGAGACGTTGTTGGAATGGTTAAACAGCGGCCTGGGCGATGAGCGGGATATGCAGCTCATCGCCCTCGAGCAACTCTGTATGTTACTGTTGATGTCAGACAATGTCGACAGATGCTTCGAGAGTTGCCCGCCGAGGACTTTTCTGCCCGCCCTTTGTCGTATCTTTCTGGACGAACAGGTATAATCATCTTATAAGACCAAATCATTCCAAACTTCCAATAACTGTGTATGGATAGACCCATAAAGGACGTATCCTATCCGAATCCAGGTGATTCTGAAACACCCTGTATTCACCTAGCCATTTGTAAACCAATGGCGAATAATTCTTAAATTCACCATTTAAAATCTCATCGAAAACGTTGCTTGAGCGTATACTTTGAAACTTGTTTTCCATTGAAACCATTTTTTCGATAATAGAATAATTTTGATGATATAATTTTTGCATAATAGGCGCCCGAGAACGTATTGGAAGTGACCGCAAGAGCTATCACCTACTATTTGGACGTTTCGGCGGAATGTACAAGAAGAATTGTTGCCATCGAAGGGGCCGTTAAAGCCATTTGTAACCGACTCGTCGTTGCGGAACTATCGTCGAGGACCAGCAAGGATTTGGCCGAGCAATGCGTTAAGGTAACCTATTTGTCACAAAGTACTTACTTGGTAAAGGACCAAATGAACCATTCTGTATTAACGCCATAAATATTTTGTTTATCATTGGCTCAACCCGTTTTCGAGCTAAAATTTATCATTGATTGGATTTTTTTCGTACATATATTCCATCGTTCGTGCAAATAAAATTATTTAAATTTTTTTTACACGGCGACAGAATAATTATATTGATAGATTAACCTACTATTATTGAAAATATTTGAAAATGAGTTAACGCTGATCGCTATTTGGACTATTTGAACGATTCCGAATTATTTTCCACATATTTATGCTATTCAACACATAAAATTCTATCTACACACGTTACGTTACTCCGTATTAATTCCCAAGATATGAATGATGATTCAGTAAATCATTGTGTTTTTTTTAACATTTCACAAAGTAATACAGTAAGATTTCAAATTGTTTCACGCGATTATTGCTGATATATACAGGCAATTATATCGTGAGGCGTTCTCAATTTTTATAATGGGTACTTATAGTACTAATTTATGTATCGAGGACAATGATTTTTTGATAATAATTATTAATTGGATAATTATTCGCTTATTCGTATGAAAAACCAAAATTAATTACCTCATAAATAATGTTTTAGTTATTCGTTTAAGCAAAAATTTGTAGCAATAAATTAAGGTTTTATAAAGGGCAAAATTCAGAGGGTTATTTTAGCATCCTCAAGAAAGGACAAGGAAGCTCTAAGAGCGCATATTTACTGCAAATTGCATATTACTGCATACCCTAGTATTCATTAACAACCTGCATAAAAATTAAACGTAAAAATAGTCGAACATAGTGCAGCGTAAACCCACCTAACGATTTTCATTACTTATCGCCCGTATATTAACGCTTTAATAGCTTCAAGCTATTAAACTATTAAAGCTTAACTAGCTCTAAGGCTTTAACAGCCATCATTGCGCAACCTAAATCGATCTCGTTGTGTACCAGGTGCTTGAATTGATATGTACGAGAGAAGCCGGAGCCGTATTCGACGCGAGCGGTTTGAGTTGCATATTGCCCTTCATCCGCGACAACGGCCAGCGGGTCCACAAAGACACGCTGCATTCGGCGATGGCCGTCGTCTCCAGGCTGTGCACGAAGATGGAACCGGCCGACGCCCAATTGCCCACGTGCGTGTCCGCCCTCAGCACGCTGTTGCACCACGAGGACGCGCACGTCGCCGACGGGGCGCTGCGCTGCTTCGCCTCCGTCGCCGATCGGTTCACCAGGCGAGGGGTCGATCCGGCGCCGTTGGCGCAACACGGTAATTTTGCGGTTTTTTTACGTTCTTTTTTTTGAAGCCTTATGCGCTATTTTGCTGTAGGTTTGGTCAACGAGTTACTGAGTAGACTTTCGAACGCTGCTGGACCAGCTACAGCAAGCGGCAGTCAAACTACACCAGGCAAAACACCGTCAACGAGTAACCCGACAACGGCTACGCCCGATTCTAAAGCCAACGCCGCGTCAATTTCGACTATAATAAGTCTATTGTCGACGTTGTGTAGGGGTTCTCCTTCAATTACGCACGTAAGTGTCTCAAAAATTAATCATCTACCGATGCAATAATTTTTAATAATCGCGCATATACCACAGGACTTGCTGCGCTCCGAATTGCTCGACGCCATCGAAAAATCCCTCAAGGGAGACGAACGCTGCGTTTTGGACTCGATGCGACTGGTAGATCTGCTGTTGGTGCTCCTGTTCGAAGGCCGAAGGGCCTTGGGCAAATCCGCATCGTCGTCTTCGGGTCAACTGATGCCGCGCATGCGTCGCATGGACTCGGCCGCCGAGAAGTCCCACCGCCAACTGATCGACTGCATTCGCTCGAAGGACACCGACGCGCTCATCGAGGCCATCGAGAACGGCGGCGTCGAGGTGAATTTCATGGACGACGTCGGCCAAACGTTGCTCAATTGGGCGTCCGCTTTCGGCACGCACGAAATGGTGGAGTACCTGTGCGAAAAGGGCGCCGACGTGAACAAGGGCCAGCGCAGCTCGTCGTTGCACTACGCCGCCTGCTTCGGGCGGCCGGCCATCGCCAAGGTGTTGCTGCGCCACGGCGCCAATCCCGATTTGCGCGACGAGGACGGCAAGACGCCGTTGGACAAGGCGAGAGAGCGCGCCGACGAGGGACACCGCGAGGTGGCGGCCATCTTGCAGAGTCCCGGCGAGTGGATGATACCCGTCGATAAGGAGAGGAACAGGAAATCGGAGTCGGAGGTCGAGGATAACATCGAGCCCAGAGGCGATCCGGAGATGGCGCCGATTTACCTGCAACGTTTGCTGCCGGTGTTTTGTACGACGCTACAATCGACGATGTTGCCGAGCGTGAGGAAGGCCAGTTTGGGTTTGATTCGAAAAATGGTGCATTACATTCAGCCGAACCTGTTGGAAGAGCTGTGTTTGATCGAGGCTAATCCGAACTTCGGAACGCAGATTGTCGAAGTCATTGCTACAGTTTTAGATAATGAAGTAAGCAAAAGCATTGTTATTTATTAATCTATATTTATAAAATTGATGCATTTACTTTGAAGTAAAAGGTAAGAGGAAAAGGTTTTAAAACCTTTTGCTTTTAAGCAACAGCAGCGTCCTCGAAGCAAAACCTCTCTTCCTTCGCAGAAGGTTATGCTTCTTTTTATAAATACAGCCTCTTACCATTATTTGGAAATTGTTTTATATTTAGTAGTAGATCATAGGTTTTATTTGTTGCTTTCTCAAGTGGAATGTTATTATTTTACAGGACGACGAAGATGGACACTCTGTGGTATTGCTGATCATACAAGATTTAATGGCGAAGTCGCAAGAGGTGTTTTTGGATCATTTTGCTAGATTGGGCATTTTTACGAAGGTGCAAACGCTTGCCGGTCCGCCTGAAGCGCAAGAAAACGAAGAAGCCGACTCCAACACTGAAGGTGCTTAAATAATACAGTTTTCATTCGTATTGTCTACAGTTTAAGTTTTTTTGCCTCATCTTAAAATAACGAAAATAATTATTTGATAATTTCTTTAGAAACATCCGAGGTGGTTCAAATCGAAGACGCGAAGGAAATACTGCCGGGTAAAGCATACCACTGGCGCGATTGGTCAATCTGCAGAGGCAGAGATTGCCTGTACATTTGGTCGGACGCCGCGGCTTTGGAGCTTTCCAACGGCTCGAACGGTTGGTTTAGATTCATATTGGACGGAAAATTGGCGACGATGTACTCGAGCGGCTCGCCCGAAGGAGGAGCCGATACGTCCGGTAAGAATATGGAAATTTGTACGATTGAAAGCGCATTTTGCGAATATCAGTTCACTTTTTTTTTTCATTTCGTTTAATGTTACCTACGAAAAGTTATTAGCTTTGACTTTTTTTTTTTGCATTAACTGGTTGCCTTCTTTGCTTTTTCCCGTTATTAGCGAAGTTTGCTGATGTGAAGGTAATGGTAAAACGTAATGCTGAAATTAATGATGTTTTAACATGTCGCATACGTTTCGTTTTCGTTTTTAAATTTGTTTTTATTTCATTTTTATGGATTTAAAAAACTTGTTGTAGAGTCGAATCTCATTAACAGTGAAAGTGACGCACTGTTAAAGAAAAAATCAACTACCTCTACAAACAAATTCAGATATATTAACACATTTATACTGTAAAGAGGAAATAGAAACAATAATGACCCGTATTCAGCGCCTCACTTTAACGTGACTAAAGTCGCCTCTCTAGTCCCTAGTTACTCCATCGCAACTAACAACAATGTACAACTGTCAAGTTAGAGACTTTATAGTCACTTTAGAGTCAATGTTAAAGCTAAAGTGAGGCGCTGAATACGGGCCAATGTTTTTTTGTTTAATTGGGATTTATATTGAATATTGGTATGATTGTTTAGCATATGTTTTTACTATAATTTTGCACTGCTATTATATAATTTTTGCCAGAAGAGTCAAATTCAAAGTTCTGTTTAATTTAACTTTTATTGTATGACATACAATCATTTTTGTTTATAAAATCACTTGTAAGAATCTTGAATTTGGGCAATGTTGCTTATTCTATAAAAGTATGTCGTTTTAGTCAGCAATTTGCACTGTACTGTCACTGTCTCTTCTCTTGAACGTTTTTTTTTTATTTCTGTTATGTGGTAACAGTGATGTTGATTTATTTGTCCGACTTTAGGAAAGGGTCGAGCTGCTGATTCCCTTACAACCGAAGGTAAGAATGCTTCCTTTATTATTTGTTATTTCGTTGTGAGTTGCCTCGCTTACTGTTTTTAGCTTTGCTTAAATTTAGTCTAGTTTTTTTGCCGGCTTCTTGGGCTTGCTATGAACAATTTACGCTGGCTTTGATCTGCTTTTTTTATTGGAAACGGATTTGTTGGCATGTTTCTGTAAATACGAAATAAAATATTTGAAATTATTACTATTTTTAAAAATATATATTTGCGTAATTTTGCTAATTATAAAAAATATTTTATGCTTTCTAAAATTAACAAGTGTTTAATATACCCGTTGATACTGACTAAAATTTATTATCGCTGAAAAAATTTTCTAAATTATTTTTTTAAATTCGTATATGAAATATCTATATGCATATTTAATCTATTGTAACTCTGGAACTAGAGCTCTTAAAATATCGCATTTATTACAATAAAGTATGATGAGGATGAGAATAGTTAATTTAGTAGATGTTCCGTGTTTGAATACACTTGACACAAAATCAAACGTACAAGAAAGTAAAATAAGAAATCATTTTCAAAATTTTTCAAATTATTCTTTTCCCTGCAATTTAAAAAGATAAAAGTAGGGTTTTGAAAATAGTCATTAAAGTGCTCCAAAAGTATCCTGGTGCACTGGAAATACCTTATTTTATCTCACCTGCCCTTTGACAATGGGCAAATTATTCAAAAATATCTGAAAAACTGAAACCACTGGCACCGCTGTTGCTGGTCAAATTTGCAAAATTGTTCTGTGATTTGGCATTTATGTCAGTCGACACTATAATATTACAGTAATTTATTATTTTCATTTGCTAAAATTCTTTAATTACTTTTTTTGTTTATTTAATACTACAATTAAGTTTTGCCATTTAAAAAACATTGTAAATAAATGGCAGTTTTGCGAATGGCAAATTTCAATTTTTTCTTTAATATTCCAATGAAGTAGGAGGGGTTAAAATAGGAGATAGCATTGCTTGGAGTTAGTAAGAATTAGTTAGTAAGAAAGATTCAAATCAATAGATGTTTTCCCAATAAAAAATACCCTGAAGTGGTGCCCTTTATAAAAACATTCCTTTTTTAATTCAATTCATATATTGATGTACTTTTTCATCCCGTTTCAATATGCTCTTTTAAACGTAATGTCAGTAATTTCATAGTACTCGGTATCAGTAATTCACTAATGTATTCCAGAGTTACAATTCTACAATATTTGACAATTTTTGTATTCACAAAACAAACTACAATGCCAATGGAATTTTTTTGTTTGCTTCTAGAAAACCGCGGAGAATTTTTGGAGAAGTTGCAAAGGGCCAGATCGGCCGTGCGGTGCGTCAACAATTCCACGCCCGTTCTTTCGAAGCCCGGCCCCTCCAGATTGGTGGTAGGAAACTGGTCGTTGACGTCCAGGAAAGACGCCGAAATCCACATACACAACTCCGACGGTCAACAACAAACGACCATCCTCAGGGAGGATTTACCCGGTTTCATTTTCGAATCGAACCGCGGAACCAAGCATTCTTTTATCGCAGAAACCTATTTAGGTAAGTGGCATTGACGAGGTTCGGTCGTCACAATACTCATTGAAACAACTAGTGTTATTATACTATATGTTAATGTAATATTTCAGGTCCGGAATTCTCCGCTGGATGGATAAACAAAAAAGGAAAGCGCATGCGATCGAAGTTGGAGGCTACCAAGATGAAAGTGAAATATCTAGCTCATCAAATCTACGAACAATACTTCAGAGTGGCCCAAGCTCAACCGAGAGGCATCGTCGCCAAATTGGGCAACATCGTCGCCCAAATCGAACGCGCTTGCCAAAAGCAATGCTCCTACGGCAACAACCGCGAGGGCGGCAATTCCTGGAAGGAAATCCTCCACAACGCGCTCGACGAATTGACGCAAGTCCTGAAGGAAGACGGCGTCGTCTCGGCCTACGAACTCCACAGTTCCGGCTTGGTGCAAGCATTGCTCTCGCTGTTATCTACCAGCTACTGGGAACAAGGCTTAAAGTCCAGCAAAATGAACAAATATCAGAAACAAAGAGTCCAGGTGTTTAAGCAATGTTTCAGAAACAAAGCCAACGAAGACAAGTCCCCCTGTTTGATATTAGTTCACAAATTGATAGCCGTTCTCGAGAGCATCGAAAAACTGCCCGTACATTTGTACGATACCCCGGGCACCGGATACGGCCTCCAAATCCTCACCAGACGATTGAGATTCAGATTGGAAAAAGCCGCCGGCGAAAGCACTTTGATCGACAGGTCCGGCAGAAGCCTAAAAATGGAACCGCTCGCGACCGTCGCCCAATTGGAGAGGTACCTGCTAAAAATGGTCGCCAAGCAATGGTACGATTACGACCGAACCACCTTCCAATTCCTGAAGAAACTGCGCGACTCGAAATTCCAATCGTTCAAGCACACCCACGACTTTGACGAGAACGGTTTGATCTATTTCATCGGCACCAACGGCAAGACCAGTTCGGAATGGGTGAATCCCGGCCAGTACGGCTTAGTAACGGTCACCAGTTCGGATTCCCGTAATTTACCGTACGGTCGCGTCGAGGACATCCTCTCCAGAGATTCGTCGGCGCTGAATTGCCACACCAACGACGACAAACGCGCCTGGTTCAGCATCGACTTGGGCGTGTACGTCGTACCTAACGCCTACACCTTGCGGCACGCCCGAGGCTACGGCCGATCGGCCCTGAGAAACTGGCATTTCCAGATGTCGCGCGACGGCGCCAATTGGACCACGTTGTACACCCACACGCACGACATGTCGCTGAACGATCCCGGCAGCACGGGCACCTGGCCCGTCGACGTGTCGCCCGAGGAGACGCAGGGCTGGCGGCACGTTCGCATCCAGCAGGCGGGCAAGAACGCCTCGGGCCAGACGCACTACTTGAGTTTGTCCGGCTTCGAGATCTACGGCACGGTGACGGGCGTGTGCGAGGACATGGGCAAGGCGCACAAGGAGCAGGAGGCCCACATGCGGAAGCAGAGGCGATTGCTGAAGTCGCAGTTGTTGAAGCACATGACCGTCGGCGCCAGGGTCGTTAGAGGAGTCGATTGGAAGTGGAGGGACCAGGATGGAAATCCGCCTGGCGAAGGTAAATTCACGAATTCGTTTCGCTAAATATAACTTTACAACTCGTTTATCTCCTCTCATCTCACATTTACTATGTACGTATGCAGAGTTGAAAGAGCGAGTCGAGATTGGGTTGAGTTTTCGACTCGTGTTTTTCTGTACACAGGGTTAAATGATTGAGTCGAGATCGAGTTCAAGTATAGTTGAAGTGACGGCTGATGACAATTAATCATAACCTGATAGTTTTGTGGTTTTGTTGGATCGGATAATTCATTAATTTTCATTTTGTGCGAAAAATTACGCAAATAAATCTTAAATTGTCAACTCAACTACTCGACCCGCGTTTATAAGACATCATTATTAGACATATTTCGACTCGACCCAACCTGAAAACTCATGACTACATGAAACTCAACTCGGGTTGAACCTAGGTACGACTCTGCATGTAAACATACTAATTGTTACCTTATATTCGAAGTAAAATTTATTGGATTTTAATTTTTTAAGGTACCGTCACTGGGGAGCTTCACAGCGGTTGGATCGACGTTACGTGGGATCACGGCGGTTCGAATTCCTACAGAATGGGCGCCGAGGGCAAGTACGATTTGAAATTGGCCCTGGGCTACGACGTAGAGTCGGCCGCCGCCGCTTCGTCCTCGAAGCAATCGTCCAGTAACAAGCAAAAGAACGATAAGGACAAGCAGAGCGTGTTAACCAGCAGAAAGAGCAGTTCCACGCCCAGTCTACCGGAGGCCACGGAAGTCAAAACGTCCGTAGCGTCGACGGAACAGGCCGCCTCGGCGGACAATCTAGCCGCGAAACAAGCCGCAGAAACGATAGCCGAAAGCGTGCTATCGGTAGCCCGAAACGAAGCCCTGGTGGCGGTAACCAGCGAGTCGCAGGCCGCTTCGAACGAAAGCGAACTATCGGTGGTCGTGCATCCGTTGCGCGATCCCCACAACGATCTCTCTAGCATTAACAATTCGTCGGATTTGGCGACGATCGTCGAAAGTTTGGCGCTGTGCGACACCGGCCCCTCGACCGCCGGCGAATCTCAAAAGCCGTCGACGAACTCGAAGTCCAACCGCAATTCGAAGATCAGCAATTCGCAGGCGGCCGCCGCCGCCCAGAGTTTCGTCGAAGCCGTCGAGGCTTTGGACAAGTTCCGCGAGGGATCCGACATGCTCAGGAACAACACCAACAATTTCCTGTCGGCCGAGTTGCTGCAGTCGGCGCTCAATTTGGGCCAGGGCAGTCAAATCAACGCGCTGTCGAGCGTAAGGATTTCGGTGTCTGGGAATTCCGAAACCGACGAGGAGAAGCCGTCGTTGCGACGGAAAACGGACGCCGCGAAAAACGGCAATTCTAGTAGTGATAAAGACGAGGCTGTGACGAATAGTAATAACGCTAAAAACAGTAGTAATAATACGATTGTCGTTACGAACCCGATGAGCGTGAGTGTGCCCAATTTGACTACGGAATCGAATAGCCAGATCGAACCCACGACAACAGCAGGTATTTTTCTAATTTTATTATTTTCTAACCACGGCCGCATATTTCTAAGGTCTGGAAACATATATAGATAAAGTGTCCCGTTATTTGATGATGAAGCAGGGTTCCTAAAACGGCCGCTAGGAGGCGATGTTGTAAAGGACGCGGTTTTTTGCAAAAATATACTTAAATCAGCGATGATTTTGTTGTTAACATCATGCCTCATGTATCTTCGGTTAATGTATTTCTCCATTTTCTTCTCGAAATGTAAAAAAATAATTTTTGAAGTTTTGACAGCTTGAACTGTCGTTTTACACAACCGCGATTTATATGTAGTGCGACACTGATTGGCTGAGATAAGTTTGTCAAATAACAGGACATAAGTATAGGCTGTTTCCAGACCTTAGAAATATACGGCCGTGTTTCTAACTAACTAATCCACAATTTTTGTTGTACGAAATTTATTTAGACGAACCATTGCCAATAGAACAATTAAACTAACAAACGCCCGACACTAATTTAAAAATTAGTCTTGAACTTTTCAGGTCTCTTGGAGACGTTCGCCGCCCTGGCCCGCCGTCGTACATTGGCTTCGGTGACGGCCTCGATCGCTTCCAACACGAACACCAACAATACTCAAAGCACGAACGCGCAGAACAACCAGAACAGCGGCTCGTTGTTCCCGCGTGCGCCCAACTCCGTCTCGAGTCTAGTCCGATTGGCGTTGTCCAGCAATTTCCCCAGCGGTTTGCTGAGCACCGCCCAGAGCTATCCCAGCTTGTCGTCCAGCAACAATCCCGGCAATCAGGCGGGCGGCATTTCGACCACGGCCGGAGCCGTCCAGGGTTTGAGCCAGGCCTTGACGATGAGCCTGACGTCCACCAGCAGCGATAGCGAACAGGTTAATATTCATAAACGTTTTTAGTGCTGTCTAAATAGTTAACAATATCGCCTTGTTTAAAAACGACAAGAAATGATACCCTTGTTTCTTATCCTACACCATCGTTCAATAAATTATTTATAATACTTTTGGAACTATTCGTTTTTTAGGTGTCTTTGGAAGACTTTTTGGAATCGTGCAGGGCTCCGACGTTGTTGGCAGAATTAGACGACGATGAAGAAATGGGCGAAGACGATGATAACGACGAGGACGAGAACGAAGACGACGCCGAATACGAGGAGGTTATGGTATCGAGAAATCTTCTATCGTTTATGGAGGAAGAAGCTTTCGAGGCTAGACCGACGAAGAGACGTTCCTGGGACGACGAATTCGTGTTGAAGAGGCAATTCAGCGCTTTGATACCGGCTTTCGATCCTAGACCGGGCAGGACTAATGTCAATCAAACGACAGGTAAAGCATATACACCACTAAATTTTAAACATACACAAGAGATAATAATTATTTTTGTTTCGTATAGATCTCGAGGTACCGCCGCCCGGACAATTCGAGACCTCGTCGGTGTCCGAGCACGAGCTTCTGCCCCAACCGAAGCTGCAATTGATGTTGAAGGGTCCTAATATGCCCGGCATTGCGGACGTCGAAATCGAATTGACGGATCGTTCTTGGACTATCTTCAGGGCTGTTCAAGAACTGATGCAAATGACAGATTTCAATTCGAAACAAGAGAAAGTTAGACGAATTTGGGAGCCTACCTATTTGTAAGTAACATTAAATAACTCTGAAAGAAATTCAGTAAAATCTATAACACTTCAAAAAGGTTTATTTTCGACTAAATGAGGCATTTCACAGTGACTTGGAAACGTGAAAAACCACTCATTTTAAAGATTGGAAATGTTGTTCTAATCACAGATTTTTGTCCATTTTTTAGGATCGTGTACAGGGAATTGAAAGACGACAACAGCTACGAGACGGAAGACGGGCGGGAGACGCCGGTCGCGACGCAGTACTCGCGGAGCGGCAGCAGTTCCGTGGCCGGTACTACGCTGTCGCCGAGCACGCCCATACCCGGTACGCCTTCAGTATCGAATTGCACCGTCGAGGACGTCCTGCAACTGTTGCGACACCTATTCGTCATTACGACGCTGAAAGAGAACGATTTGAAAATCTTCGAGACGTCCGACATACAACCCGACGAGTATTCCAGCAAGAAAATCACCAACAAATTGCTGCAACAAATTCAGGATCCCTTGGTGCTGTCGAGTTCGAGCCTACCGGCTTGGTTAGTATACATTACTGTCGTTAAAATAGATTTTTAGTGGATTAATCGAACGGTTTTTAGGTGTGAGGAATTAAATCATTCCTGTCCGTTCCTGTTCCCGTTCGAGACGCGCCAGTTGTACTTCAACTGCACCGCATTCGGCGCTTCCCGCAGCATCGTGTGGCTTCAAACCCAACGGGACGTTACGATGGAAAGGCAAAGGACGCCCGGTTTGTCGCCCCGAAGGGACGATCCGCACGAATTTAGGGTCGGCAGGTTGAAACACGAACGGGTGAAAGTTCCTCGAGGCGAGCACCTGCTCGATTGGGCCATGCAGGTTATGAAGATACACGCCAGCAGAAAGAGCATACTAGAGGTGGAGTTTGCCGAGGAGGAGGGCACTGGTAATGACTGATATCGATTTTTACGAGATGTGTTTAACTTATCGTTAAAAATATTTTGAAGGTTTGGGTCCGACACTCGAATTTTACGCTTTGGTGGCTGCGGAAATTCAAAGACGCGATTTGGCGATGTGGATTTGCGACGACGAGGCAATCAGTTTAAACGAACCTATCGATTTGGGCGAAGGGATGAAGCCTCCCGGGTACTACGTTCGAAGGGCTTCGGGTCTATTCCCTGCACCCCTGCCGCAGAACACTGCTGTATGCGACAAGGCCGTCAAGTACTTCTATTTCCTCGGAATATTTCTGGCCAAAGTGAGTTATTAATTAGATCACATTACTCCAAATTTTCTTAGAACATTGAGCTTCGATCATTTGTATTTCTTTCGTGAGAACTCAGTCTATACATACAGTAAACAATGATTTGTATTTGTAGGTTTTGCAAGACAACAGGCTGGTCGATCTGCCTTTGAGCGCGAGCTTTTTGAAATTGATTTGCCACGGCGAAATCCAGAACACCGTCAACGAAAGGATCGGTTTCGCGGGTATCAAAAAGACCATCGAAGAGGACATCATGACGTCGAGTTTCATATCGGAGGAAAGCGAGAAGGAATTGGAACTCGATCCGCCTAAGCTAGTGATGGAGGAGAAACGGCCTTGGTATAGCAACATTTTAGGAGAAGAAGACTTGTACAACATGGACCCAATTAGAGCTAGTTTCCTGAAGCAAATTAAGGAATTGATTAAACAGAAGCAGAAAATTTTGCAGGATCACACGCTTACGCCTGAACAAAGGAACCATCAAGTATGTACAATATCTTGTTTGTCTTAGTCACGATATAATTACAAATATTCTTTCGTTATAGATACAGAATCTCTGTTTGAATCATTCATCGGGTCCCGTACTTTTAGAAGATTTAGCTTTAACGTTCACATACTTACCTAGTTCGAGCATTTACGGATTCTCGGCCGTAGATTTAGTTCCTAATGGTGCTGACATAGAAGTTAATATAGAAAATGTGGAGGAATACGCCGAATTGACCATATCGTTTTGCTTGGACAAGGGCGTCGCCAGGCAATTGGAAGCATTCCACAAAGGTTTTTCGCTAGTGTTTCCTATGGAAAAAATGACCGCTTTCAGTCCGGAGGAAGTGCGCGTCATGCTGTGCGGTGATCAAAATCCCGAATGGACTATGGAGGATCTTCTCAACTACACGGAACCCAAGCTCGGCTACACCAAGGATAGGTAAGTCAATTTCAAATGAATAGTTAATAACTAGGACCTCGAAAATATGCAAAATATGCTCATTCTGAGGTCTCTTAAATACTCGTTTTTAGACAGTTCCATATGGTTCTAGACTCTAGACAGTTCTAAATGATTCTGGAGCGTTCTAAACGGTTTTAGACAGTTTTAAATGATTCTGGAGCGTTCTAAACGGTTATAGACAGTTCTTAATGATTCTTGACAGTTTTAAAGAGTTCTAGACAGTTCTAAACGATTCTGGAGCGTTCTACATGGTTCTAGATAGTTCTAAATGATTCTAGACAGTTCTAAATGGAACTAGACAGCTCTAACGGTTCTTGACGATCCTGGAGCGTTCTACTTGGTTATTTAGACAGTTTTTAATGATTCTGAAGCTATCTAAATAGTTTTAAATGGTTCTAGAGAGTTTTAAATGATTGTAGGTAGTTCTAAATGATTCTAGATCATTCTAAATTGTTCTAGACAGTTTCTAAATGATTCTATCCCATTTTTGTAATGTTCGTCTTGTCTTATATTTTTCTTTGAATTGAATTTCTAAAAAAAATATTTTATATCTATCTTGTTGAAAACTAAACAAAGCTAAATAGTTTTAAATGATTCTAGAGAGTTCTAAACGATTCTAGATAGTTCTAAATGATCCTGGATCGTTCTAAATGATTCTATCCCATTTTTGTAATGTTCGTCTTGTCTTATATTTTTCTTTGAACAAAATTTTCAAAAAAATTATTTTATATCTATCTGGTTGTTTCTGATTTTTTTCTCGTTAAAAAACGAGCATAAACGCATATGTAAGTGCATATTTGCATGCATATTTTCCAAGCTGTAGTTGTAAAACCCTGATAGAGGCTACTAATCATATTATACTACTACTATAATACTGTACTACTGCTATATTTTACTGCTTTTACTATACTACTACTGTAGTACTGTATTACTACACGATTTCATAAAGGAACATACAGGAGACTTTACCTTGTCCAATGAGACTTTAATGTGTCCAATTACAAAACCTACTCAATACTACAAACTAATATTTTTGTTTTGTTATTTTTTTCAAGTCCCGGTTTCCTAAGATTCGTGAACGTGCTGGTAAACATGTCCTCGGAGGAGAGGAAGGCTTTCTTGCAGTTCACCACCGGTTGCAGCTCTCTACCGCCGGGCGGTCTGGCCAACCTTTATCCGAGGCTGACCATCGTGCGCAAGGTGGACGCCGGAGAGGGCTCGTACCCTTCGGTCAACACGTGCGTGCACTATCTGAAGTTACCGGATTATTCGACGGAGGATATCCTCCGGCAGCGGTTGCTAGCAGCTACTAAAGAGAAGGGTTTCCATTTGAATTGAAGCCGCTCAGTAAAAGCGTACCTTAGTCACACGTTGATTTGTCTGAATATAGATATGACGCACTCGAAGCCGCCGCGCTTCACGCTTTTACTTGTTCAAAATAAAAATAATATAATAACATTGATTTTCGTGCTTGTATTTATGTAAGACGGTCAGCGGTTTAAATTAACGTTGTATTATTTCTTTAAGCTACTATGTGTAATTTTAGAAACAAAAAAAAACTTATTGAAAGTACTGAGAATTTTTGTATTTACAATCAGGAATTAGTAGGGAATTTTCGAGTACGCATGGTGTACTTTGTGAAAGTATATATTTCAAAATTATGCATATAATAAAAGGAGCATCTCTTGTTGAAAACATCGAGTTTGCTAAATGATTTTAGGAAGTGATATAGAAAATATTTATACATATTATATATAAATATAAAAAGCGTAATCGAATTTAAAATGATTATTTTAGAGGAAAATTGAGGGGAAGATTTTGGAAAAAAATGTCGGGAAATTCAGCCAAATAGCTCTGAACGTTGTTAGAAATCCTCCCACTTTGTTTTCCTCTTTTGGAACTTCGGTTTTTGTATATTTTTTACTATTTCTATGCGTTGAAAAATTATCAAAAAATGTATTTAAATTCAATATTATAATGTATCCTAGTTGTTATCTCGACTCATAAATAGAAATTTTTCAGTACTTCAGGAATAATTATCTTAATGTAAGCAAATTGAAAAGAAAAACCATATGCCCGTCGACAATTTTGATTATACAATAACACAAGCAAATGTCAAAATTGTCTAATAAATAAAATATAGTATATATACCTAATAAATATGTTGAAATGCGGCTTTTGTGGTATCGAATGCTTCACTATTTTCAGCAGAGAACTCTACATTTAAAAGATAACATTATTAAAGCCATATTTCAACTACGTTGCTAATGCAACAAATTACACTAATAGCTAATCCCTAACAAATTTGACATTTGTAACAGATAAATGTATATAGAAGAAAACGTTAGATCTACTCAATTTTGTATTTTTTCCAAGTTTCCTCTAAATTCTTGTTTTTAATATAGCGGTTAAAAAATTTGACAAATACATTTTTTGTAATGAATTACGCGATGTTGTTAATTGAATTCGGTAGTGTCCAGTAATTCATAATGGACAATTATCTAAATCAACGCTTAAATCAAATTGATACGTTAGTGTGAGTAGCAGTTTTATTTTTGGTTTATTTTAGATGGAGTTACAAATTTGATTTATCTTTGAGTTAAGTGGCGGAGAGTTCTTGTTATACTGGGCAATTTTAAACAGTTTATATAAATGCGCACTCTATTTGGGTACTTTTGGTTTACATTCTTACTTTTGCTTGGAACTACTTTCTGCTACGCTACATTTAAATATTGTAGAGAGATATGTCTGTATGTAATAGATGTTAAATACATTATATCAATAAAATCTCTTTAAATTAATGGTCGTTTGGGATAACTGAGGGGATCAATTACGAACTCACATGTAAGGCTACGATAATACACGTCCTAAGGTTACCATAAGTTAATCGAAATTTAACTTTAATTCATGTTATACAGATAAGTTCAAATTAGTTTTGCAATATGGTAAATTTTATGAGTTGAACAAAGAAAGATTATTATATTAACTGGTTAGAGTAAGAAAGTTGCAATCCCACAATATCGCTCTTTTTCTTGTATATGGGACTAAGGCAAGTTGTCTTTGTTGCAGTTTAACGCACCAAACTATACTAAAGAACATTGATCAATTTCAGAATACGGTAATTCAAAATTTTTAATTTTGTCTAATCTAATCTAATCATTAATTTAAAATCTTATCTCTCCAGTAAAATTTAATAAATGACATAATCAAGTAATCGCACCAATCTACACATATATTTTGTGTCACCTGTCAACGATATGTCAATTTATTAAGTATACAAAAATGAAGTCGATAATTTTGTGTCATTTTTTTTAAATCATTTTAGTTTTTTTCTGCAACTAAACGATTGAATGAGCGATTGGAAAAAGGATAAAATTCCAAAAATATGGCGAATTAAAGCGAGATAGTCATTTTGTGCTCGCTAAGCGCAAAAAAATTAATGGGCCTCCTTACATCATAATTTTATTGGTGAGTGGAAAAAGAATAACACTCTTGGAATTTTAACCAGGTCGTTAACTGCGCTGACCATGAATGGCATATTTGAGGTAATTTGACAACTTCCATTAGACACTTATAAAGGAAAAGGAAAGAGTGACATTTGCGTCATTGCAACTTTTCACTCTGACAACTGTTATTTTAATAATCTTTCTAATTCTTTCACTCATAGAAATGACCATGTTGCAATCGGAAATGGAGCAAGGTGTATATGATCTAAGATTACACCCCATTGTTTTCCTGGAATCCTAGATTTTACGAGAGCGCCCGGCAACGCCGCGCGACGTAATATAATCCATTCCCCTACTATGCCGCCTATAGATCTAAGTACGTCGACGCTCGCGTAAGTACATAAATAAGTCAATAAATTTGGGGGCGCCGGCCAGCATCGACTCGAAACTCGAACACGTGTCGTCGAGCCGAAAACAGCGCGGGTGATGCACGTGAATCTCTCCCGCACCGCAGTCGCGTTTTAGGTTAGGAAATGGCGGATACGGTGGAGACCGACGGCGCCTCGCTCAAAGCGACGCACAACGGCATCGCGAACGGCGAGCGCCGCGACGCGTGCGGCCCGCCCGCCGACGGGGGTTCCCGGGCCTGGGTCGTCATGCTGGCGTCGTTCTTCTGCAACGGGATCTTGTTCGGGGTGATTAACTCCTACGGGGTGCTGTACAAGGAGCTGCACGACAGCCTGATGGCCAGGAACGTGACCAATGCCGCCGGACAAGCAGGTAAATTCGCGTAATTTTTGTGTTTACCAACTGGTTTTTTTTTTGGTCGTGTTATGATGATGTCGAAATTGTAAATTCTTTGTTTCCTGTTTTGTATTTGTTTATTTTTAATCTTTACGAATTCTATTGCGGTTTGAAGGAAGATAAAAATATTTTTTCTTTCGCATCGTAAAAACTTTTTATAAATTTTTTGTATCTTTAATAGAAAAGCGGCTTTTTAATAAATAATTAACAATATGAAGTAAACCCTTTAATTTTCTATCTACATAATAAACACTCTGTGTACATATTGTTAAAACACATCATGCTAATATTTAAGGGGGTGATTCTTTCTCCATTTAAAAAAAACAATTTTTATTGTCATTTTTATACTTTAAAATATTTTTATTAAATTTGGTGTACTGTGTTTATGCATTGAAGAGCATATTTTAGCCAAAAAAATAGCTTTTTTTATTTTCCGTACTGGATTCAGATGGGGTATTTTTGAAGGAAAAGGTGGTACGCCTCTGCTTTCACACATTATTTTTGGAGTCGATTTATAACAATTATAGAACAAATTTGATTTCTTGACTTCTCCGTACGACACCGTTTCGCATAAAAAAGTAAATGCATTATTCAATTAATACGCTTTAAATAATTTTTAGGTTTAGGACATAGGTTCATAGGAAGTTTTTTTCTTAAAATGGGTCCAAGAATCGCCCCTTTAAATATTAGCATGTTATTAAGGAACACCCTGTATATGAATTCATGCACCTCCTCATAGTTTTATTTATGTACGTGATAATTAAATAGTATTTGTGTGCAATATTTTATCAATTTTTTTATTTAAGTTAATACAATCTTCAAATGTTCTAATTAACGATTAAAGTAGAACGCACTTTCATTCGTGCGCCTATATCAAATTTCATCCAGAGTACAACATACCTGCAAAACCGTGCTGATAGGTATTTCACCTGTAGGGTTTCTCTTTAACAAACTTATCTATGCAGTCGTGGAAAAATTGATAGGTGTGGAATAAACAAAAAATGTATAATTATAGAAATTTACTGAAACGTAAGTCCATTGATCCTTCGTTTAGTTCGTTTATCTTTTCCCAACAATATGTTACATACATATGTAGATAATTATTGTTTCTTAAATATAATAGTGTTTTTTAAATATAATTATGTATACATATTCATATTAATTGTATTAATATTTCTAATTCAAAAAATATAAGGTATTTGTGATATAAGCTTTAAAATTTGGGTTTTATTTTGAAATTTTCAATAAAAACTCATCTTGTTAAAAAATTAAAATTACTAATTGAAAGCACAAAATAAATTAAACTATCTAAATTTATAACAAATATATTAAATATCAATCGTTTTTAAATTTCAAAAATTAGTAATTTCTATAAAAAAAACTAATACCTACTATTAGATAGTAAAACTAAAATATTCCTAATTACACAAACAGGAATAAGATACGTAAAAAAAATCTTCAATCCATATCAGTCAGTCAACGACCTATGTAGATTTATAAGGACTCTAATAAATTATACATAATTATTATAAACTAATATTAGTTGGATTTTGTCGAAAGTCGAGCAAACTTATTTGAAGTAGGTAATACACACATACATACATCGTAATGTGGCGAAGTAGCCATTCAATTGAACGGATTGTTTTTCAGTCGTATAAAAATTAACGAACTATCGGTTCGGTTATAGCCAAAAGTTCAATGCGAATTGACCTCATTACTTGCATTGTTTTATTAATCTTCTAATTGTCGATACATCGCAAACTGATTTTTTTGTTTTGCATATTATATGAAGTTCATTATGTATTAAGGCAAAAATTAAGTCTTAATCAGAATAGTGTTCATTAGAAACACGTAATTACGATGGAAAGAAAGTGTACAGAAGATTCCTGGAGAAACCAAAGACTTGTTTTGTTAGGGAATTTTTTAAAGGTAGTATGAATTTTCTATTTTCTTAATAAATCGCCTTGAAAATCAAAATTGTTTTCGTGTTTATGGTTTATTAAAAAAATGAAAAAGCAGATTAAAATTTCACCTAGGAAAATATACGAATTTATAATTACAAATTATATTTTAGTATTTCCTAGACCCAATTACGAATACACTTTCCTCTATTTTTTACCCAGTAAATAAAACAATTGATTAATTATCAACGCTATCGTCGTTTTAATATTCCTTTATTTTAAATTTTTTATGAATTATTATGTTGCTATATTGCTTATGAAGGAAATAAATATTTATATTGTATATGGATTTTTTCATACTAATGACCCGATCTAGTTTCGCCATTATTCGTGTTTATTGTTCGAAGAAAATATTTTTCGTAAAAATTCAAGCCTTATTGAGCTATAAATAATTATCTGCGTATTGAATTTACAATGCGATATCGATTATTTTAAAAATTGTTACAATAATATTTATAATCCAATTTAAACAGGGTGTAGTTCTGACAAACATTTTATCTCGTTTGGGACTTACTCATTGATTTTTTTCAGCAGATAATCTATCAAATGAGTTGTTGTTCATATGTATTAATAAAGAAAAGTTATAATGTAATGCATAATTTTTAATACACTTTTTTTGGATTATTGAACAGGATAACTGAGACAAACTTTATTTTCACTAGATTTTAATCTTCTATATGAGGTACATATTTCAAAATACTGTTCTTTCCGAATCCAGGAGATTATTCTCATTTTCTGGACACTCTTTATACACTAAAAACCCTAATTTTTTTCTTTTCTATAATAATTGAGAGTCTCTTTTGCAGCGCTGGTGGGTTCCTTCTCGATGGGAACAGTCTTCCTGGTATCTCCCGTATCGGGAGTGCTCACCGATCTCGTAGGCATAAGGAAAACCACGTTCCTCGGCGGCGCCATCGCCTCCACGGGCATGTTCCTATCGTCGTTTTTCACCGAAAACATCATTGTTTTGTGCATAACGTACGGAGTGATGTACGGCCTCGGAGGAGCGTTGGCTTACACGCCATCGCTGGCCGTCCTGGGGCACTATTTCCAGAAGTATTTGGGCAAAGTAAACGGGTTCGTAGCCGCAGGGAGCTCAGTCTTTTCCGTCATCATGCCCTGGTTTATGACCGCTATTATCGAGAAATTCGGGGTAAGTCGCATTGTCATTATTTATAACATAGAATTGACTTTCAAAAGGGAGGTAAAAAAGAATAAATATTGATACAAATGGTGGGTAAAAGTAGATTACTTTATGTCACTACATGCTAGGTGATCGATTACATTTTCTTTTTTATTTGCAATGAATTGCGTAGTAGTACTGCCTTACTTAGTTTTTGCTTCACTAATTTGTTTTATCTCTGTAGAAGTTGACTCAACTCGTTGGAATTTTCAAAACAATAATATATTTGATAAGGATAGCAATCGATCCAAAATTTTTCCAATGATCGCAAAAATGTAATGGGGGTTATCTAACTACAGGATGGTCAAATTTTTATTGTTTAATACAGAAACTTCATAGTAAACATGAGTCGCTCTGCGCCAGAGTGGCCCAAAACTGCGAATTGCATCTGGTATCAGGAAAAGTGCTGCATATTTCAAGTCCACATTAACCCAAAATGAGCTTTTCTACTTCACTAATAGATATAGCTTGCTTATTTGAGACATTTGGGGCCCTGCAGACTTGAAATTTAGAGAATATGCAGCACTTTTCCTGATCGATACCATCAGGAAATGCACTTCGCAGTCGGGCCACTCCAAAAACTCATACACAAATGGATAACGCCGTTTTGTTCCAGTTAGAATGGACGCTGAGAATCCTGGCGGCGATGTCGAGCATGATAATGGTGATAGCCTTCCTGTTCAAACCGACGAGAAGGGCGGAGTTCAAGAAGGAGGATTTCGAAAGGAGGAAAAGGATCTCGTATAGAGACGTCTTCAACGTATCCCTGACGAAGAATTTCAAATATCTAATATGGGTCGGGGTGATAGCGGTGTCCCTCTTCGGCTACTTCGTTCCCTACGTACTGATGTTGAAGTTCGTCGAGAAGAATTTCGATAAAATGTACGACACCAAGTTGCCCATTATGTGCATAGCCATTACATCAGGTATTGAAAAAGTGGAGTTGAATGAAAGAGGAAATCGCTCGACTACAATAAGTGATCTATTGTTTCAGGTGTAGGTAGGTTAATATTCGGTACTATCGCTGATTTACCGTATATTAACAGGATGTATATACAGCAGATAAGCTTCTTTAGTATCGGCGTTATGACGATGCTGTTACCTTTCACTGCCGGCCACTACTCCTGGTTGATCGTTATTAGTTTAGCGATGGGGATTTTCGATGGATGCTTCATATCTTTACTAGGTAAAAAACATCTCTTATTACCTTACAGAAACCCATAATTTATTCAAAAATGAGAGCTTAACAAGAACCTCCAGAAACGAAACTACCTTATAATCTCCCTAATATCGAGTCTACATAATTGGACATAGTCCAAGTGTTAGCAAACCATCTCCATAAACCGAGGATATCTCATTAGGAATCTCTGCCCCATTCCGCGAACACAAATAAAGTCCTGTCCATTGCAGGGCCCATAGCATTCGATCTGTGCGGCAGGGAAGGAGCCACCCAGGCCATCGGTTTTCTGCTGGGCGTGTGCGCCATACCGCTAACGCTGGGACCGTACGTGGCCGGCGTGATTTTGGACAGGACCGGCAGTTACACCGTGCCGTTCATAGTGGCGGGCGTGTCGCCGGTCATCGGCTCCGTCGGCCTGTTCCTGGTCAAGTGCGTCGAGGGCAAAGCGACGAGCCAAGTCAACGGGCGTCCGCCGGCCGTCACGGAACCGCTGAACGAAAAAGGTAGGCTGTTGAAGGGTTGTAGGATATCCGAGGGATCCGGTTTGTCGGATGCCAAATCTACTAGGTTGTACGATTACTCGTCTTTGTGATTGATTGTTGAATCGGTTGAGGTTGTTTTATCTACGGCTGTGTGCTAGAATTATAGTTTTATTGAAGCACTAGTTTCCGAAGGAAACGCGATTATTGATAGGAATTTGATAATAAAAAGAGTTTATGCAATCACGGAATATTTTTAAAAATGTGTTGCTATAGGGTACGGAGTATCGTGAAGATGTTGATTATTTTTATATTGACTGTTGTTATTTACATATAAATTTAAATAAAATAGCGAGTTCATGGAATTGTACAAATGAAAAATAAGAATTTAAAAATCGCCGAAGATAAAACAATGTGTGCAATTCGCTTGTAATGATAGCTATTAATATGCGAGCAAACTTCTAGCTGGTGAATTAATAGCTATCATTACATGCTAGTTGCTTAATATTAACTACTTTAGTAGCTATATTTGACAGTTTTGATGCACATACAATGTAATTTTATTGCATTTTTTACGGAAATTACATTAGGCTCAAAGACTAATATAGGCACCCTTCAAAAATGCTACTAAATGGAGCATTTTTTTAATATCTTACTTGGTTATACCAAGTATGGATCTCTCTGTAAGTAGATTAGTACGTGTTATCTGTTATTTTAAAGACTATTTTTTATAATACTCATTTTATAAATAAGAAATAAGTAGATATACCTACACAAGATGGTCCTTAACTAATGAGTCAAACAGTAACAGTGGATCTCTAATATCTCTCTAATACTCATAAAACATTTTATTCCAATGATATTGTATTACTTACGGATCAACTTGCATTTTATATATTTTTACTATCCATTTAAGGCTATTAATATTACATTTCGAATAATGCTAGTTCGAAATTAAACGCCAACTTGATTGATCAGTTCGGTAAAATGGTCAGATATTGCTAACAATTGATAACTTTTAATCGGGGACAATAGAATTAGGACGTCTTATTAGAAAATCCCTTTGTTAATCGACGGTAATTGGCGGGGCCTTATCGTTCGAATTAGAGATAATTAATTCCTAATTAAAGAAAATTAGGATTCATCCATTCGTATCTTATTATCTAATCTAATGGAATGTGTTGGATAACATGGAACCTTGAGCTAATAATATTAACGAAGTTAATACAAGTTTTTGTGATATGCCGATTAAGAATTTTTTTTAGCTGCTGAAAATGCTGATTTTGTAAAAAACAGTTTAACCAATGTTTCCTTATAATATTAATAATTGCTGCATAAGGTGTATTGCAAACTAAACAGTACTTTAACCTAAATTGTGCAGATAACTCCCAGTTTTTAATAATAAATTTTTAAAAAATGATAGCAGAATAGGTCCCAAAGGTAGAAATTTCCGAATATTCACTAATTTTATTCTTCATTTTTGCAGAATCATTGGCCAAGCAAGAGGAAGACGTCTTGTAGTTAAAAAAACGAATTTTCGTAGAATTTTTGCTTTTACTTATTCTGCTAGATGCACTTTGGATACTTTTTCATGCGATTATTTCCACTAAATTTTGGGATGCTCTTTTTGTATTATCTTTTTTACGATTTGTATTTGTATTTGTAACGTGGTTCTTATCTAAATTGGACGACGAATTTCTATTTTATTGCCTAAAAATTGCTGTGATTAAGAAAATTAGAACCACGTTACAATCAATTGTATTATTTTTTTATTATTATTAGCAATGATTCGGGTTAGTTAGGAAGTACGAATCTCATTAGAAAAATTTTTTACGCTTTTATATTACAACAATATTTTACCTATTAACGTACCTTTCGTTACAAACAAATTATCTTGAACCTGAATATTATCCTATATATTGATCTTGAATGTCTTACTACTTTTTGAGAAATTTAATTTTAAAGATGGTATGTTGCCTTAGGGACGATTTATTAATGTATAAATAAATTTACCTATTCATTGTCAATAAACTGTATAAATTTGTAATTATTAGATTATCCATCATTGATAAATCGACCTTTAAACTAAAATGCATTTGAGGTTTTCCATATCATTCTGTTTGTGAGGTGAAATTTTCTTGTAAAATTAAGATAGGTAATTTATACAGTATTAATAACGAAAAAGATAGTTTATTCAACAGAGTTTACGAATGTTAGGCGAGTTTCTGACAATAATAGAAATGCTTTTAAATGCGCTTCGATAATTTCCAATATGTGCCTACGAATTATACAAGGTTTGTTCCGGACAATCAATGTTATTGGAACAAACCTGTTGTGCAAATAATATTTTCAAGGGCCGTTTTCTTAATGCATTTTAAATTATCTTGCTAGAGTAATGTCTAGAACTTGTAGAATCAAATGAGAATATGAAATTGTCATCTCTACTAAGTAGACTTTGCTTTAAAATTAAATGATTAAATGGCTCTTGTTTGTTACATTTGCGAAGTAGACGAAAAGTTGTTGTAATATTCAAATTTTAGACCACTGTTGGCATTTAATTTTAGAATTAGGTAAACGTTCCTGCCTATTATAGACTTTAAAGTGTATATTTACATATCAATGCAGTGCAATGGTTAATTAATTTGTTAATAAAGAATCTTGAAAACGTTTATTACATTATAAATTCCCTTGTACCGTTTTAAAAACTAAGAAATTATTGAAATTATCTAAATTTAATGTCTACGATAAAAAATAAACTACTCTATCTAATGTAGTTTATATTCATAATTTTGTTTTGTAGAGGTACACAGGTGTATAAGGAACAATTCATAAAATCTATACTAAAAAATATAACACAGTGCGCAATGACGTTAAATACTTAAGTAAAACAGTAACAATAAATTAAGCAGAGCTCAACACGTTAATTATTATCACTCTTAATAGCAAAACGTTTACGAACGTGTCAAGCGACTCTGCAATTGAATCTTTGATCCTACATACCTATAAATCCCGTTTGGCTTCGTCTCGGCTTTGTTGCTGCTGCAAAATTGACGCTAATTTACTAGAATAAGTATTTTGAATAGAATTCTGAAGTTCGTTTAGTGAATCTTCAGCCTACGAAAACACGATTATTAGAGCAAATTAATGAAAATACGTTACAACTTTTACTTGTCTTAGTAATTCAATGGAGTTTTTCAACATCTTTTGCCATTTTTGAGCTTCTACAGTATGCAACGTTTCTTGCTGCTGCAATAATTGAATCCATTCCTCGTGAGATTTCGGCGGGTTCCTGAAAAATATTTCATACATTTAACTTTTAAGTTGCTATTCACGACAATAATACTCACTTTAATAAATGCAAATCTAGCATATTGTACGGCGACGTGTCCTCTAACGACCACAATTTATAGTACAACATCACATTTAAAACGAGCAGTAACAATAAAACGGTAAATACTATCATGGTACAAATTTCACTACTAAAAATACTCTCAGTATTCTTGATTTTCACAGGAGAATCTGCAATTACGAAAAACACTATCAGTTAATTAGCAACTGCGGAGCGGTAGAATGTTACAGATATAGGTAAAAGAATCCGGCTTACTTTCTTCGCTGCCTTTCGGATTAGAATGGATTCTCCTCTTTCTAGCGCGGGATCTTTTCTTCGATTCCGGAATACCTTCATCGCCGGCTTCGGCTCGCAAGGCTCTCGTCAAATGAGCCGCGTAATCCTCGATACCAGCGTAACAGTTTCTTTCTATCATTCCTACAAACGAATCGACATTTAAAATAGCATTATAAGAATCGCTAAGAGAATGCACAGGGCAGAGAACCTAGGACCGATCGGACAAGAAGAATCGCTTACCCTTAACTAAACCCCAAACGGACTTCTTATATTTAACTTGTACATACATCACAATTGAACTATGAGTCTCTGACACCTTTTGTATACAATAATGCACACACACGAAGAAACTGTCTGCGTACGGAACGCCTGCATTCAACGATTCTATATCTATCGAATACAACTCGCCGGCTTTACTGCACGGATTCATCGTCTAAAACCCCAAAAACTCAATATTGCAGTAATTAAATGCGGAAAATTAACAAGGTACTCACTTGGGATTCGGTACATTGCGCCGACTTGGGCCCCATAGTGGCGAGCAGGGACACCGTCAAATTGACCACTCGACTTTTGCTGTTGTCGATGGGATTGTGCGTCCAAGGCGTCTGCGTGAGATCCGTCGTCTTCCTGGCGGCGTGGAAGTCCAAGTAAAACTTCGAACTGGTGAACAGCAAGGTGAACAATTGATCCACGTGGATCGGGAACACTTCGTCCAAGACTTTTCGGCCGACGTGCGGGCACGTGCATTGAGCCTTGGCGCTCGATCTGGAACCCCAAGAATGGTTTTACGTAGGTAAATATGAATTAGTGGGTGTTTATAATTATAGTGGCTGTTTTTGTGTTAGGCTTTAGTTTATTTAACATGTCATTTTGCTTAGCAGTTGAGTGGTAACATGATTGGTTGAAGCAAATACTTGGAGCAGAGTAAGGATTTTCTCATTAAGGCGCAAATGTCGTAGTGATGGAAAAGTTTAAGAAATAGTACAATGAGTAAAATCATAAATTATTAGTAGATCTGAGCTGGAGTCAAGGTTTATATAGAATTCGGCAAATAATAAAGAAAATCCCTAACATTGTGCAGGAATACCGCGGAGAATTTAAATAAACAATGAAGCAGAGTGTGTCTAGGATAGAAAATTCACCCTGTGGAGTTCAATAATGCATCCCCACATTTTATTTATCATCAAAACTAATATATCTAAATTAATATCCATCTCATTTTAATGAATTGTTAGGAAAGCCGTTTAGCAAAAATTAAGCAAACAGCAAGCTTTGTTAAGAATCTCGATTATGGCAAATCATCAATTCAAATGAAACTCATCTCCTAAAGTTGTTAGTATCATGTATCATTCGTGCAATAATTATGATGCGAGTTGTTTGGCAGCTGGTTAGAGTTGTTTTTTTATTTAGTTTCGGGCGTGTTTTCTCACGGACTCACATGAAATTATCTAAATTCGGATGGGGACCGTCGGAATCCGGGGTGGGCGGCGTATGAGGGGGCGCGTCTTTCGTGAACGCTTCTTTTAGGAATGAAAATGAAAAATTTTTTCTGAAAATAAAACGTTACTAACGGTGATATACGCAAACTATACGGACGAGTTATCGTAAATATACAGCAGTCGTAGAAATATCCCAAATCAAAGGAGAATAATTTTTTAATACTGCTGCGACAAAAAAGTACTCGGAAATTTGGAATAAAACGTAAATTTCTAATCTTCTTTAATTTTTCTTGAATCTCCATCAATATTTGCTCTTTTTGAAGGCTTTTTTTTGATGCCTGACTGGTTGAGCAAAAACAAACGAACGGTTTCACGAGAGATGTTGAAGTCAAGTGCTACTTCTCTAATACTAGCATGATGATTTTCGAACTCAATTTCTTTCATTTTCTCGCTATTATCACTAATTGAAGAGGTCGAGGACCGTCCGGAACAAGGCAAGTCTTTAGCGATCTCCTGACTGTCTTTTAAAGTTTTGTACCATTTGTAAATACGAGTTTTCGATATAATAGAACCACCTTAAGCATTTGCATCGATTCGGCCCAAGAAAATCCGGCCAGAACCTAAAATATGAGACAAACTCTGTTCGTTATTTTTGTCCATCGCCAAAATTTCTAGAGCACTTCTAAGATGAACTGATTCAATCATCTGCTACAAACCGATTGAGAAATCTCTAATTTTTTGCATGCTAATTAAATGTTAACAGTGTTAAAGAAACTTGAAATAGCTAAAAATATTAAGTGCAGATAAATCAGAAATTCCGGGTACTTTTTTGTCAAAATGTACAATAGATTTTCTTTTGAATTGCGGTATTTTCACGACTAGTAAGCTATACTACAAGTAATTTTCTCGAGTAAGTTCACGCTAATCCTGCTATGGCATTAAAAGCTGAAAAATTACAGCATTGCCAAATTATATACATTTTTCATCAAACTTCTACACTATTCGTACCAAATTTTTTTACTAAAAAAAAAAAAATAAAAAAAAAAAAAAAAAAAAAAAAATAAATAAAAAAAAAAAAAAAAAAAAAAATTAAAATAAAAAAAAAGAGTAATCGACGAGTCGAGTAATCGATTTATTAGAAACATAGTAAATTTACTTGATGGGTTTATCAGCCTCGGATTCCGAATTATCGGTGGCGTCGGTGGGATTTCGCGAATCCGAATTGGTCCGTTTGTGCATGGTGAACGTCGGCATTTTCATATCGTCGACGTCGCCGCGATTCTCGTACGATCCCGTCGATTGCTCCATCACGTTGTCGATTCCTTGGCCTTCTTGCTGCGAAACGAATCGATCGATCGTTACGAGGAATATAATTTATTTTCGATTTTATCCGGATCACAACGTACCTCGGAGAAAGATTCGACTGACAGTCGCACCGATAGTTTGTCCTCTTCTGTAGCAGGAGGAGGTATGTAATCTTCGTCGTCGCTCGTTAAGCCTAATTCACTGCCATAACATTGATGAACCTAATAAAAAAAGTATAAAAAAATATTATACAGAGTGTACATCCTGTATGTAACTAGGAAATAGGTGAACTTTTTATCGTTTTTGAGTTAAAATTGTGTGTAAACGACAAGTTCACAATTTGATTCATGAACTGTTAGATTGTTTCATGGTGAAATCGATTTTGTTATCAGGTAGCATAATTTTGTGTTCCCATGTCTGATGATGGTAACTTTATTGAAACATAACCAATGTAAACAAATTGATAACACAATTGTAGCAATAGATACACAGATATATGCTGTTTAGGTATTTTAGAAACAAATAAAATTAGCGTCCTTTTTACCTTAATTGTGCCCAAATTCGATAGCTCACCTCAATAATGGATTCAAAGTATAAATAAAGTCAAAGTTACATTAATCGAAAATTTCGTTTGAAAACTCTATCAACATAAATTACATTTACTTACGGTTCAACAGTCAAAAACGCTTTGTTAGCATTACAAATTTCAATTAAAACCAGTACTGTTATAAACATATACACGAAAATTTACGTCACTATAATTAAACGCCAATTAAACAGATTTTTATTAATATAAATATACGTGTAAATAATGGAAAATTGAACAATACATCACCTCTGACCGTAAAGGATTTAATATAAAAGTTAATGAAACCGCACTATCTGTTCTATCTTTTTAAGTGAATACTCGAACGAGATAAGTTACTTTAAAAATCATGTAAAACGCGCATAAAAACAACGAGTGTCGCTGAGAAGTGTTTTCTTAGGTTATCAATTTACATTAGTATCAAATCGCATTTTATTTAAAACGGTTTATTATACGTGTATAAATGAACCCATCCTTTTGGGCCGAGTAAAGTGCGCCGGCGCAAGATCGTTTATATCGAAACATTGTTTAAAAATACAGGGTGTTCTATAATTACAGGACAATATTGTTAATAAGGCACAAATCAAGGATGTGTGGTTTGTAACAGGGTATTATTTTTAATGTTGATTACGAAACTATGACTTAATCATAACCGCTTACGCCCGTATTCACTAATTTTGGCTTATCAACCTGATAACTAAAGAGGAGCGGAATATAAGCAAAAAATTGCTAATACACACACATATACAGAATTGGAAATAAATTCACGCATAATAGGGAAATCGATGTCAAATTCTTATCCGTCTAAAATCCAGTTTACCAGTGTACATTTCAATAAAATAAATTCTATATTGTAGATAAATTCTAATAAGTTTAGTTGTTCCACTGGACCGCATTCCGCGCTTATTATATTTCAAAATACATATGTTCATGTGAAGTTTTTTTCTTAAAAATGGGCCCAAAAAACACCTCTTCAGTATTAGCATGTTATTAAAAAACACAATATTTGTTATTTACCACGATATTTGAAGTAACGGATAGTAAACAGATGGTTTTCTTATAAATAACCAAGATTAAGTTGGTATTACGATATAGTTTCTGTATGCGAAATTCATAACCACACATTACTAAATTAGTGTAAATGTCAAAGTTTTAAATTTTATTTCGGTATATTTATATCTATTTAATATCTATTTCTATATCACTATCTTCGGAAGATGAATTTAACAATTTATGAGACTCTATAATATTTAACTGTTCCATTATATTGTAGGCATTAAATTAAAATTTTATATGCCACTGTTAAATAGTCGTAAAAACTTTGACAATTTCGATTTTACATTACTGACTTTACTTTACTGACAGTTTCGAATTTAAATTAAAGTTATCCGTCTGTAACTTCTTTAATCAGTTCGATTTTGCTGTTACTTTTATCTGACTGTTAAGTATTAACTGACATTGGTGAATGCCAAAATATGACTTCAACAGGAACTTATCTCTCTGTTAGCGATTTAAGAGACATTGGTGAATATGATCGTTAGAGATTGAATGGATAATAATGATTGTTATTTATTCGATACATACCCATTGCCACATTTCCTGCGGCGACATCGGTTGATCCATAAGCGCGTTCTGCCATACTCGAAACAACATCAAATAAGTCTTGTCCCTCGACACGAAACTGGCAAAGAAATACTTGTCGCCCTTTGTGCTTATCAGTATGGCGTTCGGTATGACCAAAGCGGTTTTCTCCTTCGTTATCGACGCCACGTCCTTCCATTTCAACGTCAGATTCCTCTCCCAACCGAATATGTTAGCATAGAAGCACAGGTAATTTTGAGTAACGTAAATCCGACCCTGGTGCAGAATCTCCTTTTGCAAGGCGCAAGCGTAGTCTGAAATCAAATTGTATTTTTTCTAGTACTCCGCATACATATAGAAACTTGTATGCAGACATTCATTATTGTAGCAGTACCAGAAATAAACTTGATCTACATTTTTTATACACAATACCCTTTGTACTACTTTTTTCAGTGTACCGGGATTCCCCACCAAAATAATCGAGTAGAAAAAAAATTATTCCCACCTCTATTAAAGTACTGTTATACGAAATGTCATTAATGTCAATTTTGACAGTTTTTTGCTTAAGTATTATCGAACGCATCTTGAAGTCCCCTTAATTCAATTACAATGTGACAACAATTTAGAAATTTATCATAGAGTACAATAGGGTGTGGAATTCCTCCAAGGGATTATTTTCGCTAGAGAAAAGACCCACCTTTAATAGCATTTTATAAATTTGGAACCGTTAATTAGCTACGAAACGTATATGTTTACCTACGACAAGTCTCTCATCGTCGGGCACCTCTTTGAACAACCTCTTCAAATCCTCCGATTTGGATTTGTACGTGGAATAGAAGGAATTGAACCAGGACGATTTCTTCTTGCCCTTGACGTCTCGCCTTTCTTTCTCTTTGCTCGAATTCGTCGAATCGGACTTGAAGTCCTGCGATTGCGGCGGCGTGATCTCGATGTTATTGGTGCTGCCGCTGATGCTCAGGCGTTCCCTCGACGAGCTGTCTTGGCTCTGCGAAGAAACCATACAGAAAATCCTAACGTTTTCAATACACATCGATAGTTATGGGTACACTTTAAGATGCTCATGTCTGCTTGAAAATTACCTTCAGATATTATGTAAACATGATAAGATTTTTTTTGAATAAATTTTCAAACCATCTTACGCTCTTAATAATTAATAATACTTGCCGATGATGTCGACATATCCTTTGAGGTTCGATTCGATTGAAAGAGATCATTTTAACCGCACCGGCATTGAAATTTTTTTTTGAGATCAATTTCTTCTACCGAGGATTTACATCAATGGAGAAATCGTGGAAATCGCTGCCGTTACTAAACTCGCGATAAGATAATGTGTAGAGATAAACTCAGGGACCACTTACTTGTTGCTAAATAATGTGTTTATCGTTAGAAACGTCGAAGAGAATTATCATGGTGGCTCAAAATTATGAGGATGCTTGCAATTCTATTTGTATATTATTGCGAATACATCTCGATTCGTTTTAGACATAAATATAGCCGGGTTTAATTTTAATCTACTGTCTTCAGATCTTGAAATTGTAACGGAGAGGAATGTGATGTGAGATACGAGGTTTTCAGGGTAATGTAAAAGCAGAAGTGGTTCATTAGAGGTTAAATTAATATGCAATTTTTCAAAATATTCCGATTTTTTTGGTAAATACAGAAAAAATTATCTGCCACAAGTTGATAAAAATAAAAATGCGTTGATCACAAAGCAAGGGCAAATTGCTATACAAACAATTACTCCACCAATTTTTATGCAAGGTGCAATAACGTTACTGATATCATACTTGACTTCAAAACATACAGGGAAGGGAACAATAAGTATAAAAAAACTTACAGTACAAAGTAAGCAAAATTTAGATTGTGCAAACAAAATGAAAATAGTTTTATCGGATATAATTAGCAAGTGAACGTTAAAAGGAATCGATTATAAACCTGACCTTATTGATGATTTTCATTAGGTGCAGCAATCGATAAACTTGCAGAATTTTCAACATTTCACAATCGACATTTTCCATTATGGCTTCACTCGTTTACGAAATAATAAAAACGCGGAATTCTATTTAATTACCCTGTGCAAATCACCTGTAATTTTGTTACCTTGATTCGGTAAAAAACAACCTTTGTATTTTTATCACTTATAGTAACGAATGCATGCAACAAAATTAACCTTTTACCGCAAACCTTTTTTTTAGAATAAGTCGAATTAAAGCGTTAGAAAAAAAAGCGATATTTTTCAAAACCTAAATTCTACTTACAGGCATAGAACTTATTAGGCAACGATTACTTATTCATAAAAATTTATCAATCCTATTTGAATATAAATGAATCGAAAACTTTGAAATGCCAACACAATGAAAATACGTGTTGTCAACACATACACGTTTTGTGAATTAGAATTTTAACAAAGAGCTGTTATCAAATAAAATGTAACCAGCGCAAAGGTTAAAAAACTACATAATCAAATTTAAAATATCTAAAAATTACCAAAAACGCCCACAATATTAGATAATTCTGTTGTGATTATTTTATAAGCTAATATTAACGGCCAGGCAGCTACATTAGTCTTTAATTATAAAAGATTCTTATTCTTATCAGCATACTACATAGTAGAATGTACACATTAGATTATAGATGAGGTAAAGGTTAATCGAATTACTACAAATTTACTAGGTATTTTAACAGGATTTACAGTTGGTAATTTAATGGAATTGTTATGCAAATACTTACTGAAGGCGATCCATCGTGAGTGGAATTCTGTTGTTTGTAGTTCACGTTCAAGTGGATGTCCGACTTCGAATGATCCCTTTTGGTTTGAGGTTTGGGCGAAGGCCTGGGGCTGCTCCTGGGACTCGAAGAGGGGCTGATTGATCTGTGGAAATGAAAACAATAACTCGCTAGTTCGCAAATGCTGATAAAAGAACTCACTTGTTATCACTGGTGTGGCTCGTTTGTTTTTCATATGCTGGAATATTGGACGAAGACAAATTTGTTTTCATTTTGTGATATTAAAATTCGGCATGCTTGAAATGTTCTTTTTCTCGACCGCGCACCGAATAAATCCACAATTTTTTTGTATAGTCGAGTCGAGATGTAATATTATCTATTGTCCGCGAGAGTTAAACTAGGTTGACCTAAACGTAGGCTACATAATACTGTTTACTGTTGTTGGCAACAACATAAATAATTGCTATCAAACATTACACATACAAATTGCATTGCAGAAACCTGATAACAAATAAAAATTAAACAAATACAATACCGTTCTATATCTTATAATCACGGGCATATAAGTCAATGTCATCAAATGTGTCATTAGTGTCAATAGGAACGTCAATTTTTAATGTATGTCCTGTTTTATACGAGCTATTCGGTTAACTGACTAATATGCATCTATTAACTTGCAACACAAAAGGCCATATTTAAATACTTTTTGATGTCGACTTTTAAATATCAATTTTTATATCTGGAAAGTACAGAGGCAATGAAAATCTGCTCCATGTCCTAAGGAAGTAGAAAAAACAAAACCTGGATATTTGAAGAATCTGGAAAAGTTGAATCTAAAAAATCCACAAGAAATTGAATATAATGCAAATAAAACAATATTAATTAATTGATTGTATATTTACTGTTAAATACAATTTAGATGTATAATAAAATACGCTTGTATATTAAAAATCTTGTAATAAAATGTAGATTTATACTGAAAACGTAATGCCACTTCAACTGAAACATATTTTTTATCGAAACCGAAACAATCAAATGATTTTGTTACAGACGCTAAAGCTGCAAAAAGTCTTAAAGGGACATCAGTCTTTTTGCATTTTTTTTAATTTACAGGGTCATCCATTATACAAATACAGTGTAAAAAACTTATAATTTAGTTCGAAGTTGTTTTAAAATACGAAAATATTGAAATCTCTCTTAAATTAAAATTGCTATTAAGGTATCGGTTTTATTAGTTCAAACGTATGGAAAACCCAATAAAATTCAGTCGTATTTTTTATATTAACAATAGTAACTATTTATTTTCTATAAAATCGAGTAGATTAAGTGTAACCACAATTTTATTTAGTTAATAAATTCTAATGAACAATAGAGCGCAATCATTTTACATTTTATAAAAATCTCACTGCAGTTTAATTGAAGTTACATTTATTTAAACGAAAGCCGGCTAATAAGAAAAATCTCAATTTTAAGCTAATTAAATTAATTATCTACGTTTTTATATTTTCTTATAAAATGGATGGATAAACTTTCATTTACACTTAAAAAAATCTAACGATTTCATTATACGACTATTTACACTATTATTATATTAAAAATGAATGATTAGATAAAATGACTGTACAGTTTTTTCTACATTTTGCATTTTTTTATTTCCTCTTACGTATTTGAAACCAAGCTTAAGTTTCTTATCAAACCCAGGCGACTCAAAGCAAGTTGTACTTGAAATATAGGACAACATTCCAGATAATTTCAATTATTGTGGTAGAGTTTACTATTTTGAAAATTTCGAGTCACCTGAATTTTAATTTCAAATAATTGAAAGCTTTAATTCAAAAGTAACACTAAGCTCTTAATAAAGACATTCTTTTTTTGGAATGTTTTCTCTTCATTTTTTTTAATATCAATAAATCTCATAATGCGATAAACAAGTATTTACTAACAACACTTATAATAAACGTAGAAATAAATATATATAATGATTTTAAAATTATATTTAACAAAATAAAATACATAAAAAACGTCACTTTTCTACATATTTGGCCTCGAAGAGTTTTCAGTATGAAAAAATTGACTTGAGTATTTTTATCCACTTACCAATATGTAAAATATACATTTAAAATTTATGTACACGCAGCGCGTAGAGAAGGTAAAGTATAACTAGAAAAATCTAAATAAAAAAGAAACCCCTTCAGCTAGCTCTCTTACATACTAAATTCGCTAATACATACTCAATTATCTAGATAAAGTTCATCGTTCCACACAGTGTTGTTAATAGAATGGTGTTATAAACTTTGAGCATTTTAACAATAATAGAATTAGTTTAGTTAATTAATATTAAATAATACGTGGCTCGAACTATACAAAACAGACACCAGCACTTACAATACAGTAATCTAATTCAATGCAATAGTATTTCACAGGTTTCATTTACTACGCAGGTTTATCGTTCTCTCGTATGAAATCTTCGTATCGCGTAAACGTATTTAGATAACAGAACCACCCGAAGTAAGTTGACTTTAAAATAGGACAATTTCGAAAACGTTCAGCAAAATTCAACTTCCGAAAACGAAACAAAACAAAAGTTTCCGCGCGATTATTTCCTAACATACACCGACCCCGCTTTCCTTTCAACGATCGCCGAAAGGGGGGCGACAATCTGCCCAGCCACGGTTAGAGGATCCCGTTGGTGAAGTACTGGAAGCCGTCGTAGAGCTTCGTCGACAACGAGTGGATGCTCCCTTCGACCATCCGGTTCACCTCCAATCGCAGCTGCTCCTCCGTCATGCTCATGTGGAAGCGATTCTTCAGGTTTTGTACCGTCGAAGCGCCCGACTTGAAACAAGGCAACTGAGATCCTAAGCAAAAAATCAAACTGTTATTTAGATTCCACACAACTTGTTGTTAGAGAAACTAACATCTGTATTCAGCGCTCTTTTGTAAAGTTATGTGTTTGACGTGTTTTACGTTGTTGTTATGAACTAACTATGGACATTTTTTACGTAAGAGACTCTCTACTCTTAACGATTGATTACACCAGTTTAAAATCTGTAGTAATAAAAAAATTTAACTCGTCACATAACCGAAATATACTAATAAAATCATTTGTTTTACTGGAATTTTATACATAAGTAATGCACGAAAAGAAAGTTAGTCAAATTAGAAATGCTGAGCATTAAAGTTTTGTTTTATTGTATGATTTTGGATCGGTTTCGCGTATTAATGTCCAACAATAGTCTCCTAGCACACCATTCAAACTGTCTAGAATCATTTAGAACTGTCTATAACCATTTACAATGCTCCAGAACCATATACAATGCTTCAGAAACATATAGGACGGTCTAGAACCATTTAAAAAGATCCAGTAGCAAAGGTTTAGTAGAAAGGTTAGTTCTATGTATCCAGCCTATAATATACAGTTCATACAAGATATCAAGGCTTTTTCGAAGAAAAATTAATACTAAATAATTAAATCTACTAATCAATACATTCGAATTTATTCCGACGACTCACTGCTAGTTTTAAAGAAGGAATGAACCAATTTACCTGATCTCATAATCTCCACCAATGTGATGATCATCGCGTGGTGTTTCCTGGCGGCGATGAGGCCTTGCAGAATGAGTATCTTGAAATACTCGAACATGTCGGAGTTTTCTCCGCCCATGATCTCGACGAATTCCGCCGTCAATTTGAACGGGGATTTTTCGAAACCGAGATTTTTAGGCGACGTGGACAGGATGAAACCGAAATCGATGTGAATCAGGTGACCGTCGCTCTTCAATAAGATGTTACCGTTATGCCTGAAACGAATATAAATGAATTCCTAAATGTCCAAGATAAATAAGAAATCCTTTTTGTTTTTATTTCAATTTTCTTAAATAAATGTAATGAAGCAGATGAGATTAAAAATAGGAGATATCATTGCATGGATTTCTATATTAGGTATAAAAAAACTCAAATCAATAGATGAAGCCAAATTGAATTTTATAAGAATTACTGAACCTACGTTTTCCCATTTAAAAATACCCTGAAGTGACACCCTCAAGTAAAATCGATTTTATATCTGCATTTATAACTCACCTATCCTTGACTTGTATTAGATAACAAATCAGGCAATAAGCGGCGCAGCTCTGCACGAAATTTTTCTGAGCAGTGAGAAACCCTTCGGAGGTCATCGGACCGAATTCCTTGACGAAATATTCCAACAAGGAGAGCTGACAATGCTTTTTAACTTGATGCAACGAAACTGTATTCAATATCGGCTCGATCAAACCGCTGTCGTCGGATAAACACAATATTCTAAAAGAAAACATTAACTCAGAAATTGTTTCTAATAACAATTTATCTCAATATACGGCCTGTTACTTACGAGACAGCCAGTCTAATAAATCAACCGATTGCTTACCTGTAAGGATGCAACCACAGCGGGACGTGCTCCATCTCCCAAATCTTTTGAAACGTTTCTAATATCTGCGAAGCCATCAATTCCTGTCTCAAATCATCGCCGCATTTCACAATGACCGAAAGCAATCGCCAAGACGATAGATAACCGTACGGCGAACTTTCGCGTATCCTTTGCTCCTTATCCTGCGAAAATAAATCAAATACCGCGTTCGAAACGAATCGATCTCGCACTGTTCAGGGGTATTTACCTGCCAGGGTTCTTTCAGCACGGCCGCCGAAGGATCTTCGGGATCGTGGGTGAATTGCTTGTTTTTCTCTTCGTGGAAGAAATCCGACAATCTCCTTCGAATTTCGCTCGCCGGTATCGATACGGGTGGTTCTCGCGAATCGCTCGATTCCTGGCTCATTTGGGATATCGTATCCCTATCGACGGGTTTTCTCATTTGCGTGTACTGCAAAATATCGCTGGTTATTGCTTGGAAAATCGTATTCTGTCTTATATTATTACATGCTAAGAATGGGTAAACGAGCCACACTACTTATGATAGACGTAGAAAAGGCCGATAACTTACACATTACAATAACATAAAATGATTAATCGGAAGATAAGGGTTCGTTTGAACCTTTAAATTCGCGATAACAATTTTTCCGCCCAATTAATAGGCCGTAATAAATAGAAGATAAGAGAGTAAAAATACGATAACTCACTTGCTGCGATATTTCATCATCCTCCTGGCTCCAGTCCGGATCGGCGTCGTCGTAACACCCGCCGCACATGCTGAACGCCGATAATGAGACCGTCTCGTGCTTGAGATTCTCCTCGGATTTCGTATGCCTCAGCGTGGACATTATCTTTTGGGGCACGGGCGAACTCTCCAAGTCCTCCACTTCGACCACCTCCACGTAGATTATGTAGGGAGCCTGCGGATAAGCGAAATTTACAGCTCGATTTCTTCACAACGAATCGGACGTGTTTGGCTATAAAACGCTTACTTTATCTTTGGAATTGAGTACAGCTGCCACTTGCGACGGTATCCTAACTATGAAATGGGGATTTTGGCTACACAAGGGTAACCACACTCTGGCGGGTAAGTTCAAATTGAGCGTGGTTAATTCGGCCACCAGCCGCGTAGTTTTAGCTTCCTTCGTCGGTATGGAACTAAGTAATTTGCCGATCAGTATTAGCGCTTGCATAAATTCCAGTTCGGGCCTCAGTCTCGGGGCCTATGGAAGAAAAAATGTCTATATATTCTCTTGAGAAAACTAATTTTTCAAGACTTGCAGCGAACTGTGAACTCGACTAATCTTAGTGAACATCAATTATTTTTATTTCGTCCAAGTGAATCGACTGGACGGATGTAAATTGGGAGCAAACGAGATTCAAGATTTTAATCCTATAGGTAAATTGGGCGCAGAGAATGGCAAATATCTGATAGGTAAATTGGGTGGAAAGTTAGGATGGAATTTAGATTTCCCTACTCTACTCTACAAGCTCTACTAGGCGCTGCTCTGCTCTTCCGTACTCTATTTTATTCTATTCTACTCTTCTCTATTCTCTTGTGCTCTATTCTGCTGTGCTCGACTTTATTCTGCTCTGCTCTGCACTGCTCTTCTGTATTCTCTTCTACATTTCTGTATGTACTCTATTTTTATCTTCTATACTCTCTTCTACACTTCTGTACTCTATTCTAATCTACTCTGCTCTGCTTTGTTTTGGTTCTATAGTGTAAATTTGTCCATGGCAATGCTTTTTTAAACAACGCCAAATTTTTTAATTTCTGTTAAAGTTTGCAATGAATTCAAATTATTCCCTTTTCTACCAGAAACATTCTTGCACCCAGTTTAGTCTTTATAGCTCTCAGGTAATAAATAATTACCACCGCAAAATCAACTAGTTGATGGTTTCTTGTGAGATATGAAATGGGGGCTTACCGAACAGGTGCATTCAGTCTTTTCTCCCCTAAGATCGTTGACGACGCTCTGGCAGCTCTCGAAGCACACGCAGCCGTTGTCGAAGGCCCTGCCGGAGCTCAAATCGCCCAAGCTGAGCTTCGCCTGGGAGGCGGGCGCCTTCTTCAGGCCGGGCAACAAGGCGGAGGCGTCGCTGTGCGACCGCTGGTGCGACTTTTTAGCCGGTTGTTGAGGTACCACCAATTTGTCGCTGCTGTTCAATGACGTGGTCATGATCTGCGAAAAGGGATAGACGTTATTTGATGGTCGTAATAATAAGGTTTAATGGTAGTACTTTTTGATCTTTCGGTCGAAGTTCGTCCGAGAGGATGAGGTTGCGCAATTTGATGCCGTGAGGCTTCTTTTTGGTGGGCAAGGAAGCGTCCGAACTGAAGGCGTCCAACAGCCAGGCACATTTTAACGAAAAATCTATCGATTTCCTACACCTGCAAAAAATTAGATGCTTCAGCAAAAAGGAATAACTACAGAAGAATTAAATAAACTAAACATGATTGTAAAGTACCGGAATCGTTAATTGAACTCATTCCATTGCTTAGTAGGTTTTCCAGCATACCAAAGTAGTAATATAGTAATTACAGGGACATCCTATACAAGTATGGGTGCACAAAGGCAAAAAGAAACAGTGATATTGTGAGATTGCAAGTTACTCACTCTAACCACTGTTATTTTAATAATCTTTGTTTGTTCAACTCATAGAAATGACCATATTGCAAACACATTTGCTCTTACCCATACAAGTTATAATAACATAAAATAATACATGATAAGGCGGTTCGTTTGAACCTTCAAATTCTCTACTAAGTTCGGTGTTAAAAAATACTGCGAAAGTTTTGGGCGATTTGCTTGCCGATAAGTGAAAGTTGTTTTACAGTTTTGGAAAAACCAGAGTACGAAAGAGATTCGAAATTTTCGAGTGATATATATCTCTATTGAATAATGCTTATAGAAACTAATTAAAATTTATAAATTCGAGTCGCTTTTAAAAAATGCGATTTCTATTTGATGATATTACGAAATCTTCGCAATATGTAATAGTTAAATTGAATATACATATACAAATGTAATGAAGAAATCATATTTCCTATGTTTTTGTAACGCAAGCATACACAAACAGACAATGAGGTAGTAGAATGGTAATGTAATGAAACAGCTAAATAAAATTGTTAAAATCAATTGCGTATCCCTGTACCTAGAATAGAAACCTACAAAGGTCATTGACTGATTGATTGTAAGAAATTTTTTTATCGTCTATTGCCTAATTTTCAGGCACTCCAAGGGATTTGTTATCGCCGTTTGGATTCCGGAAACGTATTGTTCCGGTTTTTTGGATAAAAATCTGGATTTTTTCCGGTTTTTATTTATCTCAAGTAGTCTAGTTCCCTAGTATACAGTAATGACCTCATTAGTGAGTATAAACCGCAGCAAAAAAGCTACGAAAACATAGTATTTTTATTAAATGATTAAATATTTATTTACTACATTACAAAATTGAAATAGCCTCAAAATTAAACGAATTATCAGACTGATACCATTGCGAATACTTTTTGAGTTACAAGAAAAACACTATCTAAATTTTCCGAACAAATTGAATTCACTGGATAAATACAGTATGTACGAACTGATCCGCTGCAAGCATATAATGAGAATAATGAGATAGCTAATTTAACTTTTGCTATGTAAGGAATAAAGAGAACATACGAAATAGTCACGCCCGCTATCCCCGCTATTCGCTAGTGAACGAAGCGAAGCGAATTGACGAATTCTAATATCGGCCGGCAACCGATAAACAAGTTTCTGTTCTTTACTATCTTATAGTATTGATTGAGATTCTAATTCTAACGCTTGCAGCGGAAGAATTCGTACACTCTGTATGTAAATCCAACAAATGTGTAGTAGATATACTTGATTAATAGTGCCAACAAAAATACCCGACTGCGCGTCTGTCTTTTCTACAGATTTCATTAATAACTTCAGAAAAATTCGAATTTTTTCCGCGTTTAACGACAAAATAAGAACAATGTGGGCGACATAACGACTCGAAAAAATTATATACTCCTCGAAAACGACTTTCATTTTAATTTAAGTACGCGGTCGTTAAAAATTTTCGCCGTACACATTCCCTAGATTCGGTTATTAAATTGATTTACAATCGTTAAAAAAGCCGAGCGACGTCGCAAAAATGTAAAATATTAACTGAATTTTTTCCAAAACCTCAGCAGAGACTCGTTATTTTTAATATTAGTACCATTTAGCGAGGGATGTAACTGTATATGAAGGGCTGCGAATTAATGAGATACAAGCCGCAAAATATAGGATAAATGTGCACTTACAATAGAGTAATAATTTGTCTAGTTATTAATAATATTTGTAAGCTTTTCTACAAAGGGCGAGATTTGAAAAATGATGTTTTCTACGGTTTCCTTATCGTCGAAGTTCTACAGCATTACCGAATCAATTGATCATTGACCTATTTCGAACGAGCTGCGTCCTTCAGCGGTTTCGTATTACCTACACGTAGCCCTCTTCCCACGGGGTAGTAAATAAAATAACCTCCGCGATTCCACAGATGGTCCGTTGTTTGTTTCATTAGGTTTTTATGGACCAAAAACTTCGACCTGGAAACCTCGAGGTGAACCGACTCCCACCGACGCGACGTAGGCCCAGACGCGTCCACGATTTATACGCATTAAATATTTATTTGAAGACGGTTTATATTCGGGCCTCGACGCAATCCACATTGATGAGGATGTATTTCTGTGGAAGTGCGTCGGCGGAATGGAAATTACGGTCGCTTCGGTCCGGTAATTCCCGCGGAGGACTTTTCGAAACATCGGGCTTTGTTTGATTTCCAGATTGCGACAGCAGTTTCCTATTAAAAGTTTCTCGTTAATTGTAAGCCAGAGACTTCGATATCCTTTAATCCTTTATTTACAAGGTAATATTATACACTTTAAAAAAAGTAAAACTTAGTTTTATGAAAGCAAATATGTATCTAAGATAGTTGCTTTATAAATAAAATTAACGCGAGTAAATGGGAATTTAAATATAACAACAATTAACAAAGTGTTTGGCGAATTTTATTCGATTGTCCTTTGATTGCGATGATCAACCTTGAGGCCTGATGCCTTTGCTATGCCGTCACGGTAAATTGATTGAATATTCGATTCAATTAAGCCTCACGTCCGAGTGATTGATTTGTTATTTCTACTCCTTTATTTTTCTTCTCGTCGCGTCCGGTGCGTCTAGTCAAATTGCAAAATACCGTTGAATCGAAAAACAAAATAATAGACGGAAACTTTCATGCAGTTTCTTTCATAATGAGTAGAAAAAATTAACCGGGATGCATTTAAATGTTACAAGGATTACCAAGGAGCAACATAAAATATATGAGCGTATCCTGTGAGCATTAAAATACCTACGAGAAGTGTATAAAAAAATGATCGTTAGAGCCGTAATGAAATGTTCTTTCCAACAAAAAACGAAGGCTTGTACCACTTTGTATAAATCCTCATAACGATACTTAAATTCGAATATCTTTGTAAAAATAGCATACAAATAAGTACATCAAGGGAAATGTCTCATTAATTTACGTCCGTTAGAACATACTTTTTCTTTATTTCAAGATGTTTCCGATAAATTAAATCGCCTAATTAATTCTCCGATGTCAAAAGAGGCAATTCGAACGAGAAAGTATTATCGCGAAGAGGATTAAGCGAAAAAAATCATACGCATACTCTAAGATCGAGGAAACTAAAACGCGAGTAGAAAGTTATTAGAAGGAAGAGAAATCATCAGCGATGCATTTTATTTTTAATGCATTTCCATCATTTTAAAAATCTAATAAATTATCTAATCGTAAGAATGATCGTGAAATCTCATTAACTTCAGTGTGCGCAAATTAAATTTAATTTCGCTTTAAATTTGCGGTCGGGTATTTTCTCCATAAACAAGGAAATATTAGTCATGACTTCAATTCATAATAATTCATATTTTTAAAATATTAGTAAGTATTTTCTAATTTTTATGACTTTTACAAGAATGGGATGTTTCATGTTCTGGATAACCTGATGTATAGCCAGAATTCTGTGATGAAAATTAAGGTGGCTACTTGAAAATTTTTTGAAAAAACCAATTATTTTTGGTTGATTTTTGTTCATGTTAAATGGTATTTAACATGAGCTTGCATTACATTTTTTTTTCTTGTAAATGCTTAAGTTTTTAAAAAACTTGTAAAGGTAAAAAGAAGTTAGTAAATGAATTGGGCTTGTTAGCCATATTTTTTTAATCGTTTAAAAAATGTCAGAGGTTGACCATTTCAGCCCGTTGTAAACATAAAATATATTTTGGGTTCTCCAAAATGCGTTTTTAAAAAAAAAACTTTTAATTTTACAAGAAGATATTTTAGTACAATTAGATAAAATTATATGTTAACAACTTGAATACAATTGGCAAAATCCCCATGGGAATGCTAAAACAAACTTTTATACTAGAAATATGAAACCAAAAAATGTTGAGTCCAGGATTTTGGTTTCCATGTAAAACCATGTAACACCGTGAGATAACTTATGTAAGCATACTTCATGGTTGAAAAAAATTGAAAATGTGTAGTTTCATTCACAAATAATATTCCACAAGTTTCGTGTCTTTTGTTTAATATACAGAAAAAATAAAGAAGATAAACCTTTTTTTTTCAATCTTCGGAGGGGTATAACTTTTCGGGGGAAGGTTTTTTCAAAAAATTATATAGTACCAAGTACCAAGCACCCTCTGTATATAGAAAATGTCTCAAAAGTATTTACAATCAATTTTATAAAGAATTGACTCATATTCATTTGAGTAATCGTCGATAACTAAATGACTTACCTATGAATGAGATACCTATGAATAACTTCAGCAACATCGTGCATCTGTATGTACATACACACCAACTGCGGCAAATAGAAGTCCACCACGTGGTGATCGAAACTGAACATCTTATTGACAATGTAGCACAAAACGCCGGGCTCTTTGCTGTTGAACAAATAGTGCATGGCCATCGGCACGTCGAACACCTTGCTCTCGAGCAACCGCAGCATGCCGGAGCTCTTCGGCGCCTCGCCGGCGCTCGCCTCCTCGCCGTAATCGGTCGCCGCGACGCCCTTGTCATCGTCGACATCGTCGACATCATCATCGTCGTCGCGGTGCTTGGCGATGTTATCGATGTATTCGACGGAGGATTCGCGCGTCGCGTTCGATTCCGACGACGAGCCGGCGTCGGAGCCGCACAGGATGCCCGAATCGTCCGAGCCGAGGCTCACGATTTCGTCGTTGCGCTGCTTGGAGGCGGCCGACGGCGGTCGCTGGTCGACGGCGGCCGACGAGGCGCACATCATCGCGTTGACGGCCGTTTCGCATTCCGGGCTGGGCGTCACGTCCACTTCGGGGATGCGTTGCAGGGCGGAATCGAGGCTTCGGTTGCGGTGGTGGTGCGTCAGGGGGTTGGTGGCCAGCGTTGTCACTTGGGTAACGGGCGGCAGGAGGATACCCATCGATCTGTAACGTAAACGATATTGTCTAGTTGAAATATTTATTACATAGCAAGTAATATTAGGTAAGTAAGTACAAAAATATAATCAATTATGACAATAGAAAAACTGATGTCTATAGATTAATGTCTCAGGGTGAGAAATGTAAGCAGAAACAATACCCTTAATTTGTAAATCCCTGCCGGAACAATAAATCATCTACATAGTACATAAACAATGGGATTTTTATAATAATTTTATCGTGTCTTAAATCTTTCAATTTAAAGGGCAAGCTTTCCGAACCGTCGCAATTTAGAGTTAATCTTAATAAACTTTATTATAGAAAATTAACAATTACTTTCCTTTTTACCAATATGATCTCCCTACAGCTACAGGATAGCGTTATGTAATAAATTAAATGCGAGTTTGCGTAATTTAAAGCTCCCGCAAGGAACCTTAATCCTTAACCCTAACTGGTTTACAATAAATTAGAACATGCATAACTGTAAGTTCTCGCTTTCATATTCAGTGCACCCTATATACCTATTTATCTTTAAGATAGTTTATTTTTAAATGAATGTCAAAGTCGGTATAATTTTAGTCAGAACCTGGTACAATTTCCTCTACAGTGTCCCACTTAATGTCGGTGCTGAATGAGATTTTTTGTTTGCAATAAAACAGTTCGAATATCGTCTGTTCTCGATTATTTACCAGACGTAATTATCTTCATAATACATAAATGTCACCACCAGCTACTGAATCGGTCCGATATTCCGTAATTTCAAAGACTATAAATAGCACTTTTCTGTTCCCTGGTTTATGTATTATCCCATCAATCAACTATTGGTTTGCTAAAAATAACAAGCATAAATACAAACGAAATTCACCACTGAATACGCTTATAAAATATCGTATTTTTAACTTCCTGATAATCCACTCCAAACAAATCGTTGTCTGCAATTTTTCAACAATGACTTAACGCTATAATCTTAATAATTAGTGTATTAAAGAATTCGGAATATTTTGGTCATGAATAAGCAGTCAAGTGGAAAAAATGACGTTATTATTGCACCTTGGACTTTTAATTTCTTGATAAAGCAGCAATTTACCATACAGGGTGCAATAGACGAGCAATAAATAACTATTCAAAGCTATTCCATTAAAAAGTTAGTCGTGAAGTTAGCACGATGCACATAAAATAAGTTTTCAACTCGTAAAACTAATCCAGAACTATTGAGAACTGACGTTGGGCTTCCGACTTCACACATTTTAATATTATCCCCATCTTTCCAGCTAATAATCGACATGATGTTTTTTTAATTGCCAGTTAAAATACCGCTAAATACACACACAAAATTGTTGTGTAATAGGAGTAATAACTATTATTTTATGTAAGCGCTTTAAATGGTCTTTCGCAATCGCCGGGACGACCTGGTATTTTAATTTCAGTTAATTAAAGTTATCGATACTTCGACTATTTTAGTGGATAATTATCCCATCAAATTTTACGATTAATAATATCGCAATAACAAAACAAAATAGACGCGAAATACCGTTAGAAAATTCTTTCATTTCAGTTACTTCGTATGCAGTTAACGCTTCATAGATCTACTAGAACTACTTCTAGCATTTAATGCGCTAACGACTAATTTTATAATGTTAAAATCGGAAGGCCGAATAAAATTTTAACGTATCGTTTTCGTTTTAAAAATAGTTTTGGCGTTTTATAAATATTCAAATTCCTCGGTTGAATTTTCGTAAGAAATTTACTTGAATACATAAGTTCAACGAATTTGTTTAAACACAAATTAAGATTATGGGAAACCTCGAAAATAATCTACAATAAAATTTATCGCCTAGCGACAGAAAAATTCCTAATTATGCTCGGTTTCAAAACATTTACCAGAAAAATTAGGCGTGTAATTATTGAATGCATATTTCTTATTAGTGAATTAATAGAAACAATTATACAGTAGTCCATAAAGACTGGTTAATTACCAACCCCTGAACTCAAAATTAATGAATAACATAAGTAATATTTTTGTTAAAAGCAAAAACTATTTTAATAATATGTAGGTACTTTTGAAATAATAAAATATGTCAATATTTAATGATAGATATTATTTTTAATAAAAGTGGAACGTGTTAATATACTTGAACGATTCCCGATCAGTAATATCAAAGCTTTCCATTGTTGATAACTAGAATTTAACGGTATTATTAATCTCTATTATCCAAAAACAGGTATTATACGAGTTATTTCTAATGCCTACGTAATGGTTGGCTCAAATCTTTCGATGTAGATATGAATAAGTGTTTTGGTGTCATCGAATATTATAACTTTTTAGCAGAAAACGTAAACATGCACTCAATGAATATTCTAAAAGTGTTGGTTACGACACCAAAATCAGTGTTTACAAACAATTCTTATTATTAACGGTTATTAACGCTAAACAAAAGTCGATAACAACTTTTACCTGGATATTTGACACCTGAAATCAGTAATTTTAATACGTAATTTCTTTCCCTACTTTTTTTTGTCAAAGTAATTAAAAGGGTCTATTTTATAACAATATCATTCAATATAGGTACTTTAAGGAAATCTAATTAATTTTCAGTTTCCAGTAATTAGACATATTTTCTCTACATTCTCAATATAGGTATTACAGACTAATTGACATTTTACTAGTTCAATAAATTTGATATTTGACTGACATCCCCGCCTTATTACTAATCATAATCTCGTAATAATGCGCAAAGCTAAATAAGGAGCCACACAAGGATAATGAACCGTCGGTAATAATGGGTGTATGTATGAGTAAACAAGATTGTAAAATTTCTTGAGCAGAATATACAGCATCTAATATTTTTTCGTCAATGGAACCGATACATGCAGGAAGTTGCGCATTCGAAAGTCAATGACAGCCCACTTAGAAGTCTTACGTGCCTCACGTAAGTATTACGTTATACCTACTTGCATTCGCGAAGGTCAACAAAAGGTAAAACACGAGGCTATGCGAGTTTAAAAATACCTAAATTAGCCCCGTAGGAAACGATAACATGGCAAAATTAGAATATAAAATAATGAAAAGGAAGGTAAAATTAAAAAAGAAAATGAAAAAAATAGAAAAATCTCAAAAAGTGAATAAATCATGTTTAAAACTACCATGTTTTCATAATCTAAATGTGGATGATTATGAAAAAAAAAACTTACAACTACAGTTTATTGAAAAACTATTCAACCATTTAAGTAACCTTTAAAAACGTTGATTATTCTTCAAAAAAAAATCAAAAAAACCTATTAAAAATTATCAAAATACCTTCAAAAAATCCCTTGGCCAAGCAAAGGCAAACTGATAATTTTAAATGAATTTAATTTCCAGTAATTTTATTTATTTATCTTATACCTACAAGGTTTGTTAAATGATCCCGCCGTACTCGCAGATATAATTCTAGTTATTTAAGCATTTCATTACGTAAATTACTTTAGTATTAAAACCGGTAGGGATCGAAAATATGCCTTCTTCTATGCACCTACCTACGTATTATAACTGTAAACGTACTTACGTATGAATGCATTATGAGATTGTGACGATTGCGACTGGTTATGAAACGTAAAATTCCCATTTTCTCAATAATTGTTTAGCATTCTAATAAAATGGCCATTTTCCGCAAAAACACATAAATTTAAACAATTGCCATGCATTCGGCGATAAGCAGGTTAACTCCTTTGTGGGTAATAAAGATGAAAATTTTGAAACACAAATAAAATGATAAAACCGTCTGTTCTGTCACGATAATAAAAGATCAAGGTTACTGTTGTAATTACATTAGCATGTTCAAATATTTTAGTGATCTAATTATAATATATTATAAAACGATAGCATGTTGTTTAATCCACTCACTCCTAATTTGTATCCCAAAAGAACCCATACGATTCTTGTATGCAAATTATTAAATATTGCTTTTAAAAGGACTTTGATCGAGGCTTGTTGTTGACTTATTGAATTCATGTGAACTACTAAATAAAAATAAATTGCATAAAAATTTCAGTTGCACGTTAAATGTTACAAAAACTTTGAGACATGACTAAGATTGCTTAAGATTGCTCTAGAAATATTTTTCTCAGAGTAAAATAATATTTATTTTAATTTTTTTTCCACCATTCTATAGCATAGGTAAAGGCTAAAATGAAGCAAAAAAATAGAATATAAATATGATATGATAATTTTCTCGGGTAAGAATATGGTATTTATTAATAAATAGTAAAATTTTGTGTTAGTATGTTCAGAATTCGCGTCAAACGTAAATATTGTGCAAAATTCCATGTCTTTTTTGACATTATTACGCACACACAAACTTTATTGAAAATATAACCGTATATTAACTTGTTCTTTTTTATTAATTTTCCTAAGTTTTTCAGTAAAATTCATAAATGTAGGTGCAAGGTGCAAGGATTTCGTATTTATCAACAATGTTTTTGATTGGCACCGTAGTTGATAATATATTTTGAAAAAAAAGTTCAAATGAGGGTCTTTTTTTCATTAACTATTGCACAAGAAATATACACATAACGCTTTATACATTTATTCATAAATCATTCAAATTTGATGCTAAATAAGTATACGAATTTCTTTTTATGTTAGATTATTTTTAATTAATTAAGGTTAACCGGGCGCTTTTTATAAATCCACGTAAAACTACATGAGTCTTTTAATTTTCATAGCTTCCTATCATAGAAAAATGAATATCATAATACCTATGGTAAATAAATGTCAAGCATTAATGTATAGAACAACCGTTAACTGAACCAGTATTCCTTCAGTCCCACAGTTTGAATCAATATTTGAATAAAATTAAAATATCGATTTTGTTAAACTAGGTCTAGAAATGCGTAAATTCATTAATAAATATTATAATTAAATTCAATTTTTCAACATTTCGTTAACCCTGATAGCATAGGCCACAGAAATCACAACCCGTAAATTGACATTTGATATGTACATGTACAAATGTGCCAATAATCTT